TTTATTTAGGGTTAGGTTGGGTTAAGACACTTTCTGGGCGGAGCGCTGCTACTAGGACAGGCTAGGGGGCCGAGCGCTGCGGCCACGGGTTAGGTCAAGTTTAGACACTTTCTGTAAGATCCTTGTACAAAATTGATAGGAGGAGGGGGGGGGCGGGGTCCAAAAATCGCTCTCTAGGAATATACCGACTTCGATGTGTAACTTGTTTACTTACCCCTTTGTTATTCTCTGAATCATCTGATTGCTCAATCACACACTCCCCTAACTCTATCCCGTTCTCTTCCATCGACATGTTGAGGATGTCCTGAAACCCAGAGTCCAAGGGGTCCATGGATTTATCAAACCCACCCAATACATCCAGACCGAAAAGTCCAAAATCCATTGTCGACATTTTTTTCTTCGAAACGTCAAATGTCTAAATGCTTTAATCAGCTGTTGACTCACAGCAAAAACGTGGCTTTATTTATGCAGCCTTTCACTTCACATATGGTGAAAATAAATTCACAAATTGTTGAACCCAGAGCTCACTGGAACTATAAACCTATTTTAAACAATTCTGGTTTGGAAACTACCAACGGTTGGTTTGTGTAAAGTGGCTGAAGCCAGCTTTCAAAAAGTGATGCAAGATGTGGGTTGGTAGGGACGGTAGGTGTGTTCAGTCCTGTTCCCTTCCTCAACTCTTAAGCTAAGCATAGAAGGAGACTTGTACTGTACCGGTATATGTGGCGTGTACCGAACCGGAGCATCCAGTGACACAGTCGCCGAAACTTCCGCGACCGTACCGACCCTGCACTCTTCGACCGGTCCCTTCATCATTTTAGTACCGACCCGACCATAGGAAATGTACCGACTCGGAAAACCTGTCTTTATAGGCTTTTCATGCTCTTGCGCGCTTTTAAGTTAGCCTCTCTGTCAGGACAATTGTACCGTCCCGTATTTCTTCCTGACTGAACGCCGGCCGGATTTACAGGTATAAGAAGGGGGTCAATATGGCGCAGCACGACTGAATTACAAGCTGTTACTAGAAACAAGTGTTAGATTTAAATACTTTCACTATAATTTTATTTACTCTCACGTAATCATATACGTTGCTTTTACATAAAAAATAAATATTCCATGTTTTTAAATCGCTCGAATTGAATGACGAAATCTGCCCAAATCATGAATAGTAAAAATTTACACGTGGACCTTTTACGTCATTCGAGTTGATCCTGGGCCGGAATCCGAGGTTTTTTTTTATTTTCTCCGGATGTTAGTGGAATATATTAAGAAAAATGAATCCTTCGTTATGTAAACCAAGAAGAATTCCCAGAGTGGCTCACGATATTTTAAAAGCCGGGATATAATTTTATTAACATTTATGTCATAATATGAAAGCTTATAAATTGGTGTGGGGAAGGGGGGAGTTAGGGTTTCCACCGGAATTCCGGGTTACGGTTTACGTACGGAAATGATCCGGAAATTTTTTAAATTTCCATTATGGAAAAGGTTCCGGTATTCCGGAACGATTTTTTCCCCCGTAAACCGGAAATTTCCGAAATTTCATTCGTTAAGCTAAATAGGCTGGGGGGGGGGGGTTTGGCGCCCCCCCCCCCCCAACAGTAGTTTTTTCACCTAGTACTCTCATTTGTAACACTCTCATAGTGCAATTTTGTGACTTTAAATGAATTGAAATTTAAAGAATTTTTTGTAATTTTATTTTTAATGCATAGGGCCGGACAGGGCGGAAAAAGTCTGATCTTTGAATAAAAAAAATCTAAAATAGCCCATAATTTGTTTGTGACTAAAGCTACAGATCTAAAATCTATATTTTTAAAAAGCCCTTGAAAAATAGATTCAGAAACATAGGATCACACTTTGATATTTGTTTAAACCAAATTTTTTTTTTTCAATTTTCTGAACCTTTTTTTCGGCATTTTTTTCAACCCTCCCTAGCACCCAAATCAACATACCTAAGTTATCGGTCTTAAAATATATAAAATTATATATATTTTATATATATTTTATATATATTTTATTTTAGAATAGTAGCGAATATATATCTCTATAAATTATAAACTTATACACACACAGAAACAGGCAATAAACTTGTAGCGAATTAAGCCTATGTAGCGTTTTTTTAGTGTAGCGTTTTTTAAGTGTAGCGTTTTTTTAGTGTAGCGTTTTTTTAGTGTAGCGTTTTTATAGTGTAGCGTATTTATAGTATGACCATTTTTTCTTCAATAAGCTGGCCTTGAAAAATTTGGTTATAAACATGCATTTCAACCCTATACCTATTTTAAGGTATAGATGGGGGGCGTCAAACGCCCCGCCCAGGCTTTACAAGATTCAGACCCCCAACCAATTTATAGGGTTAATAGGGAAAACCAAACAGTGGAATAGTCTAAAGAATATTGATGAACTGTAGAATTGTAGACCAGCAGTATAGCTGACTTTTAAACTTTGCAATATATGAATTTAATTAAAATAAAAAAATTCTTTATGCTCCGCAAGTCTTCTTTTGTATTCACCTTACATTCCGTAAACCAGAATTTTTCCGGTTTACGAAATGGAAACTGGAAATTTTACAGTTCGTCATGTAAACCTGAAAAATTTCAGGTTTACAAAATGGAAACTGGAAATTATATGGTTTACGTTACGTAAACTGGAAAAATTTCCGGTTTACGAAATGGAAACTGGAAATTTTACAGTTTATGTTACATAACCAGAAAAATTCCAGTTTCCATTTCGTAAACCGGAAATTTTTCTGGTTTGTGTGACGTAAACCGTAAACATTCCGGTTTCCATTTGATCTTGAAATATCCCGGAATTCTGGTTACGCAAACAAATTTTCGGATTATTCATTTCCAAAATGGAAATTTTTTTCAGGAAAAATGGAAACCCTAGGGGGAGTGCAGAAGTCCTCAATTAAAGTTATCACCCAGTGGCGTATAGTTCTGGGGTGATTACCTCAAAGATTCTAGGGGGGGTAAACTCCCCTTTTTGAAAACTGTAAATTTAAAACATTTGGCTTCTTTGATATCAGGCATAATTGTATAAGATACTTTAAAGGTTCACTGTGCACTTCGTGCAGTCCAATTATCTTGGTAGTAACGTAAAATAGTTTCGAATGTCGTCTTCCATACAATGTATTAGATAGTAAAGGCGTTATGCAGTCTATGCAGTTTATTTCGATTAAAAAATCTTTTGCTCAAATATATTTTACTTTAAAATTCAAACAAAAATAGCAGAAACAATTGTTACCTGAAAAATCGACAATTTTTCATACTGTTATGTTAGTAATATATAATAATTAGTATTTACTAGAGATAAACACATTTTTGAAAATGAAAAACTCGACTTAAACTTATAAATTCTATGAGATGAAAAAAAAGAACGAAGGTCCAGAAAATAATTGACTTAAAAAATTGTTTCTGTTGTGAAAAAAAGGAGTACAAACAATTGTAATCTATATAATAAAGCTCTTCGTTTATCATGTATATGTTTGCTATGGCTGGCCAAACGACTGATTTAAACAATAAAAACATAAATCAAACAAAACAATCTAAGCATTTATAGTCTTTTCTACAAATACGACATCTACTTGCGCAATTTTTGTTATCGATTTCGGGGCCTAGAACTGAATTTTCATTTCCAAATTTTTTAAAAAAATAAGTTTATTTATATTGGTTAATAAATACTAGAAAAAAAATTACTTTTGAAAATTATTGTCTTAATTTAGACAGCTTTAGCTTAGGTTTGTTCTAGGCCCTCAGTTCAGTACAAAATGTCGGAGCTGGGTGATTCAGGGGATATAAAAGTTCCTTTGATTTGCCGGCTTTGTGCCTCCCCCACTGAGGATGGGGTCGAGATATTCTCGGAAAAGGGCCAGGAAATTTGCCTGCCTGAAAAGATCTCAAAATGTCTGCCTGTACTGGTAAGTCGGATAAGATAATAAGGTCTGAAAATGTATTAAAAATATGGCCATGTTGGCACCACACCCTGTATCCAACTTCAGAGTATAAACACAAACAGATGCAGCTGAAACTTAGACCAGAAACCTTACATGATCGTCCAGTCAGGATTAATTATCGATCTTTTAATTCTATCATTTCACTTTGTAAATCGCTTGAATTATTTCAGATTCCTACTGAATGAAGGTTTAGGTTTAATTAACTAAAATGTTGCTGGGTTGGTCGTTGATTGGTTTGTTGCTCTTGACCGGAGGGCTGCAGGAAGTCCAGGGGATGGGTAAGGTACTGGAGCTAAGTGACCGGTTTCTGCCTTTAAGAAAGGAGGGAATGTGGTTGATGCAGTTTTATGCCCCGTGGTGCGGGCATTGTAAGAAGCTGGAGCCTATTTGGAAACATGTTTCACAGTCTTTGGTCGATTTTCCTATTCGAGTTGGCCGAGTTGACTGTACACGGTTTTCCGCGGTTTCTACAGAGTTCAATGTTCGCGGATTTCCGACCATAATGTTTTTAAAAGGAGAGGATACGTATGTTTATGAAGGAGATCGGAGCAGAGAGGATATTGTAGCCTTCGCATTGAGGATGATGGGGCCTCCAGTGAAAGATATAACCTCGGATCAAGACCTAGACGAGGCCAAAAAGAGAAGTGAACTATTTTTCATTTACGTCGGTCGTCCGGCTTCTAGTCTCTGGGACGAGTACTTTCTAAACGCCCGACACTATCACAGTCATGAGTTTATGTATTCTGCTTCGGTTCAGTTTATGACGAAACACATTAAGATTGAAAAGGATCCTGGAATATACATTTACAAGGATAATCAATACTTCCCGTATCAGGGACCCCCGGAGTTAGAAAGAGTTGCCAGATCGTCGGACGACGAAACTTTAGTATCGGCCGAACCTGTCGACCCGGAGCTGACGATTGAAAATTCCTCCTTATCCATGTGGATTACTGCTGAACGGTTTCCAATATTCGTGAAGATTACAAGGGGAAAGTTTGGAAATATCTTATCGACAAGAAAGCTGATCGTGATCGCCGTGCTTGAGGAGAATAAGATCGACAAGATCACTCCGGAGATGGATGAATTTAGAACTATGATCAAGGGTATTGTTGAGAACAACCCGGAGAAGTATCACGAGAGGTTCCAATTTGGTTGGACGGGAACTCCAGAGTTGGCCAACTCCGTGGCAATGGAGACCCTGGAGATCCCAGGACTACTGGTGATCAACTCTACCTCCTTCCAGCATCACATCCCTCAGGATGAACCTAGACACCTCACATCCGAGGCTGTAGAACTGTTCCTCGACTCCATTGTTTCCGGGGAGGCTCCTAGCTACGGAGGCAGTGGCTGGGCAGTTAGACTCTACAGAGCATATTTCGAGGCCAAAACCTCGTTAAGTGATATGTGGCGTGGGAATCCTGTCCTCACCGCGCTTCTCATTGGACTTCCCATGGGGTTCCTCTCCCTTATTTTCTATTCAATATGCTGTGCAGATATCATGGATGCAGATGAGGAGGAGGATGAAGATGGTGATCATGAGAAGAACGATTAAGAAGTATTACATCTCGGAAATACTGTCGGGGCGGCCGATCGTCTGCCATTTAATTATTTTTACATGACTTAACCTCGCCAGTTGTGATTTACCAACTTTTTGACATTTTTGTTGAATTGATTGTTTTTGTATTTTGGTTGTACTTGATCTCATCAAATTAAATTTAAATCAATTGTTTTTAAAGTTTTATGATAAAAATCACATTGAAGCATGAACTTTAGGGTTCAAAAATACAAAATATGATTCCCCTATTGGGAAAACTTCGAAGACCATTTTGTAAAATTATTTTTTGGATATTAAGAGTTAAGATTTCCATCAGGAAAAAAGTCAATAATCTTAATTTCTAGAAATTTTTTGCTGGAATAAGATTTGACAAAAAATAAAAAAAATGTCCGAGACTTCATGCTTATTTAAATAAATTTACAAGATTTATAAATTAAAGTCTGGTTTTGTCCATCGTTTTATGTTACAACTTTTGAAAAGAAGTTTTTCCTTATTGTATTGTAAAAAAAAAGCTTTAATTTTATTCATAATATTAACCACTGGATTAAAACTTATTTGATAAATAAAATAAGTATTGATTTATGTGACAAAGTTTGCCAAAGAAAAGGGTTTGACATTTGTTAAATTTTTTTGGATTTGTTTTGTTTCCTGTTGTTTAATTCTTGAGTTTTATATCTATCTAATGTTTTCTAGGCTGTGTTTGTAGTCAAGACAAGAAAAGTCTTTGTACATAGATGTTCATTGTTAATTTTTAACCCAAAATATTTTAAGGATAAAAAACGAAGAATTTAAGGCCCAAAAGGTTATTAATTAGGAAAAGCAAGAACATTTTTTAATGAAAGTTCTATAATGAGTTACATTCTAGAATGACGAAAACATGACAGTTCGGTTATAAACCCTGAATTGAAAAATTGCCAACCTTGTGTTTTGTACAACATTGTGATACTGTAGCATGTAGATATGTACATAAGTTACCAATTACATAATTGTGGTCGAATTCTTGTACACTATTTCAGAGTGGAGAATGTTTTGTATTCGGAGTAAACTGCCTCGTCTGGCGACCAATATATATTTACACTTCAGATTATATTCAGACTCGGTCAAGTGGAAATCAGTTCATCTCACAAATAGATCTTTAATTAGGAGAGTTCAAATTCTAACCAAGTAATGATTATCAAAAAAATTACTGTACATTACTGGGAAATGGGCTGTTCACTGTTTTCTTTCAACATATCACAGATAGCCCAGGCAGGGCCCTACTGCCCATGATTTCCTACCCTGTCTCATGGTTCAAATCAGAACTAATTTCTCAGCTGTCCTAATGCTTGTAATACAATCAAACTCTCCTTGCCTTAATTATACTCTCAGAAAATGAAAACTTTAAGATTTAGATTTGAAAACTGAAAAATATTTATTGATTTTTTTAAAGACCTCTTAAGGTAGAAATATTTTATATTGATATTAAAGTTTTGTTCTGAATCATTTTCTAAATTAAAAATGTATATTTTAAAATTTAGTTTGTTAGTAAAATTTGCAAGTTTTTCAAACCGTAACGCCGTGAATTTGGTTAAAATTCTGGATATTATCTAGAATTGAGGGAGCTGAGTCTGCAGGCCTACTTCAAGGCCTAGTAACTAATGATATTAATGGTCTAGTAGACAAGGTCTTAATCCGTTAAATAACACATTTTTCAAAGAAATTTTGATTTTTATGATTGGATATGGTTTCACATAACCAATGATTTAAAAAAAATATTTAAAATCTTTTAATGTTGAATTAATGATTTTCCAAGCCTTGCGGGAAATATAAAAATAATTAATTATATACTCCCAAAATACTTTATTTTCCCGCATTGAGTAAGCAAATTGTTTTTAAACAAAATGTCGAGGACCATAGTTAGAAAATTTAAATGCTAACGGTGTTATTGATTGATTAAAAGGAGTATCCGAGTATGTACTGCATGTTCCTCAATTCTGCAGGACGGGTTCTATTTGATTCAATCATTTCTCCGGGTTTCGAACCCAACCAGTTCTTCCTAGAAGTTGACCAGGCAATGAGTAAGAACGTGATCAAACATCTCTCCATGTACCGCGGTATGTTTATTGTTTTGATCTAGAATATTGGACTTAGCTTCACGCCAAATAGAAGCCTCGAACAACAAAAAGATAACTAACCCCCTCCGAAAACAGATAGATCTAAATTACATTTTTCTTCTAGTCCGGAGAAAGATTGCGATTGAACCGGTCTCGGAACTCAAGGTTTACTCAGTGTTTCATGAGGACCTGAAAGTTCGAACGGAATCTAATCTTCAAACCCGGAGTTCTCATCTTGGTTCAACATTTTGTGACGGAGGAACGGAAGATCTTTATTATTAAAAAGAAAGTTAAGAAAAAGTTAAAATACAGAAAATCGATTAATGGAGGAATAAGAATAATTATCTCCCGACGTAAAGGTGTACGAAACTCAGTGTTACCTCCTGTATCCAACCCTACATCAATCTGCTTTCCTGACCCACGGGTTGACCTGCTTGGATATAGATACATAGGACCGGACCACCCGGAGTCAAACCTTAACTTCAGCCTGGAGCAGGGAACTGTCTTAGATTATAATATACAGAGGTCCCCCAACATTTCCTTTATCAATTAAATTTTTTATTTATAATTAATGTTTCGGTTTATCTATTCTGTCTTTAAGGAACTATATTCGCATCAAACTTTTATCTTCCTCTTCTAATGTAAATCTTTGCTTTTTGAAACTCTATATTGCAGCATTCAAAGTTTAAAGATATCAAAGGTTTACAGGTTACAAAAATACACGGGTTAGATAATTAGAGTTTGTTCATTCATATTAATTCTTTTTTTAATTCATCCTTTCATTTATTTTTTTTGTCATTTTGTCATTTATTTCTTCAGTCATTTATTTCTTTACTCATTTATTTCTTTACTCATTTATTTATTATGTACTTTTTAATTATTTCTTTTATTTATTCATCTTATTTATTCCTTGATTTCAGCGTCCAATTTTCTCTTAATACCGAATATAGAATTGATTGTTAAAATGTTGTAAAGATGCGTAGTGGGAGTTACTGAGGGTTCAGGAGATATTCCTCCGACCAAAGCATTACCTTTAGGAACCAATAGAAATCAGTTCATCCAAATATTGATTATTTATTTTGTTTTAATGTTTATTTTTTATTTGTTATGTGTATTCATCATATTCATCGAAATTATTGGATGTTTATTAAGGTTTCTGGTCTAATTTGCAAAATTCAATATGTTTTATGTACCAACTTTTCCAATGACATTTCTTCAAGTGTATATATTACAAAATTGCCACTGCTTTTAATCTAAACTTTTGGAAAAAACTTTGAAAGGCAGCACCCATTCAACTCAATTGTTTTTGCTGATTTAGACTTCTAATTAATAATATATGCTCCCGGGGTCCCCTCCGCAAATAAATGGAACCTGAGTTTGTTTTAAAGAAATTTTCTGCTTTTTTGTCTAATGTAACGATAAATTAGCCCAGGGATATATATTTTCAACCCCCCCCCNGGGGGGGGGGGGGATTAATTAAAAATTGGACAAAAACAGGGAATTTCCCCCTTGCCCTTTTTTATACTTTTTACCAACTAATTTATTTATATCCTCCAATTCAGCCAAAAATACCCCATAAAAGAACATACTTATAAATGGGAGGGGGGGGGACATTATTTTTTCAGAAAATATATACCCCTGAATCAGCCGATTAACGTATGAAAAATATCCCCCATTGACCCCTGGGTGAGATTTGACTGGTTTTGTAGAATATAACCTTGATTATCTCCACGGGGTTAATTTTCACAAAGGATGCTATATTGGACAGGAGTTAACCGCTAGGAAAGAAATTTAATAAATATATTTTTTTTTATTTATTTTTTTTTTTCCCCCAAAAGGAGGCATATTTTTTCTGTCCTCACTTCAAGGTACTATCGACGTCATCTAAAATGACCTTAAATTTAATTTGTCTCTGCTGCATAAATCTGCATGCCATTGTAATATAGAAACCGCAATTTCAGAAAACCAAGGTTGTCTTTAAGATCTATCTTTGATTTAATAAATGTTTATTGGGTACTGTTTTGAATTGAGCTTGAACTTCTTAGATAAAGGTCACTTTACTTAACGTTTTATTTATTTTATTTATTTTATTTATTTTAGTTTTTTATTTTATTTGTTTTAGTCCTTTAAATTAAAAGGAAAATTTATTTTAAGTCGAAAAATTAAGCGAGAAATGTTTTCAATAAGTTTCTTTGCTCTAGAACCCATCATACAGGAATAATTCGTAAACGAATCCTTCCGATAAAATTTGGAACTGAGGACCACAACATAGAACTAGACTCAACCATTGTCAACGAATCTGGGAAAAATGTTGGAAAAATTCGCAAAACTGAGGGAAAGCACGGCTTAGCTATGGTTAGGTTGGCCGAAGCTTTTTCATCCGCCTCGTTGAAGTGCGGGGAAGTTTCCGTTTCCGTCTGGAAACCGGTTTGGTGGCCGCAGGAGAAGGATGAAAAGAAGGGATCAAATTAATCAGATATATATTTTCAGATTCGAGCCGACGATGATTTACCGAAGGGAATGTGTACACTGTGTCAGGGCAAACTCGAGTTTTGTCGACAATTCTTTGAGCAGATTTATAATACCACAGTTAAACTGCTCAGCATACTCAGGTCTGTGTATTACAAAATAGAAGAAAGATTACCATGCGACAAATATTACAATTTTTTAATTTATCAAATTTTTTAACAGAAATAAAATTTTTTGTAAGTTTATGAGCTCCACATTGAGGTCTTGGAAATTTCATTTCCTTATGTTCCTTATGCTATTGCTACAAATCCAAATTTACATACACGAAAATATATATATAAAAGATCGGTCTTTGGAAATGAATGTCTCTTTAAGTTTATGTTCTTCGTAAGTAATGTTTGACAAATGTTAAATTATTTTTCCCAAAATTTTATTTAGTTTTTCATTTTTTTTATTGCAGAGAGGAGGAGGGTCCAAATATCCGGATTAGTTTTGAAGATCAGATGTTACAGTTTGTGAGAAATTATGCTAACCCAGCTCTATGCGCTGCTAAAACAGAGGTAAACAAAAATATAGAAAAATCGGAAACATTTTTTATTTATGTTGCAAACAAGGCCGATAACAGATTTGGTTTAAACACTTCAGGGATTGGACCTCCCTATTTTTTTTCATTTCATTTTATTTTGGGGCGATTAAAATGAAAACATTATAACTAATCAAAATTATCAAAATTTTCAAAATGATAATAATATCCGGATTAGAAGTAAAAAGCTTTTTTTGAAAAATTTATTGTTACCCTAGAAGTAAGATAAATTTGTTGAAGTTGAAATTCTACAGTTTTTACACCCCTTGGTCCCTGTATTTCGAGATAAATAGCCCATCCGGGAGAAGGTAGCATCGGGGGTAGGGGGCTTGCGATTACAAAATAATAATAAAATAATGATTTATGAAAACAGGAGGAAGATGATGAGCTTGAAGATTACGAGGAAGAAGAAGTAGAAGATAATGATGAAGATGAAGGAGAACAAGACGACGAGAAGAAAAGTAGCGTGGAGAACGTGGTAAAGGCTGAGCCCAGGGAGGTCTGTGATGTCGAGCTGAAGGAAGACAAGGAGCAGGTCCGACACTTTCTGGACGAATTGTTGGACGATTATAGCAAGGTAATATGGCCGAAGATATTCTAGAACTTTAAAATTTAAAATTTATCATCATAACTCCTAATCTATCATAACTCCTAATCTATCTAACTCCTAATCTATCATAACTCCTAATCTATCATAACTCCTAATCTATCATAACTCCTAATCCATAACTCCAAAACTAAAAGTATTCATTATTTTAATTTACTCCACTCTGTCTCTGTATTCAAGGAGTCGCTAACCACCATGCACAAGTATCTGGTATATCTCATCGCTCAATAGTACAGTCTAAAAAAGAACAAATGAGAACATTTTTTGGGCTAGTTTATACAGTCTGAAGACTTTCTAGTCCGCAAACTAGTGTCTGTAATTGTAAATATGTAATATATCACTGATTTTATTCCATGACCATAACTTGTACATATACTGTTATCATTTAACCTGTAAACTAGTTTGAAATATACATTATTATTATTATTATTATAACTCCTATCATATATATATCATAACTCCTAATCTATCATAACTCCTAATCTATCGCTCAAAAGTGTAGCTGAGAGTCAAAATGTTTAATAATCTCTGGTCCCTATAAATCTATCTACATTGAACAATAAGGTTTAAACTGTATTTTGTAGAAAACAAATGATAATTGAACATCTCAGCCCTCAGTCCTCTCCTGGACCAGAGACGGGTTTTTAAAAAAAGCTCATGAAAAAGTAACTACAGATCTTAAAAGGTGAAATTATTGAGCTTTTAAAACCATTGAGTTAAAAATGGTATCTATTCCTTATTATACTAACAAATTTTCAGAGTACTTTTATCGGTATTTTGGTACATTGTTACTAATTTTTTATTTGAGCAGAATTTAATTAGTTTCTTTATCCTTCGCCATGTTAGTTGTACTGCTGATACAAAGAAGGTAAAATATGTTTTGTAACATACAGAAAGAGTTCTTTCAGTTTGACACTGATCATTATTGCAAAATAAGAAATTTTCGCCTGAAAACTAAATTTATTCAAAAAACGTGTGTCAGAAATTTAGATCCAGGTATGAAGAGAACCCAATTTAGTATTTTTATTCAGGTATTAACTCCAAGTTTTAAATAAAAACTCTATGGTTGGGATAATAAACTTCATGGTTTGAATGAAAAACTCCATGGTTAAATGAAAACCTCCGTGGTTATAGGACAAATTCTATGGTTTACATGATCTGAATCAAACTGAAAGATCTCGTTCTCTAGTTTCCAAAACATATTTTACCTTCTTTGTATCAGCAGTACAACTAACATTGCGAAGGATAAAGAAACTAATCTAATTCTGCTCAAATAAAAAATTAGTAACAATGTACCAAAATACCAATAAAAGTACTCTGAAAATTTGTTAGTATAATAAGGAATAGATACCATTTTTAACTCAATGGTTTTAAAAGCTCAATAACTTCACCTTTCAAGATCTGAAGTTACTTTTTCATGAGCTTTTTTTAACCTATCTCTGGTCCAGGAGAGGACTGAGCAACATCTTTGAGCGATTTGAACGGTGAATTCGTAATTTTGAAAATTGGGGAATTCTTAGTTTTTCATAAAAAAGATAAATCTCGTGAATGATTTATTTAAAAAAAAATATCATTCAGCTTTTTATAACAACATATCCCTTCACAGTTGATTAGATGATTTCAACTCGAAAGGGACTGAATACGTTATTTGAAGTGACCCTCAATTCTTAGAGTGGCAGCCCTGATTCACAACGGCAACCTTTAAACCGATCAAGGATTAATGAGATATCCTTTTTCGTCTGGCTAAAATATATTTGATTGTGGTTTCCCTTTAAAAGTGGCTTGTGCATTTTTGCTTCCGCTACATAGAGCAAATTATAAAAAGATATAAAAAGATTATTTAGATAGAAAACCGACAATATCTTCCCTTACTGTTACTTAGACAGAGGTTTATAGGGTACTGTTGTTAATAAGACATGCCACTGGAAATGAAAGGTCACATACAATACGTCTACAGTCCCTTTAAATATATCGAAATAATTTCTAAAAAATCAGGATGTGTCCGGATCCAGTAAACGGAAAAGAGGACGGCCTCGGAAGCGAGGTGAGATCAGCTACAAGGAGGAGAACCAGGAGGAGGAGGACGAGGAGAGGCCGAGAAGGGTTAAGGACGGATTCAGATCTCTGGTACCTCCTCCGCTTAAGATCTGCGTAGAGTGCGGGCTTAAATCCTCCTCGCACCAGGAGAATATTGATCATTGGACCAAGGTCAAAGGTTTTTTAATATAAATAAAAATAAAAATAGATTCATTATTTTATTTCAATAAAATCATACTTTTCGCCTTAATATTTCTTCTCTTCATTTTCTCTCTTAACTTCAAATAACCATTTATGACATGAATTTTTCACTTTTTCTAAAGACCTTCGTGATAAAGAGACATTTGAATCCCCAAAAGCTTTAATTTAATTTTCCTGCCAAACGCATGTATTATGGGTAATCGTATTCAATGTTTGTCCAGCAACCAAAGCAAGGTTGATTTAATTTTGCAAAAATTATTCTAGAAATATCTCAATTTTCGTTGTGAGAAAATCTGGGAATCAGTTTAACTTTATGCACACTACACAATGCTAAACTAGTTATCAAAAGTTTCATAACATATTTTTTCCAGGCACATCCTAACCAGACGATCATGTACCGTTGTGACTGGGAGGCATGTGAATATTCGTCGACGATTGTCACTGAAATAAAGAAACATCGACGAAATCATCAAATTCAAGCAAACCAGCTTCAAAAGTAAGAGAATTTGGTTCAATACAATTAAAGAACTCGCAAATACAAGCAGTTAGCCCTAAACAAATTGTGGAATAGGAAGACAGCATCATACGTGAATTTGATGATGTTTAAAAGCAAATAATTTTACTAACAGCTTGAAATTAAATTTGTTAAGTGTAAATTTGTTTTTTCCTGTTTATTGGACTTGACTATTTAAAATCATAACTTGAGTCTAACATTCGTCTTCATATTCTACAGTTTTATGGGTCCAACTGTAGATACTAAACAATAAACATACATAATAGTTCAGCAAACAGAAATACATACTTTAAGATATAACTCCTAGATAGATACTAACATAGATACTAAAATACATTACAACATAAACCTAAGTCAGAAGTTTTATGTTGTGAATCTCAGGATCTAGCATTGATCACATCGTATGCAGATCTACAGATTAATTTAATTTCTCTTTGATGTCCAGTGATGGTCACTTTTATTTAGGGATCAAGCATTGATCCTCAAATCAATTAAGTGTCCACATTGGATATTGCGGTTTAAGAATTTTTTACCCAAAAGTTCTGATTTCATGACGTAAAGTGAATATATATGATAAAAAAATTAAAATAAGATACAAATACATTTATCCAATTTACAAACATACAGTTCTGAATGTATTTATTGGGTTGGGTACTTTATTTTCCATATTTTGCCAGTCAACCATAGATAATCTTAATATTCTAGTATTATTTTGTTAAAAACGTAACATTAGAAATTATGATTGATCTAGTTTTCCTAATGCTGAGTTATGCTTATTTTTTAAACACATGAGGGTGCTGCAGAATACAGCTGCTAATTTTCAGAATGGATGAAAAATCGATTTTGTGTCAATGGTAAAATCATTTATGAAAGAAAAAACCTATTTTAAACATTTATTTTAGTTTATTTATACATCAAAACATCACATTACACCGAAAAATACCAAACATTGAAGAGTAAAATTGTGTACAAAATTATCAAAAAATGATTTTAGAAATAAAACTTAAATATATTTTCCAGAATTTAAGAGTAAAATTTCTATTTTGCAATAAACTATTGAATCTGAGAAATATCTCGAAACTTTTCTCCATGTCGGATTTGTATTGGTCCAAGCTCGGACATTCAACAAATTAGAGATCAGAGATGGAATTTAAAGAATTTGAGCCGCGGTTTAAATCTGCCAAAACCCGGTTTAAATTAAGCGCCGGCTTAAATCTTGGAAACATTTGATACAATTTTAAGTGGAACCAACCATATTTAAGCCGCGGCTTAAATTTAAACCGCCGCTCAAATTCTTTAAATTCGGCCACAGACTTTTTAAAATATAAACCCTTCAAATATTTGTCTGAATTTGTACAAATCTGTTTAGTTCAACTTAATTTAAAAGTTTGTAATCAGTCAAGAAGTGTAGGTTCTTCAGCTTAAATGCATTGCACTCAAAAGCTCCAAGCTCTGATTTGAATTTTATATAAAAAGATGAGAATTTATTTTACAAATATCTGAAAACCAAATTAGATTTCGACTGCCCTTGTCACAGTAACCTAAAACATTGTTTTTTTTTTATCATCATTTTATTTTAATAATTTTGGATTTTTAGCTTTAACATGTCTGAATTATAAAATTTCTTATTTTTTCTTGAAAAAAATGTTTTTTATTTTTGTATTGGTTTTTATCTTACCTCTGAAAGCCTTTTTAACATGAAAACTGTTCCACGATGATTCTTAATCTTCTCGAAAATCAGTTCTCCATCAACCTTCATATATTAATATATTTGTTAAACATATATAAGTATATTAATATATTTATTAAACATATATATATTTATATAAAACATAATCATAATAACTGTGTGGTGGGAAAGGTGGGGGGGGGGGGGGGGAATACGTTTTTAAGAAGCACAACCCTACCACTTGTTGCGAGAACTGGGAACTGAACACTCGCCTCAAACTTAAATTTTCTAATCCCTATATCTTTGCAACTTAACAGTGTAGACATGAATTTTCTAAATTAGAATCCTCTTAAAGGTCCCACCAGGACTTCTGAGAAACACCAGAAAAGTACGTAAGAATTCGTGTTAAATGTTCATTTCCTTTGAAAAAAAAACTATATTCATTGTCATTTTTCAAAAAATGATAATTTTTTACTTTTTTGAAATTTTTATGCTTTTTCTTACCTCATACTCAGCGTAGAGGAATTCAGCTACTACGATAAATCCAAGTCTTTCAAACGCTTTTCTCGAATAAAGTCCCGTTGCTTCCGTCTTTATCGCCTAAAAATTTTTAAACTAACTTGCCGAGTGCTTGGCATTGCCCGTTGAATTTGAAAAACTGTGAAAAAAATCGATTTGAAATTTTGAAGAAAATAATTTCGACTTTTTAGCCAACGTGAGCCCCAGGGGTACCCACCACGAGTTCCCCTCAAAAATTTAGCCAATTCGCCCAGCCGTATGGCCAGCCATATCTAACATATATATATATGAGCGAAGAGCTTTATTATATATAGATAGTTGGGATTTTTTAATACAACTTTGGATAATTAATCCAAAGCAATGTTTCAGCTGGTATTTAGAAAACATATTTTGTAGATTTTAATTATCTCTTATCAGAGGTCGGAATTTTTGTAGATATGTTATTTTGAACGCTTGATCTCAATATTCTATCTGGGACTTATAGATTTGAGGATAAATGCTTGATCCCTAAATCAAAATTATAGTGCAAGGTTAAAAGTTTGCCCATCAGGGCCGGGAATTGGAAGAGGAATTAAATCAAACCTTAGATTTGCACAAGATGGAAATCATCTTTGACACCGAAATTCGCAACACTTAAAGATTTGACTGAAGACCCAAGTAAATTTTAGTTCAGTGTTTGTCACATTTACACTTCTTACGCCCTCAGCTGAATGTTTTCGTAAGATAAAAACAACTAATAATCGATTCTGAAACTAGAGATAAAAGTTGTTATTTTCTGTTCTAAAACTAGAAAACTTTGCCTTATATCTAAGACGTGAAACAGAAACTATTTATTTTTCTTCTTCTTTTCTTTTCGTTTTTTTTCTCAGAACAACATCGTCTTTTTTGTATTTTGAAACTTGTTTCAGTCTACCGATTTCCTTCACTGTTTCTGATTCAGAAATCCACAAGTAATTTGTTCAGAAATCCAGTTTGAAAAAAATAAATTTTTTATAAATTATTCTTACAGTCCCTCCTCATTAATCCAAAATAGTTGATGATATAGATTATAAATAATCATTAGGTTCAATCAAAAAGTTATTTTGCCTTATATCCAAGACTTTGCGCTAGTTGAACGGATCGTCGGAGCAAATCTGTTCCGAGTCCGCATTTCCGGTTCAGTTTATCCGTAGCCACCATCTTGATGTCGAAGATAATGTCAGTTTCCATCTGAAAATACGAAGTTTATTGAAGTATATAAATACATATAGAATATCATGTAGTTTAAATGCCAAAACTGATCTTAAATTAACTTTAAAATGTAGACGCAATTTCAAATGACTCTCCTTTTACTAATAGTGTTATGTCCATGATTCACAACATTACTTTTAAAAGCTTTGTTAGATCAAGAATGCATGAGCTATCAATTAGGTTTTTATTTTATTTATAAATTTCAATTTTAATTGACTTGTGCATTTCTGATATAGAAAACATGATGAAATAAAAACGTACGGTTTTTTGGACAAAAGTATAATATTTTAAGGAAGATAAAAATTAAATTCTGATGTTTCTCACGTCCTAAATTACATATATTGGGAATTTATCACGATCTTGTTATTTTTAACGATGCATCCATTACAAAAAAGAAAAATATATTTTTCTTTTTTAAAAATATCTTTTTCTTTTTTAAAAATATCTTTTTCTTTTTTAGCTTCATAAAATAATTATTTTTTATGATATTTTTAAAGAATTTTATATATGATATTTGATGACATTTCTGTATAGTTAGGAAATTTAAAATTTTACGCTCTTGTATCAAAAGGGAACAGAAGCAGGGGCGTACGATGGCTTTTGTTTAGGGGGGGGCACAATTTGCGCGCTTACGCGCGCAAAAAAAATTTTTGGTCCCCCCCCTTGGCAACATTGGTTCCCCCCCCTTAAAAACCCCTTTTTTGAAAAAATATTAATACCTTTTTTAAATTTTTTTGCCCCCCCTCTCCCACCTGTACATATTTTGTTCACCATAAAAATACACCAAAAAGACTACTTTTTTGGGTGTTACTAACCTTAGAGTCTAAAAATTATTCCTTTGCTTGAAAAACTAACTTTTTGACTTTATAAATTTATCACTAAACTCCATCACAGCTAACTAAATCAATAATCACAGCATCATTAAAAATTATATTTTTATGAATAAACGAAATTTCTTCTGAAATTTTTAGATAGAATTTACTCAATCTAAATTTTAACCAAATCTTTTAAGCTACAATTTTCTGGGATTTGCTTGCACAAACATTTCAATGATTTTTTTCAGTAGAGAGCTCNGGGGGGCACGCGTAGAGGGGGGCGGGGGGGCGCGGCCCCCCCCTCGTACGCCCCTGAACAGAAGGTTCACATTCATTACGTAATTAATTTTATTACATTTTTTTTGAGAGAGTAGTGAGTTTTTTTATGTTTTTTAAAACAATATTTGTTTGGTTTTTGAAGTAATGAATTTTCTACAAGAAATGAAATGATTTATTAACAAATGAAAATTAGCTTTCTAAATATTTGAACTATGAAGATTAAAATAAAATATTTCAGTTGTCTTAATCTATTTGTTTTGAAGGGATATAATATGTCGGACTTTAAAATATGTCTCTGACTTTCTAAATATATGGATTGATTTAATGTTGTACTAGGAAGGATTTCTTAATCTTTATAAAGAGAAGAGGATTCGAGGAATATAATGAGATTCTTGGTTGAATGAGATAGAGCAGGAAAACATTAAGACTTTCACACACACACGAACTTTCTAGAATTAATTTATTGCTCGACAAAAACATAGGATAAAAGATGAGAACCTTTATCCGAATCCAGAGCAATATTTTTAACATTTTTTATTTCCAATTGAAGTGTTGCCTTTTTAAATTACAATCCATTAGCAATGTAATCGACATATTTGCCTTGTCTTTAAACGTCTGAACCGATTCGGCCCAAATATTAATTCACAATACTACAGGGTAGGTTTATGGCCAGTCGAAATTTTTAAATTTTGGAGTAAATCATCTCATTAAATTTTCTTTATTTACAAAGAAAAATGGTGGATCAGTATATTTAGTCAAAAATTATTTTTAGTAATAAGGGCGCAAACAGGTATTGAAAAATACCTGTTGAAAAACATCTCCTGCTCTCTGATGTAGATCCGCCATTATGCCCATTATATGCCGGAACTTATCCTTCCCTCTAGAAAAGTATTTTTATTCATATTTTCCAGTCAGGGGCGGATACAGGGATAAAGGGATTGTTGGGAGATTTTTCTTCAACTTCATCCTGAATTTTTAATATTTCCCGTGGAAAGAACATAAGGGATGGCTAGATATTACATAAAACTTGGTTGTTTTAATTCAAGCTTTTAAAATAAAATAAAATAAATGAAAGCAATTCAGAAAAACATTTTAAAATATCTAAAACCTCATTTACATAATGCATAGAAGTAACTTTCAGTTCTAGATTTGGTTTAAGGAGGTAGCAATTTCAGGATTACAAACATTTTCTTAAAGGATTTTTAATTTTACTCTTTGTATTGTATTGTATATACAGTTAACAGATACCTTAATAGTGTTGCATTTGATAAATTTTGTTAAGGTAACTTCAGGGGCATATACCGAAATTTGTCGAGAGGGTGGATGGGTTTCAAGGGCGTTTACAAGGGGGGGGCAGTGCCCCCCCCCAGAACTCAGAGCTATTACACTTTTAAAATCTGAAACTAAAGAGTTGAAGAACATTAAAAAAATTAGTTTGCTGTTTTTTCTGCTAGTTTTGTTTAAAGGAGAGATAAAGTAGTACTTGTAAGGTAACTGGACTGTATATGTACCTTTAAACTATCCAAGAAGCCAAATGTTTTGAATTTACAGTTAAATTTTTTTGTGCCGCTTCGCACATATTCCCCCCCCCCCCCTAGATTTATTGCTGTATACGCCCTTCAACCTTTTTTCCCACCTTGGAAATCATATTTGATACTTTTCAACGTGGGGGGGGGGGCACAGCCATTGTAAAACTCCTCCCCTTTAGTACGCCCCTGAGCTGTGCGAATTTTTGAAAATTGAAAAGCCAGGATCTGTATTTGTTGTTTTAATATCTTTAAGAAAAGGTTCAACTTATCTCCCCTAAAGGAATTGAATGTTTTATTTTTAAATAGAAAAGTTTACACTTTACCTTCAACGCCATCAGAGTATATTCATCTGCTTCAGGAATTCTAAATCAAACATATTTTAAAAGTTTATTAAATACTACAATGTTGGCTTTAAGATTTATTTAGAATTAGCTTTGCCGCAGTTTATTTGAGGGATAACTTAGACATCTTATATTATTACCAAATATAATTATATTTATTAATAATTATTAAATATAAAATTTTTTATTGTAATGATTTGTCCTGCTGTATGTAACAAACATACAAGCATTCCAACCTACATTTTCGCCGCTTATATTTACTATATATATTAGATATTTTATGATAAGGTATTAAATTGGCAATTTCGATAAAATCAAATTAAATACCTGTGTTTTCCATCAAATATATTGAGTGCTCTAGACATTGGTTCATCAGTATGGAAGTTAGCATATAGTAGATCAAGAACCTAGATATTTGTCCTCATTATAAATTAATTGATCAGGAAATTATAGTGATCTTAATTGCGAGAACTTTATTATTATTTAAATCTTCATTGGGTCTATGCAAATATACAAGAAATTGTTTACAATTATTAATCACAATTGGTTTGCAACATTTATTTATACAAAAATCGTAAATATTTAATAAATGAAACATTTTTTGGATTTTTTAATTTAAAGTTAAGTAAATTCAGTAATAGACGACATAGAGACCGATGCATTAGTATGCATACAACAAGGCAAATTAGCCAGGGATCTTTCCATGTGTTCAGCGAATGTATAAAAATTATATGATTAACCAAAAAGAGATCGTAAGTACAAAACAGTACATTTTCACTAAAAGAATTTTTATATATTTATATACTTCCGGGAGGCATCGATACAGAGCATTTATAATTAACCAAGATAGAACTGCGAGAACTAATATCAAGAAAAAGAATAATAGTTCAGATTATGAATATTTAGTTAAAAGAAAACTGGTGAGAAAATATCCGTAGATTTTTTTTACTAAAAAAAAACAGCGTTTCGGATCCGGATCCGGATCCGGTCGGATCCGTATCATTTGGTCGGATCCGGATCCGGATCAGGAAACGTTGATATGGATCCGGGTAGCGCCAAAAATTAACCAAAACCATGGAATAAATAAATCAAAATGGTTCGTAAATGTATTATTTACATGACGAAAATTTTTCAAAATTATCTTTATAATAATTTAATGTTTACATTTATATAATAGTAATGACGACATTTTTAACTTTAGGATTACATTTCGGAATATATAATAAATATAGTTTATAAATTATAACCTTGCATAACATTTAATAGGGAAAATCCGATTCACAGAATCAAAAGTTACCTCGGATCCGGATCCGTATCAGAGTCAGGATCCGGATCCATCATCATGGATGCGGATCCGCGGATCCGGATCCGCATCAAAATGATACGGATCCGAAACACTGAAAAAAAATATAAAAATAGATATTTTTTACCTCTGTGTATCGAGATTGATCTACTATTCTAAAAATTACGTCAGACAGATCCGTTGGACCAGCTACAGATAGCCTAGGCAATATTTGGTTCATTTGAACTAGCTACAGATAGCTTAGTCAATATTTGGTTCAGTTGAACCAGCTACAGATAGCCTAGTCAATAATCAGTTCAGTTAAACCAGCTACAGATAGCCTAGGCGATATTTGGTTCAGTTGAACTAGCTACAGAGAGCCTAGGCAATAATCGGTTCAGTTGAATCAACTACTAAAAGACTAGGCAATAATTGTTCTGTTGAATCAGCTGCAGATAGCCTAGACAATAATTGGTTCAGTTTAGCCAGCTACAGATAGCTCAGTCAGGAATCAGTTCAGTTAAACCAGCTACAGATAGCCTAGTAAATAATTAGTTCAGTTGAACCAGCTACAGATAGTCTAGACAATGATTAGTTCAGTTGGACCAGCTACAGATAGTCTAGACAATGATTAGTTCAGTTGGACCAGCTACAGATAGCCTAGACAATGATAAGTTCAGTTGGACCAGCTACTGATAGCCTAGACAATAATTAGATCAGTTGGACCAGCTTAAAATAGTCTAGGATATAATTAATTAAGTTAAATCGAAGCTACCAATGGCTTTGAAAATAAATATTATTATTAAGATGGATATCTTCTATTATTTATGAATTGCGTCCACTGCATTATTTAAAAAACTGTCTAGCGGATTCCCGTTATTAAAACCTGGTCGAAGTAGAATTAGACCAATTGTAAATATTCAATACTCTGTCACCGTTGACAACTTGACAATCCGTCAATCATATTTAGAAATGACTTTATAATCATTTAACTTACGTTCTTGAAGCAACAGCTCCCATGGTTGAGAGAAGAATGGATCAAGGTTACGCTCCTCCTACCACCCATCCTCTCATCCTCTATCTATACGTCCTCTATCCTCTATCTATCCGAGAGGGAAGGGAATATTATACACTTGAACTAAACAATAAATCATCTTCTGTAGAACTTATCTAACAATTAGAAACAAACTTATTCCGTTTTATTATAAATAATTCAAAAACATTACTGAGTTTATTGGCACTGTTAAGTTAAAAATGTGGATGAAAAATCTTAAAAGAGCGATGTGAAGTGTTTTCTATCAAAATGTAGACTGTATGTGCAATAGTTATTCACATATTTGAAATCTGTTGTATCAGAAAAAGTGTGATCTAAAAAAATATTTGTCAAAATTATTTTTTTGTCTCATTGTAAAAAATTTTAGGTTAGGGGAAGGTGGGCTGCACTTAGTCCTGAATTTTTCACAATCATAATTTAATATAAGCAACTTTTTCTCTCACTAGTTTCTTGATATAAGTCTAGTTTTAGGTTCTCTTCATCTTGGATAAATAAGGAATTTAATACCATTATGTCGAGAGGACTGCAGAAACCGAGGAAAGAGAACTAATGGATTTTATAAATATCAGTTTTTAAGGAATATTTGAAAATGAACAGTGTGTGGGGGGTGGGGGGTAATATGTGTTTTTCTTCTAAAAATAAGTGGTTCCCAATATACCCTTTCTGATTGATTAAGTTATAGGGTTATAAAATCCAGTTGATATATACGCCTTCGGACAGATATCAAGAATATAATCCTTCTTTTTGCATTGCTATTGTATTCTATCCATAATACAACTCTTTTTCATTTTTATTCTCTTAACAGTCATCTTAGTGCTACTTTCCCACAGTTTGGTTTGTTTTAACAATCAATGGTTTCCATGTAGAATATAGATTGTACAAAGAATATTAATATTTACAGAGCTAGCTGTAAGTAGAATATAGATTGTACAAAGAATTTTAATATTTACAGAGCAACTGTAAGTAGAATATAGATTGTACAAAGAGTATTACTATTTACAGAGCTAACTGTAAGTAGAATATGGATTGTAAATAATAGATTGTACAAAGAATATTATTATTTACAGCGCTAGCTGTAAGTAGAATATAGATTATACAAAGAGTATTAATATTTACAGAGTTAACTGTAAGTAGAATATAGATTATACAAAGAGTAATAATATTTACAGAGTTAACTGTAAGTAGAATATAGATTGTACAAAGAGTAAATATTTACAATAGAATATAGATTGTACAAAGAGTAAATATTTACAGAGTTAACTGTAAGTAGAATATAGATTATACAAAGAGTAATAATATTTACAGAGTTAACTGTAAGTAGAATATAGATTGTACAAAGAGTAAATATTTACAGTAGAATATAGATTGTGCAAAGAGTAAATATTTACAGTAGAATATAGATTGTGCAATAATGATCAAATTTTACATAATGAAAATAGCTCCTACATTCTATAAAGTTCCGATTCATCTATGTTAACTATGGTAAGACGTGTACACTGTACATGTATAGTGTACATGCTCAAACCAATTCAAACCGGAATATTTCAATATATTAACATGTGGGTATAATATAAATGCTCTTCATCATTCTTCAGAGGTGAATCTCACTAAACAAATATGAAATTCTGAAGAGTCCTTCTTTTTGAAACTGTTGGTTGTTATGTTGTTATGTTGTTATTTTGTTATGTTTTTATGTTGTTATGTTGTTATGTTGTTATGTTGTTTTCTGTTTAGATGTGACAAGTGTGAGAAGTACTATCCTCCTAAATACCTGGCTACTAGGCATATCCTGGTCCATCAAGAAGGGAAGAATTTTAAATGTAAAGTTTGTGAAAAATCTTTCAAAACTCCAGAAAATCTCAAGGTAGAAAATATACTCAATATAGCTCATACTAGCAAATTAATATTAAAGCATTCACATCAGGGTGATCTACATCATTTGTTTGGATGTGCCTGAAAATTATGTGAAAGAATCTTTGTCATTTGACTCAAAAAAATGGTCTAGCAAATATCCTGTTTTTTGTATTTTGTTCAAAAGAAAATTAACTTGCCCTGCCTTAAGTACTAATTTTCTGATTCTTTGATATTTCCATTTAATAATTCTGTCAGATCATAGTAAATAGTTTGAAAAATCAAAAGTTGACACCTTCAAAGATATAGGGATTAAAGAAATTAGATTTTGAAGAGAGTAATCAGTTTCTTTCGGTTGTAAAAGCTTTACGTAAATCCAATGTAATATAGATCACCCTGTAGTTACATTCCTCAAGATTAAACCTAGCTGTTGTACAAGATTTAATCTATAAGCAATTACATTACACTCAAGCTGAACACAATCAATAATGAAAACAGTTTATACATTTTCTTTTTTCCGATCTTGATTATTGCAAACAAGAAAAGTTCTAAAACAATTATTATTAAATTATTCTAAATGAAATACTAAAAAACGTGAGGATAGTTGAAAGCGCCGGCAATAATTTGTGAAAATTTAATATAATGAAAAATATTAATATTGTTAATAATATTAACATTGTTAATAATTGAAAATAATCAATAAATTATCAATTTTCGCATAAAAATAAGAAAAAGATAATAATATTATTAATTATGTTAAGAGTTTCTATCAAAACAAAGGACGATCGAGTCCTGAGAAAACAGTCCATTATGAATAAACGACCAACGAGCTTTCTGATCTAAGAACTTTCTTATCTTTAAATGTATTAGATCTTATAATAAGTTGCTGTTGGAGTTGCACAGAGTAATATCGGGGAGCCGATATAATAGCGTATAATCGCGTAGAGCGGGGTAAACTACTCACTTCGCTAAGCTTTAAGAGTATGATTATATATTTGTATGAGAAATACTGATGCCATAGAAACTATTCAAACTAATTATCCGTAGTTTTTAAAAAAAATATAAATTTTTTTACTCCCCCGCGATTTTACGGATTAAAATGTACATCTAACCCCATCCAACTCCACCCTCTTATCTTAACCTAACCTTTTTTAGATCTAATAGATCTTCATGTTAGAAAACACTAAGGTTCTTTTCCTTTAGGTTGGATTGGTGGGTACTGATATTGATCAATAATTATTTAGGTTTCATTCAAAGTCCGTTTCCCTAAGCTTGAGTTGATTTTTTACCATTTTTAACCATATGATTTCTATGTTTCTAGGTTCATAATCGTATCCATGGTCCTGACGATGTCAAGTATACACATTGCTGTGATCTCTGTGGGAGAAGGTTTACTCAGAAAGCAAATTTGGAATCACACATGCGGGTTCACACCGGTCTCAGGTACAAAGTGTCGGTAAGAAATATGAGACGGCTAGTAGATCGTCTTTGATATTTGAAATGAGTTTTTGCGCCAATTTACAATTAAAACTCTTGAAACATGATCACAAAATACTCCTATTCCCGGAATTTCCAAAATGTGTTCTGCCAGGCCTGTTTTGGCCTTTCAAAATTACCGGTGATATTATGAATGTTCGTTAAAGTGTTTAAAGGATACCAGTGTGAATTGGACATGACACTTTTTTTAAGTAAAGGGTGACTTGAAATTAAGACGACTGCCCCTCCAACGTTTATTGTAACTTTTTTCCTTGGTTGTTTTTAGGTCTGCGGCCTTATGCGTTAAGCTTCTTTTAGTAATAATTATTATTATTTTTGTTCCAGGCCTTTTTCCTGTGATTTTTGTGAGAAAAGTTTCAGTCAGAAAGGAAATCTAGATGAGCACAGGAGAACACATACAGGAGAGAAACCGTATGTTTGTGATATCTGTGGATCCCGTCACACGAGGAAGGGAGAACTTCTTCTCCATATCCGTTGCATTCATACACACGAGAGACCGTTCCAGTGCTCATATTGTCCCAAGAACTTCCAGCGGAGAGATCTTTTAAGGCAGGGGTTCATCTAGGATTAATCTGGCCAATCATTTTCCACTTTTCAATTGCACCGATTACTCCCAAAATTGTCCCTGAACTACACTTGGACACTTAAAATCTGCCAAAAATCTTTGTCCATAAAATCTCTCGCAAATATTATCAAAACCCATAAATTCTGTAACAAATAGTATATTAAGTCCATTGAAACTGCCACAAATCTATGTAATAAAAAAAATTTTCTGAAAATTTTTTTTCTCTTTTTTTAAACGGACCTTTCAGCTAATAGTGAATCAATTCAGCAAATCTGCTACTAAAGTATATCAGTCCATAAAATATGCAGCAAAAGTATTTAAGACTAAAATGTACCAGAAATAGTATCCTAATCTATAAAATCTGCATTAATTAGTATTAAAGGGGGTAGAGACTTAATGCGATAAAAATGCGCTTTTAATCGCTACTAATCTTACTTCTATCTGTTGCGTCTATAAGGAGAAAATTGTTAAAGACGTCTCACACCGAACAACTTAGCGGCCATACAAATTGAGAAAATTGCAACATACAACTTAGACCGTAAAAAATCAATTTAATTTCAAACAAATCATTCAGATATTACAACCTTCATCAATTATCTTTCGCCACATTTGTATATAGTTTATATTTTATAATATTTTTAAATTTATTTGTTTATTTCTCTTGTCGCTTGCGCAACTATCTAAGAATGCCGCACACCACTCACAATTTTCGAAATCCGTTGAAAACGTTTTCTAAAAAAATAAAATATTATAAAATATAAACTATATACAAATGTGGCGAAAGATAATCGATGACTATAGGTTGTAATATCTAAATGATTTGTTTAAAGTTAAATTGATTTTTTACGGTCTAAGTCATATGTTGCAATTTTTTCAATTTGTATGGCCGCTAAGTTATTCGGTGTGAGACGTCTTTAACAATTTTCTCCTTATAGACGCAACATATAGAAGTAAGATTAGTAGCGATCAAAAGCGCTTTTTTATCGCATTTAGCCTATACCCCCTTTCATTTTTCGCGAACACTCCCTTTAAGGTCCATTAAACTTGCTCAAAATGTATATAAGTTCATAAAAATCAGTATGAAACATTATCCAAGTCCATTAGATCTGCCACAATATTAAAGTCCATCGAATCTGCCTCTTAAGTAAAGTCTTACATTTGTCACAAAATGTCTAGATGAACCCCAATGTCAAGAAAACATGAACGGATACACACGGATACTAGGCCATATGGATGCGAGTTCTGTGGGAAAACGTTTACTGCGCGGGATAAGATGATTGTACACAGAAGGCTTCATACAGGTGGGGTAAAAATTCATATCGTTATTTCTATACGATTCCATATGTTTCCAACGCAACTGAGCTATTTTCAAGGAGGGGGAGGGTGGGGGGAGCTTTTTTTGATTGAAAGTGTGCTGCAATGTTGTATATTTTTTTATAATTAAATTCTAGAATTTAGAATCTGTCTTAGACAAAATCATGTAAATTTCACCATTTGTCCCTGTTTATTATTAGAAATAGTTTTTAGGCTGAACCTCAACTAATATTGTTTAAAGCTGGATCTCTGGGAAGTAGAAAATGATGTCTCTTGAACAGTTTAAAGCAACTTAGCGAATTTGCAATATAGCTAAAAATATTAACCTGCTTCAAATAAAACTTGAGAGTGAGTAGCGTAAACATGGGAGCGGGATATGGGGGTCTAGCTACCCCCTTGGACAAATTCCTGTGTACGCCCCTGTTCACATGTACTTGTTGTTTAGGTGAGAGACCGTATATGTGTAACTTCTGTGGACGAGGCTTCTGTGAATCCGGAAATCTGAAGAAACATCTCCGAGTTCACGGCAAGGATATTCCTTCAGTAATCCGGCAGAATAATAAGGGGCGGGGGGCGGAGAGACAAGATTTAGGAGACCTAGACAAGGCAGTTATTCAGGGCGGGGGTGTAAACATCCAACCAACAGGGCCAGGGCGGATGTTAGAGGCGGAGCCGAAGGAAGAGGAGGAGGGAGGGAATGTTAGTTACGAGGAACAGGTATAGAGTATTACATAAGATTTAATTAACTAAGGTACTTAACAAATTGTCGATAACTCTAATTTTCTAATCTTTTTTATTTCCAACCTGTGTAATAGACCATTGATATCTCAAACTATAAATTTTGCTTGGCCAAAAAGTTGAAGCATAAAACATCATAGGTTTGCGAAGTTAAAGGGGTATAAAGTTATAGTTTTAGGCAAATATTAAGTTCCTTTTTTGCCCCAGGAAAGTAATTCTGGGGAATGTGTATACCAAAAATTAATTTAAATCAATTCATATTAAGTACATTAAAAGAGTGACTTGATCCATTTACAAGGGTACCAGGCATAATTAGCTCAGTAACAACGAAGAAAATATCATAGAGTTTATTATGAAAAGTATTGAATACCCACAATTTCCTACATAGCCACTTTCACAGTAAAACACGATAGGAAATAATCAATTTTAAGGGATTAGAATATATATTTCTTTCACTTTGTTATCGGTCAAAGGTTTTATAGTTATTGTGAATCAGACATGCCACTCTATAAATGGAAGTTCACTTGAAATAACGTCTACATTATTAAGGTGAAGGTAGAGGAGGAGTATAGAAGAAGAAGTACTGTAGATGATCAGGAGAATAGAAGCCAAACTCCTGCTTACCCCCAGACCCCTCAACTCAGGGCAGATACCCCTCAAACCCCCCTTACCCCGCATACCCCTCAAGCTCCTGACTTCAATCTCGTGAGCTCTGCTCAACGAGCTGCTGAACAGCAGGGATACAGTCTAGTCACATCTCATCCACAGCTCCAGCAGCTGCAGCAGCAACCATATCCACAGTTTGTTTCTCATCCTCTACTCCACCAGATACAATCCAACTGGTCAGCCATGTATTCTCATATACAGCACCCTCCCCAGTAGTTTCTCATCCTTTACTCCACCAGATACAATCCAACTGGTCAGCCATGTATTCTCATATACAGCACCCTCCCCAGTAGTTTCTCATCCTTTACTCCACCAGACACAATCCAACTGGTCAGCCTTGTATTCTCATATACAGCACCCTCCCCAGTAGTTTCTCATCCTCTACTCCACCAGATTCAATCCAACTGGTCAGCTATGTATTCTCATATAAAGCACCATCACCAGTAGTTTCTCATCCTCTACTCCACCAGATACAATCCAACTGGTCAACCATGTATTCTCATATATAGCACCCTGCCCTGTAGTTTCTTATCCTCTACCCCACCAGATTCAATCCAACTGGTCAGCCTTGTATTCTCATATACAGCACCCTCACCAGTAGTTTCTCATCCTCGAATCCACCAGATTCAATCCAACTGGTCAGCCTTGTATTCTCATATACAGCACCCTCCCCAGTAGTTTCTCATCCTCGAATCCACCAGATTCAATCCAACTGTTCAGCCTTGTATTCTCATATACAGCACCCTCCCCAGTAGTTTCTCATCCTCTAATCCACCAGATTCAATCCAACTGGTCAGCCATCTATTCTCATAAACAGCACCCTCACCAGTAACATCACAGATAGATAGAAAACTTGTTTGAGAATCTGTTTTTAAATACAAAAAATCATTACGTCATCAATCAAACTAACCTTATAATTTAAAGACCCGTTCTACGTATTTCACCTTATTTTATAATTATGTAAAGTTTAAAATTCAAAGTTATTAATAGGCTTATTATTTCCCGGGAATTCGAGCTTTTATAGTCGCTGCTGAATGTGCCAGATTTCTTTATTTGTTTTAATTTTGGGATCTCGACATTTAACTCTGATCATATTTTCATATATTTAACCAAACCTTTTTTTACGGAATATTTGTTGAGCTTTTGATTTTCAATTAAATGTTACAAATTTCACTGTAAAATAATATTTCTTGTCTGATTTTTTTGATTGTCAACTGTGATTGAGTGATTAAAAATTAATAAATATATAAACTAATGTTAAACTCCGTAAAAAAAAATAAGAAAATGGTAAGGGAACCAAGGATGAAAATGGTAAAGATTAACCTAGGGTGTAAATGGTAAAGGGAACCATGGATAGAAATAGTAAAGATTAACCAAGATGGAAATGTTAAGGGTAACCAAGGATGGAAATGGTAAAGGGAACCAAGATAGAAATGTTAAGGGGAACCAAAAATTGAAATGGTAAGGGAACCAAGGATGAAAATGGTAAAGATTAACCTAGGGTGTAAATGGTGAAGGGAACCATGGATGTAAATAGTAAATGGTACTAGTAAAAACTAGTATATATTTTTACGGTAAAGTTGCACATCGTCTACACACGCAATATTCCCTCTAGTAAACTTTTTCCGATCTTATGCAATTTATATCGAAACTACGACTCCTACGACGGTTGTTTTATTTTCTGTTGTTTGATGGTTATTGGTTAGATTAGGCTTAGACAATATCTGGGCCGAGTGCTACAGTTAGGGGGCCTAGTATAGCGGATGTTGTGTAGGTCCGAAGTGGAGTATAGCGGATATGCGTAGGTCGAAAGCTACACCTTCAATTTTTAATTTCAGAATCTTGAAGACGACTTTTAAACTAGCCGCATTTGATTAACTTTATCTTTGACCAATCACATCTTTTGAATTGTTAAGCACCAACCTGTTCGACCAATCAGCTTCCAGGAATACACCCAATTCCGTTAAACCAATCACTATCCACTATTTGCCAGATTTTCTCAAGAAATGTTGGGCGCGGATAAATTCAAATTTTAAATTTAAGATTTGTCGCAATTTTGTAATTTAACATGCTTGTGATAATGCAGTACTGCAGTCAAATGAATTATTGTTCAAAATTGTGTGATGCTTTGCACATTGTATATTCCTATAAAATATTTATTAATTTCGTTTCAGAAAAGATATGAAAATATTCACTTGAGTGTTAAATATGTCGGAGAGTCATTTGGAAGGTAAGCTTATTATTGAATATTTATTAATAACTACCAAATTTAGTGTTATTTATTATGAAAACATTCAATTACTGGTAGTTTCCTAGTGAAGGATCTATGAACCTCCCTTCCTGATCATCACGGTTTAAATTTTTCCTGGGATGTGGCCGCAGCGCCCGGCCCCCTAGCCTTTATAAAACAAATTATCCAAAATTCTCTCTAGGCCTGAGCCTAATCGCTTGTTTACTTTCTTCAAGGTTGCATGCACATTTGTACACAACACCCAGGTTGATTCCGTCTTAGTATGCGATTTTTAAACATCCCCTTTCATCTAACGTGTACATTTGATTTCAAGCATTTTCAGCATCTTTATAAGAATTTTGTTATTACCTTAGGGCGGTAATTTCCTATTATACGAATTTTGGACTCCCCTCCCCCCCCCCCTCCCCCTCCTATTAATTTTGTACATCGATCTCATATAAATTTAATTGGTGATATGTAACCGCAGCGTCGGCCCCCTAGCCGTAGCGCTTGCCCCCTTAGCCTGTCCTAGCCGCAGCGCTCGGCCCCCTATCCTTTCCTAGCCGAAGCGCTCAGCCCAGAAAAAGTCTTAACCTAACTTAACCCTAAAAAAAGAATAAATAATAGTTTTGCTGTAAAGTAAGTGGTCGTGTACAAAATTGAAAGGAGTGGGGAGGGGGGCGTCCATAAATGGCATACTATGACGGACCCCCTCAGGGCTAGGTTAGTTAAGATTTAGTCAATTTACAGGCTAAACGCTGCAGCCAACCGCGGCTAGGATAGACCAGGGGGCGCTGTGGTCATAAATCTAACTATGTCAGGTTTTAAAATGTACGATGTATGTACAAAACTGGGGAATTGGGTATAAATAATTACCGGGGTTGGAATGCCATCGAACAATACCCCCCTTCACCCTCGATAAATGCCCTTTTTATACACTAAATAAATTGTAAATTAATATCTCTTCGGTTTGGTTTCAATTATATAGCAATCTTGTAGTCTTTAAACGATTTATTCAGACCAAATGATCAGGGAGAAATGGCCGAAAAATTAAGCAGTAATATAGCTGGCCTATATATGAAAATATCTTAAATGTTAAAATCTTGTAAATGAGCCAGTTGTACCAAAATGGTTCCAAGTAGTTGAGTCGCACAACTTTGATATTTTTCAGAGCCCCCTGACAACATAGAACCCCTAGTCTATTGAAAACAATATCTTAGACTCCGTTATTTAATCTGTTGAGAACTCTCATTGTAAAATTTCTAAGACAGAATGTTTTGTTTTAGATCACGAGGTTCAACTTTGCCTGATTGGAGAAGAATTGAGGAGAGATGCTTCCATTGTGAAAACATGTCAATCGTTTCAAAGACCAGTTCACTACTCAACGTAGGGTTTACAACCTGTTTATTGTAATTTAAATTCTTATCTTAATGTTATTGTTATTGAGGGGTAAATATTTTGTTAAAATAATGTGTTTCTTCCTCCCCAGTCTCCGTCCCTCTTCAATTTTTTTCTTCTAGAATTTGCCAGTTCATGTTGTGTTTTGATTTTTCCCAAAAAATGTTGTAGTTTATTTGTCCCAAAAAGGGGGGGGGGTAAATCTTTAAAATATATTTATCCCTTAATTGTACAAAATTGGAACACAAGAAATGGGACACCTTTTGTATGGAGTATTTCTTGGCTTGAAATTTGACAATTTTCTTCATTTTTTACCAATAGATCACCCTAATCCAAAGGTATTTTGCCAGTTTCTTCTTTAATACTAAAGCTTAAATTGAGTGCTTAACAGTTCTAAATTAACATGTTTACAAACAAGGAACAAACAAGTTAATGTCTGTAAGTCATGTAAAATCAATTAGGTCTAGGGGTTGTAAACACTCTAAACTCGACCCGGTCTTGAATTTGATGCAACTTTTTATAAAAGTTTGGATCAATTTTGTATTTATTCAATTAAACTCTGTATGGTTCCAGAATGGATCGAATTGGGTAGATTTATTCAATTATATTCTGTATTGTTCAGGGATGGATCGGATTTGGTAGATTTATTAAATTATATTCTGTATTGTTCAGGGATGGATCAGATTGGGTATATTTATTCAATTATATTCTGTATTGTTCAGGGATGGATCGGATTGGGTATATTTATTCAATTATATTCTGTATTGTTCAGGGATGGATCGGATTGGGTAGATTTATTCAATTATATTCTGTATTGTTCAGGGATGGATCGGATTGGGTAGATGAAGATAATGTTATCACCGTATTTGTTGTTTCTTCCTTTAGGGGGGAAATATTCGAGAGATTGCAGGTAACGCACATAATTTAAAAAAAAATTAATAACTTTTTATCAAATTTGAATTTATCCCCCTCTCAAAAATCGGTAACTTCTACTTTGAAGAGTTTTATCACTTAATTTGAACATGAAAGGGAAAAAATTATATGTTGATAAAAATAGTCAGACAATGTATAAAGTATTCAAACTTTTGTGCATGTATTTCCTTCAATTTTAAATTTTATGTGCTCTAAAAACCCCAAAAGTCTTAGACCCCCTGATTTAAAGCATTTTGGACCTCGCCACGAGTCGATATTTGTAAAATTGTCTTGTTTGAAAAGACACCTTTTTGTATCTTTAAATATATTTAGAATGAGAAGAGACATATTTTGGGAATACCTGCATTAAAAGATCTGGCCAACTCGGGCCATCCAATCCTGGTGAATATCTTACCACTCTTATGCAAACAATTTCCTGATTGCTTTTGATAAAGTAATTAAAAATGTTATAGATTTTCCTGTGTTATTGATAATTTTTTTTAAGCTGATAAAAACTACGTTTATCAGGGATCATTTTTATTACCCATAGCTGCCGTGAACAACCGCCCCTAATAAATAAATAAATAATCTGTTTTGCAATTCATTGGGTTTTATATATATGAAAAGAATGAGCTATTTCGGAAATCTTCATAATTGGTCATTGGAAAAAGTATTTCTGGTTGTTTTCTGTTTTCTTAAACTTTCAAACCAAATTTAAATATTCAACTTTTGTATTTTGTAAAAATGTTCTTCATAACTTGTTGATTTATAATTTACTGTTTGTTTAGGTTAAGAATAAACCAGTTTATTGCCTTGCACTCTTAGGATGTCGTATTATATTTAGTGGATACAGGTATAAAGTATATATATATCAGAGCTAGGAAATATAACTAGATAGATGCATCTGAAAGTTATTTTTGTGATTAACAATTGCTGGAGATAAATAATAGGCAGAAAGGCTTTTTGAGTGTTAAGTTTGTTAATGAAGTAAATTTTCAAGACCAGCTTATTTTTTTATTTACCTTTTTTGTGGAATGGCATGGTTTAGCTTTAAACATGTTGTTTTTAGGCATAAATCTGACCTAGATCGGTTGCTCAAGCTAGTTCATACTATGGGAGGAAGCGTGATAAGAGATGTTGGAAGGAAGGTGACCCATGTAGTTGCTAAAGCTAGTATGGGAGATAAATACAACTACGCCACCACCTTCTCCCTTCCGGTCATTACAGAAGACTGGCTTCAAACCGCCTGGGACAACAGGGAGAACCTCGGCTTCTCCGCCAATACTAAAGAAATGCACGAAAAATACAAACTTCCGCCTTTTGCCGGAAATGTCGTCTGTTTCTACGGATTTGACCAGGGGGAGGTTGAACACATGACCGAAATCCTGGTAGCTAACGGCGGACGGGTGGCGGAAGGCGGTGTTAGAGGTTGTGAGGCAGTTACTACAACACACATGGTAGTTGATGAAAACAATGTTGATCAGCTGCCGACTGATATTAAGATATCTGACCGATGTTGTGTAGTTCGAGGAGAATGGTTCTGGAACTCTATACAGATCCAGGCAGCTGCAGACGTATCCTCGTATATGTGGAGAGCAACAGGAGTCTTGTCTCCAAGCAACCGGAGTCTATTCTCTCCTCCCACCCCGTCCTCCGTTGGTGCTAGCAGGAAGCGGAAAAGGTTAAGGAGGGCGGAGGTTATTAACGCCCTGGCAACTGATTCTCCGGCACATAAGCGGCGGAGTTCTATATCGGAGCTGGGTCTACTCTCTATGTCAGGAAGTTTCCTAGATTCTACGGATAGAAATCTACTGAGCCCTGAACCTGAACGTGGAGCTGTACTCTCATCGTGAGTTGCCTCTTTATTATTTATTTAAAGAGTTACCCACAAAAGATGAGACTTGTCTGTTAATTATGACGATAGTAATTTAATGGTCGATTAATTGATGAAATAACAAGATATATAAAAAAAAGATGTTAGTTTTAACCATGATAAGTTTTTTAATGTCGTCTCAAGTCTCATTCATTGTGGGTTTACCCTGTCTGTCATGCAGCTTTAACATGCAGGTTAGTTTTTTACTAAAATCTAGTGAAATATGCTTTGTATAGTGTTGAACGAGAAGGAGGTGAACCTGAAGCTGTTATCTCTATCCCTGTATTCAACCTAAAAACTGCAACTCCTCGCCAGCAGGTCTTCCACGAGCTGGTCACAACAGAATCAAACTATGTAGGAATCCTGGACTGCGTCACTAAGATTTCAGAGGTTAGTCTCACCTATAAATCAGCTCGTGTTAGATACACATACTTTTTTTTTATTGATTTATTGATATATATCCCTAAAAATGGCCATTTTGGGAGGTTTTTCAAATTTTTTTATCTACTTCTTATTACAAATTATAAGAAATGATTACAAATATATATATATACAGTGTACACTTGTTAAATCTTTCTCGGACAATATTTTTAAGTTCTTTTCCGGATTGTCCTGTTTCCTTTTCCGGAATATTTGAAATATTAGATTTAAAAAAGAAACCAACCTTCTAGAATGTTATCATTATTCTAATTTGTGTCTTCTAACATCTTGTGTTCCCAGGAAGCCGAAGATCCATGCCAGCAAGGAGGTGCTTTGCTGGACCAGCAGGAGATGAAGATTATATTCGGGAACCTGCCGCCCATCAGGAAGGTGCACACTGACATGTTGAAGAGGTTGAAGGAGCTCGAGGCTAACTGGTCGGAGGAGGCTTGTATTGGAACAATTATATTAGGTACAGATTATTAATAAACTTTAAAACAAACNGAATTTTGGTTAGAATTTTGATCTTGTTCTTTTTCTTGATCATTGGTTGATTTCGATAAGCTTCATACGGAGTTCATCCCCCTCCCTTCTCCTTGAGATTCCGATTTCGATTTCGATGTTTTGGTTTTGGTTTCGATTCTTATTTTGATTTGTATACAGATTGTGCTGGCGATCTCCTGAAAGCGTATCCTCCTTTTGTCAATTTCTTTGAGCGAACAAAGGAACAGATCCAAGATTGTGACAGAAGGAATCCCAGGTTCCATGCTTTCCTCAAGAAGTGTGAGAGAAGGATCGAATGCTCTAGACAAACTCTTACAGGTATAACACTATACAGGTTTCAACAAAATAGTTGGTTATAAGGGACTGTAGACGTAATTTCAAGCGTCTACATTTTTTTTTGCGTGGCATATCCGATTCACAACGATACTCATTAAAGCGTTGTCTGATCCAATGAAAGAGATATTCATATTTTCTTTAAAATTATAAACTTATACCTTCGACTTCAAACATGATTATTTATTTCTCGATTTTTAATGTGACGTGTCAGATTCACACCAGGAACAACAAAGATTTGTCTTAATAAGAATAAATAAGATATTTTTGTTTTCTCTTTGAAAAACTTGCGGATTTATGCCACATGGGGTTAATTGTCAGAATTAAACACTAAACAGTATAAAAAACCTTTTTTGAAAGGGAAAATACTATTCTCAACTCACATCAAAATATTAAATTAGGAATAGTCCCGTTACTTCAGATAAAGTTCTAAAGAACTAAATAAATGTATTTTCTAACATTTAGAACTAATGATTCGGCCAGTTCAACGTCTACCGTCGATGTCTCTTCTTCTGAATGATCTTCTCAAACATACAAAGTAAGTTAAGCTTGAAACAAACCAGGTAAATAAGATTATATCGCCCAGCCCTCACAAGAGCATGTTATACGAATATTTTGAAGAATTTAATGATCTTCGATGCCCTGCGCAAAAAATTTAAATGATAAGTTTTTTTCATCCTTCTTAGTACTTTTTGACCAAAACTAATTTTCCCCTGTAATCATTAATTTTTCCAGTCAGCGAATAAAACCAAACCATAAAACAAATCCAACACATTCGGGGCCCCCTCCTTCCGCACCGCCCATCCTTTTCTAGTTATACTATTCTGGGTTGAGTTAAGTTAAGAAATATAGTGTCACAGGAGGTTGCTCTTTTTAAGCAACGGTAGTGTTTGTAAAGACTTTAACAAAAAAAAATTTCGAAACATTTTATTTCTTTTACACTTTGTACCCTGGGGGAAGATGTTTTTAATGAACGAAGTAAAAGAATCGTTAACGGTACATTGAAGAAGAAATTACCAATATATTTATTAAGGCGGGGTGGAGAGCACCGTGATATAGAGCTACTGGAGCAGGCCATTGCCAAGGTGAAGAACGTGATGACCCACCTCAACGAGGAGAAGAGAAGAACGGAGGGACAAATTCATATTTTCGATATTTACTCCGAGATAGATAATTGTCCTGCTAGCGTCGTTTCTTCACACAGAAGGTAAACTTTGCGAAATCCTAGCTAGAACCCCACATTTATCAATATTGCATATTCAACAATACATTACACAATTTAACTGTTGAGCTTCTTTGGTCCAGATTACATTCATTACATTTAAACTATGCACTATTACTTGGAAGTGCTCAGAATTCACAAACAAAACTATGTAAACGAACAAAATCATTCAAGAAGCAAGATCTGTCTGTTAGTGACGCATTTAAAAATCTTTCCTGGATTTATCTTAAAAGAAAAAAAGCCAAACAAGGAATCGGAATGGTTATTCTTAAAAAAAGCTTACCCAAGTTTTTGCGGTCTTTCATTATCAGAGAGCAATATTTTTGTGGTTTGGTTGGACTACAAATAAGGGTTAGTGCTCCTGAAGGGATTAATAATACAATATTACCGCCGACCTATTTCCAGTTTTATCTAATCCTGTCTAGTTCATGAATTCCGACCTCAAGTTAAAAATATTTTTAGTTTTGTCTGCCGGGCGGAATGTTTTGAGGTTGCCGCAGCAGATGTTTTGTGCGGGAAAGGTTACGAGCTGACCCTCTTCCTGTTCACAGATATTCTTCTAATAGCGAAGAAGAAGACAGGCAAGATTGGAGGGATGCTCAGATCTCCTAGTACTACTAGTATTGCTAGTGGACAGATTAATATGCAAACAAAGGTAATTTTATCTAAAACTACCCAAAATTCATCTTAGGATATAGTGGTGTGGATATAGGAGTAAAAGCTCACCTATGGAAAATTGCCTCCTCTTAAAGCATGGGGGGGGGGCTACGAAAAATGGATAGAAAATTTGAGTTGGCTCATCACAAGTTAAATCCCGGGGGGGGGGGGTTACATAAAATTGTAGGCGGGGGCACCTTTTTTTGAAACCTTACTTAAAAAAGCTAGTAGCGAAGAATAAACTCCATACCAACCAACTTTTAAAAAATATTTTTGATTCTATAGTATTTCTGAATTTTTGATTCTATAGTATTTCTGAAATGTGATAACCAAAAATAAAAAAAATGACTCATTTATTTATAATAGTAATCCGATTTTTTTGCCTTTTGAATAAGTTCATCAAACCATATTAATTAAATCTTTTTATCTAATCTCTATTTAAAAAAAATATTTTTCTTCTTTCTAGGCCCTGAAGTTTGTCACCCTGATTCATTTGTCCGCTGTGCGTCGTCTTGTCGATATATTAGACACTGCAGACACAGAGAGCGGTGTCATCGCATTTGTTTGCCGGCAAACTGAAGATCTCAGAGAGAGATGTTATACATTCCAGCTTCTTACAGAAACAAACGTGAGTTATTTTTTTAGTTATGTAAAAAAAATCATTCTCAAGGATATGTGCTTGATTTTTGGGAGGAAAGGGTTGAAAACTAAATACTTAAATTAATAATTAAATTAAGATTTTTCATTTTATTTTCACTGGAAATAAACCCAAATACAAATTGAGACTACCGCAATAGAGTTTTCTAAAATATTCACGAATGAATTTATCGTAACGATATGAAATCATCCTAACTGCTTTGCAATTAATTTTTAGTTGTTTAGTCTCTTGTGTATTGAGACTGATGAAAATAATAATGTCACTTGAAAAAACAGTAATTTGAAGACAATACTAAAACACTAATATTCTTGACTCAATGTATAATAATTATGCTTTTTTGTTTGAACAATGGACAGGAATGTGGATATATCCGGTTAGAACAGAATATATTTTATATTGATAATTAACCTTATTTATTCCAAACTTAATGCTACAATAATATAATGAAAAATGTTGTTGAAATCTTTTCGTTAGGTTCAAGCAAGAAGATGGAGGATAGAATTTGAATACATTTTATTTAACGTCTTGGGACAGCTTTCTTTTATTAAGTATGATGGTGAGGAGCATCAGCTCCTTTTTCATTAAATGATGGGTTGTAATATTAATATTAAAAACAACGCCATTAATTAAACAATGAATGCACAAGCCCGGTTCTCCTGCACTGCTCAGGAATATCAGGCCTTTGTTAATAGATTTTCATTTTTTAAATTCAGTTCTTGAGCTGTCCTAATACGTCACAATAAAATGTTAAGAGACCCTATCTTTTTTCTTATTTTTTTACAGTTCAAGTATTTTTCGTGATTACTTTCTTTTAATTTTTTTTTTAAATTTGTAATAATCATTTCTTTAGGAAGAGAAAGTTGCTTTTCTCAGGACCATATGTCGACATGTCGCCAACACGCTGTGTCGACCTGACTCGGAGAGTTTGCTTGTTCGACTTGAACCCCGCGACATGTCTCTCGAAGCTTCTGATCTAAATGTTTCAACTCTCTCCCGAACCTTTTCTTCCCTTTACAAAACTAAACAGAAGGTGAGTTGACTGTTATTTTTATTTTTTAAATTATCATATTATTCTGCTAAGAATTTTATATCTTTCAGGTTTCATCAAGGCAGATTCCCAAATTTTTTAATTTTTAATTAGCATTGCTTTGAGACAAAAAAAAAAACTTTAATTTTGACCTTCCCTTTGATAGTGCAAGATGCCAACTAAATTTAGGTCCCATCGGTTCAGCCGTTTGGATGTTTATTGGAACAGACAAGACTAAAAATGTGAAGAGGATTTTCAGTAATAGCCAGAAAACTGGAAGGATTTTTGTCTTTATTTAATTTTAATTTTATGTCGAAAATGTACCCTTCAAGGAATATATCGGTTTTAACAATTACAAAGGAACGAAAACGGGAATCAATATTGTACTTGCCACAGAGTGTTAATCTGTTTTCACTCTATTTGAGCTTTATAGGGGTAAACATAATGTCGTGAAAAATTTTATGGAAGAAAATAAAAAAAGTTAAGTTTTGTATTCACAAAAATAATATTTTTGTAAAATGTTCCAAGTTAAGAAGAATGATATTTTCTAGGTTGGTCGCGCCTTCTCGTTTAACCGAACCCCTGGAAAACTGAAGAGAGCCGTGTCTACAATGATATCTCCGATCACGAGCTCGTCCACCTTACGGACCGACGGGTTCAGCAGGACCCTCGGCAGGAACCAGAAAACTCCCTCGGATAGCCTCAGGGAGCTCAAGCTTGAGGTAGGATACAGAATATATATTTATGAGTAGAACCACAGCTACAGCAACAACAATCCCTCCCTGGTCATTTAGTCCCCAGTCCCTGGCCGTTAAGTCCTCTACCCCCTGGCAATATAGTCCTCCTGAAGCGGCCATAAAGTCACCCATAGCCATGGCCATATAGCCGCCCCCCCCCCCCACACACACACGCTGGCAAACTACTCAAAATGCTTAGCTGTGGTTCTGATCTGAAAGTAGACTGTAGATTATACAATTATTATTATTAGTATACTTAGTTAGTTCCTCTTGTAGTTTTTCTAGTACTCTTTTATAATGAAATATTTTATCTATAATCATTCTTCTTTCACTTTGGGGTCTTTAATGCTAAATTTGTTGGGTGTTATATTTCAGATTGGTAGCATGTTTCAGTTTGTAAAGATAATCAAAACGTTTGTAAAGGGTTCTTTTATTTACACATTTTTGTAAAGAAGTCTCACATGAAAATTATGCTTCAAATTATTTAGAAATTATTTTCGTGAAATTTCGATGAGCCTATCATGTTTTTATCATCAAAATGTTAGATTAATCTTAAATTTTCTATAAAAAAATGTGTCGCAAATGAGAAAGAAATTCTTGTAAAATTCTTTGAAACCCTTAAATCTAAAAATCGTGCCTAGGGGGTTACTTTCACCTTACATGGGCGTATACAGAAATAATTCTAGGGGGGGGGGGGCAAAATTTGAACTGTAAATTCAAAACATTTCGCTTCTTGGATATCAGACATAAGTTTAAGATACTTAAAGGTACACATACAGTCCAAGTACCTTGCATGTACTAAACTTTATCTCTCCTTCAAACAAAACTGGCAGAAAAAAAAACATTGTTTCTAAAATATCGACTTTATGCTGTTATGTTAGTAATAATTAGTATTTAAACTAGAGATAGTAAAAGACATTTTTGAAAATGAAAAACAGTACTTGAACTCAAATTCTATGAGATGAAAAAAGGACAAAGGTCCAGAAAATAATTATGACTTAAAAAAGTTTCGGTTTTGAAAAAAAGTAGGAGTACACTTGTAATCTATGTCATAAAGCTCTTTGTTCATTAATATGTTTGCGGTGGCTGGCCAAACGGCTGAATCAAATGGAATGAATTTCAGTAAGGAAACTCATGGGTACCCTTGGGGGGATGACGTAAGCTTAATAAATTAGATTAGTTTTAATTCGATTTTTAAAATTCCACGGGCAACGCCTGGCACTTCAGCTAGTTTTTAATAAAAAGAAAGGTTACAAAAAAGCGGTGGAATGAATAAAGCAAATTAAATCCAAATAAAAAAATAGTCTTTTACTACCTCCAAACTCAAGCCAAACTAAACATTAGGATGAATGTGCATTCTAAGTAGATTTTTCTTTTGAACTTCTGTCATGGTGGCTCTGGTCCACTAATACAATCTTCTTAGTGCACTAAATGAACAGTAAACTATTTTTTATGTTCTTCACTCTTGAGTTTAAGATTTGAAAAGTGTGAAAGCTCTGAATTCTAGGGGGTGCGTAGGCACCTCCTTTACAGGTCTATGGGGGTGGCACTGACCCCTTCCCCCCCCCCCCTATACGCCCTTGTCGCCATATTAGTCTAAATTGGTTTTATCAAAGATAAGATATTGCGTAATTTTAACATTGGAAGAAGCAAAAACGTTATATTTTCTCTTTGGTGGACTGGTGGAAGGAAGAAAGCGGTGATGATGAGAAGAGGATCGTTGAGCAAACCGGGGCCGCCGACGTTCTATGCACGGTCGATTACCCCAATACCAGCGGTGACAGTTTGTGTGTCGGCGACAACCTCGACCCCTCAGTTGTAGAATCATCGAATGAAATAGAAATGCGGGAATGTAGCGACCTATCCAATGACAATGAAATGCGGGAATGTAATGATGAGTTGGTAAGAACCTGCATGCTATATTATTTCAGGGTGATGGTAGACCAACTAATCTAAAGCATGCTACTGAAGACCTCATCAATGTATTCTACTGTAAACTTAATTTAAGATCAGCCCAAGCATGATGTAAATTAGTGCATGAAACTATTAAGGAAAAAAAACATTCAGTTTACAAAGTCAGTCCAAAGATGCATGAAACCAATGTTACTATTTATTTTTATGCCATATTATATATTTGATAATTTTTTATTTTACTTTTGATTAAACAAGATTTTTTTATTAGATAGAATTTATCGCACATTTTGATTACGACCGATTTTGAGTCTCAGAATTTTTTTTTTTTGAAAAATCTTTAAATCCTATAAAGGACTTAAAATTCAAATATGTCTGTTTTTATCCTACTTTTAGTCAATATTGAAGCAAGATTGGTCAGTTTTATATTCGTTAAAAATCAATTTATCGTTTGTTTGAAATCATGCGTTCTCTTTAACAAGGAGCTAGATGTGTTGTACATGTGATATACTGATAAGATTAAAATATATCCCTTGTATTCCCAGAGTGTACTGAGTACGCCGGGTGGGAAAGGAACCCCTCGCTCCCGAACCCGTCTCCAGTCTTGTGTAAATCTCGGAGATTCTCCTCGAACCTTTCAATCCGGGTTCAGTAAACCCAAGAGGTTGGATCTAGAGTCTCCGCCCAGGGGTGGAGAGGAGAATAAGGATCCAGAGTTTAGGACTCCAAACCTTTGCTCCAGGCCTAGTTTCAGGTAGAATCTTCTTCATACAATTCGTCTATTATTACAGAGGGTGTCCCAATAAACATGGGAATTGAGAGACTACTAAAAAGTTATTTCTGATATTTAATGCATGGCAAAGACCAGGCGTTTTCGTATTATGTTTAAGCTGAAGTACTGCAGTAATTGTGACCATGAAAAAATTCTGCATGGATTGAAGACGATACAAAAGTCGTCAATGTTGAATGTTACATTGTTTATTGGGACACCCTGTATAAATACGTGTATTCCTAAACTACAGTGGAACCCGGAAAACTGTAGAACTCAATATATGATTTTAAATAGTCATATAAACATAAAACACAGTAATTGTGCTGTGTACAAACCTATTTCAAAAATATTTTGATTTTTAAGCATCTTGTAAAACTAATGCCTTATAACAACATCAAATACGCAGAAGATTGCATATTTGTCGTCTTCTTATTCACAGTAAATTGGTCCAACTGTATTACTTGCGATACTTCACCACCATCTTACAATTAAAGTTTTGAATATTTATGGTATGACCATTTTTTCTTAGAAAATCACGTGGTGGTTTTGACGATTTATTAACAATTAAGTTGTTCTACTTGACAACATTTTCAAAATAATGTAATTTACGAGGGTATGATGGTCGACATAAAAGGCAATACGGATAATTAAGTCATATCGAGTAAAAGAAGTATCTATAATTGCATAAGCCTAAGAAACCAATAAATCATAATTTTAGGTGAACCCCCATTGAAAGAGGATGTACCCAAAGCACAACGATACCCTGTAAAGTTTGACTTTAGAAATAAAGAAAATAACCTCGTTTTTCCATCTTAAAATCTCTAATTGTATATTCTCGGTAAAAGCGACTTGCAAGGTACTATTGTGAAACGGGCTGCCGGGCATACTATTCTATAAATGGAGGGTCACTTGAAACTTGATAAGGAGGAAATTAATCTAGCAAAAATAGGTTTATAATATTTTAATAATTAATAAATATTTTTTTCAGAGATAAGTTTCGTCCACGGTCTGGAACCTTTGCTTCGTTCAATCGTAAATCATCAATTAATCAGTAAAGCGTGTACAATATGTACACCGCGGGCAGTACAGTATATACTGTACATAATAAGATTAAATGTAAACAATGTTTCCGCCTTTAGCTATTAATTATCACCTAAAGAAAATTTGAATCTGGAACCGAACAGATAAAAACTTAAATCTTCCAAAGAATTTCAATTTACAGGGTTTTAATATTTTTTTAGCGTAGAGCACATCGGACATTTTGAACTTTAATTTTTTTTATTGATAAATCTGACTTTAAAAAGCCATAATAATTTGAATATAAAAGAGACAAATTATTCTGGATTAATTAATCATGATTCAATCAATTGCTCAGTATAGTTTTGAATGCATAAAACCTTGGTACATTATATTTTTAAATGTAAACGGTTAAGATATATTTTGCTCCATTTTTTCTGTCTTAATAAGTTAATTTGATGTTCACCATCATGCTCCATTCTTTTTCATATATTTTATTTATTAATAAATAAACTACGGAGCATAAATATCTTGTTCCAAGGCTATTCCAGTTTAATGTAATGTGACACGTGTACCCCTGTAGTATTTTTATTAAAAGACAACGACACAACTTATTATAATTCTGCTCAATTAACCTGTTAAAAGACAATCCAACATTATCATTTGCTCAGTAACTTTTTAAATAGTTTTTAACAGTGAGCCTAGAAACACTTTATACTAAGAATTAAGTAACAATATTTTTTAAAAAAATGAAAAGCCTACTAAATTTGAATTGTGTATTCAAACGTTTATTTGTTTCTGGGACACCCTGTATTTTGCCTGCTCACTCCAGACTTGAGTGCAATAGATATTATTTCTGACCAACCCTGTAAATATTATTGATTATCTTATCTCTTTTTTAATTCCTTTTTCCACGACATTTTGTTTTAGAATTGACACAGCCCTCTGAATCTGAATTGGATTAAATTCTAGTCTATTAATTTCATGTTTCTTCCTTCCCTTCTTTTCTACCAGCTGTTTGAAAACATTTTTACTGTTGTATATAAATATATTATTGTGATTTATTTAATGGACAATATTAATCGATACAATTATTAAAATGTAAAATATATTAATTAAATGACAGCACAGCCATCTAAGTGTACTAGCAGAGTACGCATTTATCATCAACTACTGAAATAAATAACATCATAACAGATAAATAACAGGAAATAGTTGATAAAAGTATCAAATTATCTGATAAATAAAGTTTGTCAAAATTTTACAAAATAGGAACAAAAATATTCAGCATTTTATAACAAATTTCGCTTTGTGCCAGATTTGTGACAAATTTCAAACAAGGTCATTTTAAAAAATGCAGTAAAAATAAACTTAAATAATACTTTGAAAGCAAATGTAAATTCAAATTTGCATAAGAAAATTTTACGGTCGAGAGTCAGCTAAGAAATATATCTCCTGGAAGTTAAATAATGGTTTTTAAGTCATATTTAAAAAAAAATTTGCCGAAGATGAATATAAAGTATTTTTACAAAGGGACTACGTTCTCATTTTCATCCCTGCTCCAGATTTCTCCCGAGGATCTTTGAAAAAGCTCTTCACAAAATAAACCTGAAAATATTATTATTTTTATGCTTTAATCATTACAATTTCATCATAAACGCAAATTTAAAATGTTTCATAAATAGGATTGATTATGCTTTTTCCTCCTAAATAGGTTAGTGAAGACTGTAGAGGTAGTTAAAAATTACACTAGATTCATAAATGGGTTAGTGTAGACTGAAGAGGTAGTTAAAAATGACACTAGCTTAGCATAAATGGGTTAGTGTAGACTGTAGAGGTAGTTAAAAATTACACTAGATTCATAAATGGGTTAGTGTTGACTGTAGAGGTAGTTAAAAATGACACTTAAGATTAGCATAAATGGGTTAGTGTAGACTGTAGAGGTAGTTAAAAATGACACTAGATTAGCACAAATGGGTTAGTGTAGATTGTAGAGGTAGTGAAAAATGACACTAGATTAGCATAAATGGGTTAGTGTAGACTGAAGAGGTAGTTAAAAATGACACTATAGATCAGCATAAATGGGTTAGTGTAGATTGTAGAGGTAGTTAAAAATGACACTAGATTAGCATAAATGGGTTAGTGTAGACTGTAGAGGTAGTTAAAAATGACACTATAGATTAGCATAAATGGGTTAGTGTAGGCTGTAGAGGTAGTTAAAAATGACACTACATTAGCACAAATGGGTTAGTGTAGACTGTAGAGGTAGTTAAAAATGACACTACATTAGCACAAATGGGTTAGTGTAGACTGTAGACTGTAGAGTTAAAAATGACACTATATATTAGCATAAATGGGTTAGTGTAGACTGTAGAGGTAGTTAAAAATGACACTAGATTCATAAATGGGTTATAGTAGACTGTAGAGGTAGTTAAAAATGACACTATAGACTAGCATAAGGAGTAAAGGCTACTGTTGTAAAAGGTAACTTGAAATGCAGTCCCATAAAAGAAAAACGATTTTTTTACAGAAATATTTTTTTCGAAAATTTATTTAACTGATCAGAGAATTTGCATGAATAGAAATAATATTAATAGAAAAATTCGTTCAATTAAACAGAGTCTACACCTAAAGTTATTAAAACAGCTTAATAAAATAATGAGAAATATATTGAAAATTAGTAAGGATACCTCAACTGCAATAATGGATTTAAGAATTCAGATTTCTTTAATGAATTTTTTTGGTTACTTTAATACTTATGCATAACAAACATTAAATTTGTCTCTCTGAGCATTGTTTGTATAAAAATGTAAAATTATTTCTACAGAATTGTATACACAGAAGATTATTCCAATTTTTTAATTATTTATATCATGTTTATCTCAATGTTTTCGAATAATATGAAACTTAACACTACTTATTTACCCTTTTCAGTCACTAATGAACTCGTAAAAAACACACTTCCGAAGAATGTAGACTAAAAATGCTAAAATTGACGCATTCAAAGCATTATTCTATTATGATAATTTATAGAAAAATATGAAATTAAATTTACCTGTACAACAGTACATAGAATAACTATAAGGCACTGTGCAATTGACCAGGTCTGTACATAGCTTGAATTATCTTGAATAAGATTGAAGTCTCTTGCTTCTGCACCACGTGACATCGTTTGGAATTGGCGCATTATCTACAAGAAAATTGAGTGATTCATCAAGAATTGTAAATAGTGTTTTTTTTCAGATAAATTGTTATAAAATGTTTATACCTGGATTCTTTGGTCCACGGTCTTCAGTGCCATCGTAAAGTTCTCCACCGTGATATCCATATCCTGCAGTTCCTGGCTAAACTTCTCCCACTCGTCGTATCTGAAGGTCGTCAGGTAGAGATTAACCAGCTTAGCGGAGAACCTGGAGAACTGGTTGTCCAGGCATACAGAGTAGTATCCTCCCACTGCAGACTCTTCCTCGTACTCAGAGCTAGCTTTCCAAGCGTAGGGATGGACAACTGTCATCTTGGGATCCCTGAGAAATGATCATGTTGAGATGGGTAAGCGATATTTCCTCGTAATTAAACGCTTCTTTCACACCATCAAGGAGCTTGTCAACCAACCCCTCTAATATTAGCTTTCTTACTTTAACACCGACAAGTATTCAAATTCGAAAATTACAAAAAAAAAACTCAGATAAGTTCAGCAAATGGAATCCTAGCTGTGAGAGTAGAATTATGGAGAATGTTCCTGTAACTTATGAGAATATCTTAGAACCCGGTTTTATTGTAAACAATGCGTGATAATTCTTAACAGGAAAGGACGGTTGGGTCAGAGAAATAAATGATCAATTGTTTTATTTGTTTATTAAAAAAAAATAGTTCCTGATCCGTCCAAACAATAAAAAAAAACTCTGTCCCCCTCTCCTTTGTTCTATATCCCCTTGATAAATACAAAAATATAATATTCTGAAGATAAATTAAATTATACCTGACTGCCATTCCAATTGAACCGTCTCCACCTTTAAGTACTTGGTAGGATACGTAGAGAGTTGCCCCAGGATGTACATACTGCCAGTAACAATCCTCCTTACCAGCATCAACATGCACCTTGTACTCCATTGCAATCCCTGAAAATATTTTTATTTCGTTTTTGAATATTTTTTTCTAGCAGTCTGATTTTAGATAAAAGATTTTTAGAGGAAATAATCAGAAAAAATGTTGATCTTATTGTTAAGAATCTTATTTCTGCGTATTTCTGAAGAATTCAGAAATGCATGTTCTACGGGGTACCTGGAGCTGAATCCAACCAGTTTCCTGAGCCGAGAGGTCCGTCCTGTGCCGGGGGTGGGGGAGGAGTAGGAGGAGCTATATTCGCAGCATGACCCGGAGGAAACTGAGGTTGAGCTTGTTGTTGCTGGGCAGCAAACTGCTGCGGGGTCATACCAGGGGGTAGAGGTTGGTTAGGAGGAGGAGGGGGTTGCCCCCGGCCCTGCTGGGGAGGTACTCCTGGAGCCATGCGAACCTGTTGTTGCTGTTGAGGGACACCTGGAGCAAACCTCTGCTGTTGTTGGCCTTGTTGGGCAAATTGTTGTTGTTGAGGAGGAGGGGGGGGTTGCCTCATTTGCTGTTGTTGCCCTTGTGGAACTCCAGGTGCAAACCTCTGTTGCTGTTGCTGGAGAGGTTGTGCAAATTGTTGTGAAGGTTGTGCAAATTGCTGTTGCTGAGGTGGCGGTTGTGCAAATTGTTGTTGTTGAGGCTGCTGGTTAAACTGTTGTTTCTGTTGGGGTGGTGGCTGATTGAATTGTTGCTGTTGTTGCGGGGGTGGAGGTTGGTTGAACTGTTGCTGTTGTTGGGGTGGTGCAGGCTGATTAAATTGCTGTTGTTGCGGTGGTGCAGGCTGGTTGAATTGCTGTTGAGGTGGTGGAGGCTGATTAAATTGCTGTTGCTGTTGTGGAGGTGGCTGATTTTGTTGTTGAGAAGTAGGCTGATTGAACTGTTGTTGATGTGGAGGTGGCTGATTTTGTTGCTGCGAGGAAGGCTGATTGAATTGTTGTTGTGGGGATGGAGGTTGACTACCCTGTGCAGGTTGTTGTTGAGCTGTGGCTAGAGCCCAGCCAGCTGTTAATATTAGTTTAAACCAAACCATTATTCTACCATTTACTCGTCCATACTTCTCTACACTGCAATACGTGGAGAGACAACAGGTTGTGATGTTAGAGATTTACTTAGAATATTTATAACGAAATGAAAATGTTTGCTGAAAATATCCCCAAATTGTTTATCCCCATGAATTTATGAATGAAACCCTGGTGTAAAGAGCAAAGAGATTGGGAAAGTGGCAGGTATACATATATATCTGATAGATAGATACTAGATGGTACGTATACACTAGGTATACACCGGAAAATAGGATATAAAGCCACAAACCCCGCGAAATTCAAATTGATGTTTTTAACCGGTTCAATTTTTATATATTTTTACAGAAAGTTTTTTTTACGAATTTTAGAACACATAATCACGTTTTTACTTTGGGACAATATGGGCATTCATTTTTTTAAACCACAAAGAAAATTTTTAAAAAATGTATAACATAATCTGCACAAATTGCAATTTAAAATGTATTTTTGAATATTCTAGTTTAACAAATGATTCAAATTTATTTATTTTTAAAGTTTGCTTTACTGAAATATGAACATCAAAATAAAATAAATGTCCTCATAAAAGGGGGAACAAAAAATATTCCAAAGATTCAGTTTTGAGATAAAAAGTATGTTTATTTTTTAAAGTTTTACTTTTGACGACATTTTTATTTATTGTAATCATTAGAATTATAAACCAACATATTTATGTTTTTAAATTAAGATATTTTCAACTAGAGCACATAGATATTAGATATTAATAAATACTAAATTATATTACAACTAATGTGTTTAATTTTCAGCACATATTTATCTTAATGTTGTTTATGTCCTCATATTCTAATATTTACTGAATGTTAAAAATACATTTGGATAAAATCTGTCACCCTGAAGTTCCAATTTGTCTATATATTGAATATAAATTACAGTTTAAGTGCCTGTTTAGATAAAGGATTCGGGGGTAGGAAGCATGTAGGCTCATACATATTTTTCAAGATTTAGTATGCGCTTTAAATGCCCCTTCCTGTATAAAAATCTAGAAATAAGGAAGTCAAAATTTCACATGAACGAATCGCAGAAAATTAGTACATTTACAGTGAAAATAGTCGAATTTTATAAATTACAATCAAGATTTTTAAAATAAAACCCCTACTTCTCCGCCTAAGTCCCTACGCTTTAATAATTTGTAGCGCATTTGAGCTAAATTATAGATTTGAGTTTATAGTGTAAAATTACATTAATACAGAGATTTACCAGAAATAGGAAGATGTAGGGGGGGGAATTGATATACGATAATCAAGAAAATCTTCTAAACATACATCTGGGAAATATAAACACATTGATCCAGTTTAAACCAGTGAAGTCGGTGAACCCATCTTCTCTTACTTGTTACCAGCATGACCTGATATTGATTATTTATCGGAATCCCGAGATTTCCAATCCTTAAATTTATAGAAACATAAATCATTTAAAACTTAATGACGACCGTAACATGTTTTAATGACAATCATTGCAAAAAAACATTTATTTTTGAGTTTTATCGAGTTAGAAATAGAATTCTTCAATATGTTTATTCAGAGTCAAATAAATTATTTTCAATATTAATATTTTAACAATTAACCATATGAGATGCAAAGGAACACAATTTTTCTTCCCTAGCTTTTTTCTACAAAAATACTAATTCTTAACCGTTCATCCACTAAGCACCTCCCTTAAAATGATGCCATAGGATAACTTAAGCTTAAATTAATTGAAATCATTACTTTGTGAATTATTGTTTTCGTTAGTAATTTTACTTAAAAATTACTTTAAAATGACAAAAATATTTTATTTCTTGAGCTTTGTGTTCTGTAAAAACCACGATGTACTGCATTTTATATATTGAGAGTTGTATGTCTGTTTGTATGTTTGTGACGTGTGTATGTATTGTATGCCTGTATAAAGGCAGATGGGATTTCATAGTTGCTCTGCACCGTTCATGTATTATTATTTGTTGAGTTTAACCCTAGTAACCCCCCCCCCCCTTCAGCCACTTGCGTTGCCCATCCTAATTACAAACCCCCCCCCCTGGATCTAAAGTTTAAACCTTCTCAGTTCGAAGTAAACGCTAGAGCTGATAATATCTCCGTCTATTGCGAATAAACGAGCCTAGTTCTATGAAATAATTAGAATTTAAAGTGATTCAAGTCTCTCTCTAAACTGTTGCGTCACTTAATACCCTCTTTTGGTATTTCCTTTTTCACGCCAGGTATATATTTATTTTTTAAGAAGTTGAGTTCAGTGTTTCTCTTGCAAATTTCATAATAGATTATTGTAAATTCTTTTTTTTTAATCATATTTTTTTCAATATTTTTTATTCTTCCATTCATTAGTATAATTTAAGAATAATTTTTCTTCGCGTTTTTAACTATTTTTTTAATGCTATTTTTTATCTTTATCTGGAAGACGGTTGTTTTTCTTGAATTTTTTTTAGGGGGATTTGGGTCAGAGTGAATAGGAACCCCCCCCCCCTCCAACATTATTTGACCATATCTGATGACACTAGTTGTTACTGTTCCTTATGATATAATTATTCCAGCGTATTATAAATTAAAAATAAATATTCCATTAACATGGGAAAATTCCAGGTTCAATGGTTTTCGTTAAAAGGAACTTTTTTTATCAACATTACGCCTGTCCTTATTTTTTTTGTTTAATCACAAGTACACGTTTTTAATAAATATTTAATCTCTGTTTGGTTGTTCAAAACATGAATTACTCAGTTTGTAGTGTATTTCAGAAGTAAATAACGTATATGGTTAATTCAATTTTAAAACTTTATATTTAATTTTTTATCTTATCTATTCTTAATTCTTCAGAGCAATGTGTTTTTTATTTTGTTTTTTAGTTGATATTTGTTCTATAAATGAATAACTATTGATGGTAACCCACCTTGCAAAGATGCCGTACCCATAAAAGCGTGGTTGGATCAAATAGAAAAAGTTATCAATGTCTATAATTTTGAAAACTGATTTTTTTACTCGTGGTTTCTTTACTAAAGTAACTTGCAAATTCCTACGGCTGGAAAACCTAAGCACCATCAGAATTGAACACTTTTAAACCTAGAAAAACGACACTATCATCCACATTATCGATCAGATAAAGGTTTCAAGAGTACTTGCCATCCTTGCATGTAGGGTCACTTGAAATTACGCTTATAGTTTCTTAAAAACTAATCGATAATTTGTTTCAACAAGGTTATCTACTGATTCACGGTGGCCCCATCCAAACTTATAAATAAATTAAAAAATTCAAATTAATGAAACATAAAAATTTTGCTAAAAATGTATGTACAAAAAGTACGGTAAGTCCCTTTATAAAGCGACCCGCCTTTCATTTCTATTTCTATGTAAGGAAACTTTCCATCTAATGTGTCTAAAGACATATTTAGGACAATTTTAAACATTTGATTTAATCTCTTGACCATTGATTCATCCCCCCAAAGTAACTGTACCCATGTAGATTCTTTCAGTTTCTTTATCTAAATTATAGGGATGTTAATTTTGTAACCAGGGACTATGAGGGGGGGGGGCTATCCCCCCCGCTCTACAGATAAGGGAAAACTAAGGTTTTGGGTAGAGGTATATAGCCCCCTGAGCCCCCACCCCACCCCAACATATACTACTGTTACCCCTTATAGTTACCCTGTCCCCTATTATGATCTTATCTGAGCTAAATATAAAAGTACGCAGGGTTGGATTGCGTAAACACAAAGAAAAATGTTGCTACTGCTTAAAATAACTGGATTTTCAAGGGTTGTTTATGGGCCCTTATCATTGATATATAAACATACGGAGATTGGACACAAAATTGACATTATCAAAAATTCATCATGGAACGTCATGTTATAGTATACATCTGATAGTAATTCGTATTTAATGTTTAAAAAAGTTTGCGGGATGGTTTTTTTATAAATTTTAACATTTTCTCACTTTTAGTGGAAAAAATGCGGACATGAATATTGTATAAGACAAAAAATTATAATAAATGTGTTAAAAACAAACTACATTGCAAGCGTTTGTTGATCTTTTGATGCAAATCCGGATCTTGGATCCTCTCCGGAAAAACATGGTTCCGGATCTGAATCCAGGTCATGAATATTTCTTTGATATTAACTGATTCTTTTAACAAAAAAAGAAATTATTTTTTTCTTCTTTTTTTATACTTCAACTTGATGAACCATTCAGAAAAATGGAAATTTTTAATAATCTCTTTTTTTCATAAGTTCAGATTTGGGGTTTGAGAGCAAAAAGTTTTTTCAAGTTTTGATTGATATTTTGCCCTAGGATGACATCCCATGACGCATTTTCTGTACTGTTGATCTGGTGTCAAATCTGCGTAAATTCATGTATCTATGATCCAATCCTTTCTATCCTTTAAGTATCTGCACCCTTGGCATTAACACCCGGCCCCGCCCTCTTTAATCGTAAACTTCTCTAAATTGCAAATCTCCTTCTATGGATTATGAATTAATGTGTTGCACACTGATTGTAGTTACTCATTATCCTGAAGATTAGATAGCACTTATCTATAAATATAAATTAGTAATCTCTGTTTAGATGTCCCATTACAAATCATGACCCCTGGACCGATTTACCTAACATTTTGATTCGGGAACCATGGACATGTTCTTTGCCTAGTTTAAATATTATTAATTGATTGGGTTGATATTTAAAGGATAAACTCCAGGTAAAGCTGGGCTCCCAACCTATCATATAACATGCTAAATTCTATTATCACAAAGTGTTAACCCTAAAATATTTTTAACAGAAATCGGAATGGTCTTTTTATCTTAAACGCTTGATCTCGAAATCCAATGTAGACACTTTTAAATTTGAAGATAAATGCTTGTTCCCTAAATTAAGGTTGTCAGAAGACGAAGACGAATTAATACTTTTGCTGTTTTTTTTAATGTAAAATGTGGCTATAAAACCTGTTAAGAGGGTTAATTCTGAGCCAGAAATTTAAGAAAGTATCGTTGAAAATCCCGAGTTTCCTTTTTGGGTGTCGATATACATTTGTGTAAATATTAATGTAAGAATTAGAAAATGAAAAAACTAATCATATGAAATAATATTTCGAACAAAATGATATTCAACAAAATTGACACTGGGTTTCAAGACATATACGCTGTCTTAAAGGAACTGAGTTATAGTCAAAAACTCTGATTTTCTAGACCCTAATCTTCGGAAGACGAATGTTTGGAGACCTTCGATATTTGAAACTATTAATTTAGTTAAATTAATATCAAAGGTTTGTGACATCGGGTTAAAAAACCAGAGTTTGTGGCAAAATTCAGTTCCTTTCGGGCGCTGTACAATGTACAAAGCACCATTGTCAACTACAAACATGGATAAAATCTGAAAATAGGTTTTTCATTTAGTTATTCAAATATTTTAAAGATTAGGTGTTAACTTTAATAAATTGTTTGTTGTAGCGATATTAACACTTTTATAGGATAGTAAATGGTATCGGGATAGAAAAACAGTACAGTTGAGTAACAAACAATATTATTGTTTACTCACTATCTTTTTTATGGACTATTGCTGTAGGCTTAAATGTCCTATGAGAAAAAGTATAAGGATAAAATGCTTGCGTACAAATTGCAATGCTTTACCAGAACTTTTCATATTAGTTTTTCACCCTGTTTCTCATAACTTGTTAAAATAATATTTTTGGCAACATAATTTTATCATCGGCCATGATAAATAGAACTTCCGTCCATATTTTTTACTGGCCATAGAATTAATTGACATTTAATCATTAATCATTTAATCATTTAATCAAAGAATATGGTCCAAATAATAAAACAATTGAAAACCCCCTTGGCTTCTAAATAATATATTGAATATCTTGGGTTTAGTTTTTAACATTGAACTGTAGTTAGATTTTATCCTTCTCGAATTTCATAACAATATGATTTACAATATTATTCAAACCCGTCATGCAGAGCTTAGGATATTGCAAAATCATTTGTAAAGTTTGGTTGGCAATAAAATCATTTGTAAAGTTTGGTAGGCAATAAAATCATTTGTAAAGTTTGGTTGGCAATAAAATCATTTGTAAAGTTTGTTTGGCAATAAAATTATTTATACAGTTTGGTAGGCAATAAAATCATTTGTAAAGTTTGGTTGGCAATAAAATCATTTGTAAAGTTTGTTTGGCAATAAAATTATTTTACAGTTTGGTTGACGATAAAGATTTAAATCAAATTTAAGGGCTTTTAACCTAAAGCCAAATCAATAATTGTGACTTTTAAAAAACTTCGGCACAAAACGTAAAAAATAATCGGATGCTATCCGGGGGGAGGGGGATGCAAAAAACTTTTAGAGGTAGTATTTGGCCAGCAATAATTAGCATGTATTTTATATATTTCGCCGATGCTGAGTTTTGTTCCAAGATTTTTAAATTATGTTTTATCTAGTGATTTTTTATTTAACTAGCATACGAAAACAACCCAATATCCTCTCTGAACCAAATTGAGGGTCAAGAATTTGACAAACTTTTTGCACTTCTTTGCCGCCCATATTGATCAGCTGTTCAGACAGTTCAATGAGAAAAGGGAACGAGCCATCTTTTGTACTTAACTTGTTGGCGACAATTTTCCTACCTTGATTTTAACAAATTTTTCTGATATTAAATACAAAATAGAGTATCTAAAACTACACTGTTTTTTCACTATTCTGTTAAATGTATCCCCTGGTAATATCTATTAGAATTTAATGATTATTTAAAAATATTTCAGATTAGTTGAGTGAAGATAAGGTAAAGTGTGTGACAACATTCTACTCTGCTGAATAGTGTATTTAAACCTACTCTACTGAATAGTTTATTTAAACCTACTCTACTGAATAGTGTAATTAAACCTACTCATACTGAATAGCGTAATTAAACCTACTCATACGGAANCTACTCTTCTAAATAGTATATTTAAACCTACTCTGCTGAATAGTGTATTTAAACCTACTCTAATGAAACGTTTATTAAAACCTATTCTGCTGAATACTATTATTAAACCTACTGTGTCGCCTACCATTACATCCACATGTTAGAAAATGAACTGATTACTCACCTCAAACTAACTTTCTAATTCCTATATCTTTGCAAACTGATTGTTTAAATATTTAATGTACAAATTTTATCTTTTAGTTATTAAAGGTCTACGACAGAGGTTTATCGAGAGATTTTGTAGCAGGTGTAAGCCTTCATTTTTTGGCAGATAAATGGACTAAGATAATATTTTCGACAGATTTAATGTGTCTGAATGCAATTTTTGGTTGTAATGTGTGCAAAGAACCTAGTTTTCTTGGATTATAATTTAAACATTGATAGATCAGTTAATAACTACAAGTACACGTAATATCAAATGGCTCTCAATTTATAGAGTGAGGTATCCTGGTTTCCTTTAAACCGTATGGCTTGCCAAGTAAGAATTCAGGTTTATCTTTTTTTTCTATGGGAAAATTGTTAATTTTCAATTATGATTTCTCAGATTAAGTAACTTGAATGCGGATTTACGCTTCAGAGAAAATGAAGAAAATTGTCAGAATTCAACACGTTTGCAGATAGAAAAACGACAATATCCTCCTCGTTGTTAAAGATATGCGCAACATTGTAAATCGGACATGCCATTCAATAAATGGAGGGTCCCTTGATATTGCACTACAGCAGTCCCTTTAAATGATTCCTACTTTCTAGAGAAACAAGGGCCCTGTGGTAGAAGCTAGTCAGTGACCTCTGAACAAGAAATGTTATTGTTCCTAAAGTAGATATGTCATTAAAGGTAATTCAGGCCCTTTTTTAAGTTATTCAAAGTTGTTTTTAAGTATTGAAGTAATTGATAAGTATTTAAGCCATAAAAGTTTTTTTTTACTAATCATTAAAGTAGTTTAGTTTAGTCAAAAAAGGCAATTTGTAACTATAATAGGTAGTTTTTAAGTACAATAAGTCATTAAAGATATTTTTAAAGTATAGGAAAACCATTAAAGGTATTTTTAAAGTACTGTAAGTTATAAAAGATATTTTTTTGTTTACTAATTTTTTTATTTATCCTGTACCTATACCTGGATATTAATGATATATTGTAGAACTGGATACTACTCCTACTGATCTATATCCTGTACCTATATCTGGATATTAATGATATTTTGTAGAACTGGATACTACTCCTACTGATCTATATCCTCTATCTATGCCTGGGTGGTCTGATCTTTAATACCCTTGAGTGCCCAAAATTCCAGGAATCAAGAGATGAAGATGTGCAGAAGCAGGTAAGCAAAAGGAGCTGAAAACTTGCCACAAATTTTCTAATCCATATCTTTGCAACCAGATTTCGGAAACTTTTGATATTTCTAACTAGAAATGTGAACGGGTTTTCTTTACGTCTGATGCTTGTCTGTGGATCCCACATTAAGGGTCTACCACGATCTTTCTTTCATTTCATTTCATAGTTTATCTTATAGTCTAGGTCTAAAATACCAAAGATTTACACCATTAGGTTGCAAAGATATGAGGATTTGAAAATTAAAGCGTGTTCAGTTCCTTTGATAAAATGTAAAACAAAATAAATTATGGTCAAAATTAAACATAAAATAATTCCTTTTCTGTATAGACTTGTATTTTATTTTTAAAAATGCACTTTACTTCAATAGACTTCCCGATTTCCAAAATATTTATATATTTAGGAAAATATATCGAGATCTCTAACTGATCTGTAGGTTGGATTATATATTTATATATTTAGGAAAATATATCGAGATCTCTAACTGATCTGAAGGTTGGATTATATATTTATGTATATTTAGGAAAATATATCGAGATCTCTAACTGATCTGTAGGTTGGATTATATATTTATATATTTAGGAAAATACATCGAGATCTCTAACTGATCTGAAGGTTGGATTATCTCCGGACCAAGTTGATCATTTAGACCTCATTCTGCTCGCCTTTACTGATGGGTAACATATATTTTTAGTGTAAATTATTTTTTGCATATCAAGTTTTTTCGAGTAGCTTAGCAAGTATGTTTTTAACTTGTGAGCCCATGGACTTTTTTTATTGGTGTAATCTTTTTTAAAGTTTTAATTAAAATTTTTAAATTATCGAATCCTCATTGTTTTAAAATCAATTCTCATTGAATCAGATTAGCTGTAAAGTTATATATTGTGTGCTAATTTATGATATGATGAAAATTAATTTAACAACAAAAAATGTTTATTTAATATGTTTTATTTTGTTAGAAAATGGGGTTCTTTTATCTCATCATAATGAGAAAAAGTTGCATATCTAGGCTGTCAAAACAAACTTTTTCTCTCTGTTTGAAGTAAGGCGTGTGTACTGAAGTGTGTAGCTTTTATCAAATTCAAATGATGGAAATTATAGAAACTGCAATTTGATGACAAAACTCAGGAAAAATTTGCTTTTATGTTTCTTGCACTTTGTGATAAAAGCATTAAATAAAAGCTTTGTTAAAGGGGGGATTAATTAAATTTTAAAGAAAATCACAGTCAAATTCACTTGTTTCATGATCTATACAGTTTTAAATTCATTTAAAAGATAGTTTTCATCGTTGTTCAATTTAAGAATAGTTTTTATATTGATCTTTTTACTTGTATTTTTATTGTTATAGTCATTGTTACTACTATGGATATCATGTTATTGTTATTGTTGTTATTGTTATTGTTATTGTTATTGTTATTGTTATTGTTATTGTTATTGTTATTGTTATTGTTATTGTTATTGTTATTGTTATTGTTATTGTTATTGTTATTGTTATTGTTATTGTTATTGTTGTTGTTATTGTTATTGTTATTGTTATTGTTATTATTGTTATTGTTATTGTTATTGTTGTTATTGTTATTGTTATTGTTATTGTTATTGTTATTGTTATTGTTTTTGTTATTGTTTTTGTGTTTTTTGTGTTTTTGTGTTTTTGTTGTTTGTTGTTTGTTTTTGTTATCATTATTGTTTAAGTGAAGTGAACGGGAATGTGACCGATCCTGAAGATTGTGAAAAATGGGATTTCTATAATTCTCTTTTCTTCTCTTTCACTGCTGTAACAACTATAGGTATAATTCAATGAGATAGATACTAAGAAGACGGATAATGATACAGGGATGTATATTTTCTTGAAAATCAAATATTTCCCAATTTGTTAGGGATGATTTCACGGAGCCCATTTTTTAGGATTTTGAATAAAAACAATCTTTATCCCCCTTTCCTTTCTTCTAATCTAATTGGTAAAAGATCTTAGCTAAATATTTACACTCAGATGGTTATAGATCTTTAAAATTTCAAACTATAAATTCTGCCAGCTAAAATATGTTAAGTTTGACATATCAAAGGTTTACACCATCAGGATTCAGGTTGCAAAGATATAGAAATAGAAAAATTAGAGTTTAAGGCAATAATTCAGTTTCTTTCTCTTCCCTTCAGGGTATGGTCACCAGGCACCTGAGACTAATTATGGAAGGTTGGTTTGTGTCTTCTATTCCTTGGTTGGAATACCTCTCAACGCTATCCTTATTGGAGCTCTAGGTTCCTTGTTCAGCAATAAGGTCAGTAGCCAATAAGCACAAGGCAGAGATTTGGTGTGAAGCGCTTGATCTCGATATCCTCTTTTATATTTGAGGGATAAGTTCTCAACATTTGAATTTTAGTTTCACTTAGAATGTATGACGGGAGTTTTTGTTTGGTTTAATTTTCAAAAAATCATGCTTCTACATTGACAAGATGTCACATTCTACAGTACAAAATATTCCGTATTTTCATCCTTATTTACCCTTCTTATCTTCACTCATTGATCCCTTGTGTTCAATGTAAAATTCCGCTAAAAGTCTATCTTTTAATTGTTTGCTGTTACAAAGAGTGTTTGCTCAATGTTCATCTTTTAGAACTTTATTGATAAGATATTTTTTAAAATTCCATTTGTATTTTATGTTCTTTCTGTTAGTAACATTAATAAGTAAAATTTTGGGGGAAATTTTTTAGAAATAATATAAATTTGGCAAACATATATTAAAAGTATTAAGCAAGTGAAGAAATAAAAATTTAGTTTCCAATGTAAACCGAACTTCAAATAAATTGTCAAGTTTGATAATTTTTTAACAGGGTATTCAGTTGTTAAAAGTCAAATATTAATCTACAGCTTGCTCCCCCTTCCATGAATTTGTGGGTAAAAAGTATCATAAAAAACGAATAAAAACTTGCAAACGTCCAATTTTTCTTTTTTTTCTATAGCATCAAAAGCATTTCCCCCTTTATATAGATAATAGCCCTGAAAGACCGGGTCCAGATAGCTGATGGAACAGGATTGAAGGGGATGGGGAAGGTTGGAAGGATTGTTCTAGAAGGAATTCTACTTTTTCTTATCTTTACATCAATCTTCCTTTTCCTACCCGCAGCCCTCTTCACCTATGGGGGTTTAGAGGACAAGGTTAGTTTTCTAGCAATTTTTTATCAAAATTATTTTGATAAACAAAATAAGGATTGTTTACATATTTTGAGATGTGTAATAGAAATACACTTGTACCTCAGTGTCGAAATTTTGATTTCTTTCTGTAAAAGTTTACTTAAAACGTTAAATAAGACTTGAATCTAGAGATGATAATGAAATCTGTCATTATCGTGAAAATTGAGTTTTTGTTGTAAACATAAGAAAAAATTTATTAAGTCTATAAATTTAGATAAATTTGTTTAGTCCTGGGAGTATATAGACAGTCTCTACTATTCATTCATTACTCTTTCCACCATAGGCTTCGGAGATATGGTTGCAGGTACATAATTGTATATGTACAATGTACATACAGGGTTAGTTAGGATGAGACTAAAGATTTTGATCAGTTTTTTTCCATTCTGAGATATTCACTTGTTTATTCTTTAAATAACGAATATTATCTTTTAAATACATACTTGTACAATGTACATAAATACATACTTGTACAATGTACATAAATAGTTTTGTTATATTGATGTTAAAGAAGATTGTTTTTCCTAAAGGATTAATGATATACTTCGTACATACTCAATTTTAAAATATATAAATATATATGAAATATATTTTACATCTTACATCTTACATCTTACATCGTACATACTAGTAGACTGTACTTGTAAATACTCCTGCTATACACACTACTAACTACTTAACACCCATTACTAGCTGTGCTTAGGATCCGGATTGAATTATATTCAGAACATTATGATCCGGCGCTGGATTCGGAATCGCATAAATATGTGGATCCACTGTGTAAATTTATCAACAAAAACCAACCAAGAATACTTTTTGCTCTTAAAACACAAATCTCACATCTTAACGAGTGGTAAATTGGGAAAACAAATTTTTTATCAGTGGTTATTCGATTAGGTTTTAACAACACAATTGCGAATTTCGCGAGTTGGATCTGGATCTGGATATAATTTTTCAGGATGGATCTAGGATCCGGTTATAGTTTTTGAGTTGGATCTAAAGCCCGTTTTAGTTTTTTGTTGGATCTGGATCCGGTTTTAGTTTTTGAGTTTGAACTGGGTTCGGTTTTGGTCTTTAAAGTTTAAAACGGGTTAAATTTTTACAGGACTGATCCAGGATCCAGATCTGTGACAAATGGCATGAATCCTAATCAATGCTTTATGTGTGCAAGTGTTGTGTATGATCTATAGTATACAGTTGGGATGCTTGTACATCACAACATTATTCAAAACTTGTATGTAAATATTTGTTCAAAATCAATCTAAAAATTTGACTAAAATCGGCAAACGCACTTTCACACTATGGCCAGAAGAACGATTTTATAGATATCAATTTATTTTTTAAATCTTCCATCTTGTTTTAATTTTTCTCTTATTATTCTAGCTTGGAATCCCACGGGGTAAGTATTCAACTTTCAGTTTTTGCAGCGAGGTTAAAGTAAAATTTGAATAAAAATCTACGAAAATAAAAACCATGAATAATACTTTAAAAATCGGGGTTGACAAGAAAAGTCTAACCAGTATCCATTCTCATCGCTCGCTAGTATATTCGATCATAAATTATTTGCAAATTCGATCTTTAAGATCTTCCTGGATTGTCCATTCTGGAGGCTTGATTTTTAAAGAAAAAAATATTATTTAATAACGACGAGGAAAAATTATCAAATTATATCTTCATTGACATAGCAAACATCACTTTAATATATGTTTAATATTAGGGCGGAATAGCGACCAGATCAACCCTGTGACGAAGATGTTGTATCAAGTGACGATTATAACCTGGATTATATTCGGGATGGGGTTTATTGTCGGGATCATCAATGTTCTGGTGGAAGCTCTTCAGTTCTCAGGGTATAAACATACTAGATACTATATGTGACTCAGGTTTATACTTACATAGGGAGGAGAGAGGGAGATAAATATCAGTAAAATCTATGGTTTCCAGAGGGTTATTTCTTTTTTGGCCCCAACGGTTGCTGAGCCCCATGGACAAATTCTTATGTACGCCCCTGGAAGATATACAACTAAGGAGAGATAGACAGATAGAGATTGTTTCCAGTCTTTACAGTGATGTGTTAGGACAGTCTTAGAACTTTTTAATCAAAATAGACAATACTAGGCTTCCAGGGCGTTCCGCGCCCATCTTCGATTTTAATTTTAATTGTTGCTCTAACTGCCCCATTTTCTCTTCTCTAATTATCATCCATAAAAAGATAGTCGTGGACATTTTTTTTTCGTGGATTTTGAAAAATCGAAATTTGAAAAGTATACGATTTAGTTGACATTGATTACTCTGGCCCGGCCCTTCTCAGAAAGACAAAGCCTAATTTACAATTTTTGTTTTGGTTTAACTAAAACCAGTTTCTGAGCTTTCTTAATGCGTCATCAGAGTTAGATGTAAATAAACCCTGTCCACATCTCCATAGTTCTACTGCTTCTAAACTAAACTAACAATTCCATATCTGCGCTCAGCATAACTGGAAAATATCAATTCTTTTAATTCAGTAAACCTTCTGTCTAAAAGTGGTAACAATTTCTTTAACAAATATTACCAAGCAAAGAGTCTTCCTAAATCCTTCATTCAACTTTTACACTTAAAGAAAGTTAAAACACACTTAAGTAAAAGAACACAAGCTCCTTATACATCCAATTATAGTGTGAGTTATATTTTTTTACACGCTGATTGTTCGTCTTTGTGCTCAGAATTGCTCTTTGAATTAGTTCGAAACTCTGGGTTTAAGGTGAAGGCACTGTAGCGTTCCAGATACATGATGGTACCCTTTAAATCTTTATCTGTTGTATAATGTGGAAAATATCGTCGTTTTTACAGCTTGAATAGTGGTTAATTCTTACAATTGCCTCAATTGTTTCAACGACAGAGCAAGTCATTGCAATTGAAAATAATTGCTTTCTCTTTCAACGTAATCATTCTTCTGAGAGGAACATGGATATCTTAACATTCATAGCTTTCTCATTGGACATAATCATTTTTCTGAGAGGAACGCATGGATATCTTAACATTTATAGAATGCATACTTACTTGAAATTGCGTTCGCTGTTCCTTTAAGCTAACTCTTGACACATGTGGTCCATGTTTACAGTTTTCAACTAATTCCCCCTGGGCTTTAGGGTTGAACTAATTCTCCTTGAGCTCCAGCGCGAACCAGAAACCTGTGGAATAGGAAGACGACATAATAAGAATCCTTAAGTGTACTTGATTCAATGTTGTTGCAAAGCAAAAAACCTAGTAAATTATTAAATCACTTATTAAGTTACAAGTGATTTGTATCATGTTCATTGGACTATTTAAAGTCACAATTTGAGTCTTAAAGACATCTTCCTATTCCAGAGTTTTCTGGTTCTCACTGTAGTTGTTGTAACCAAAGCTTCTGTTCAGTAAACCTGTAAAGCGAGCAATTCGTGGCTTGAAGAACCAGATCCTGGTGCAGGACTACTGGAGGAAAATCTTGAACGAGATCATCATCTTGAAGCACGGTGAGGGGGTCTGGGTCGACGAGGAGCTGATGGAGGGTGCAGGAGGAGGATCAGAACCATGTCTTGGAGTTGTTGACATGTCCTCCGGAGATTGGAGCGCGACGCGTTCTGTTTCCACCGGAGATATGGAGGCGAGCCTGGCGCAGGACGGAGATAAGGTGGTCCAAGGACAGTCCTTGCAATCCTTGACTCCAGGGAATGATCTGTCCGATATCCAGGAGCTGAATGAAGATACGATCTCATCCCTGAGAAACTTCTTGACAACAGCTAATGTTGGAGCAGGAGGAGATGCTAAACTGGCAGAGTGGATGGAAAATAACTTCCCAGGTCTCATCTTTGTTTCTAAATATTAATTGTCCAAGGTCCATTCTTTTGGTGATGCAACTATATAAAAACACTGTAGAGTGTCCCATAACATATTTAATTATCTTCAGGTTTTAACGCTAAAATACTATTGTTCTGCAAGCAATTAAAAAAATTTACAAATAAATGATCGGCGTTTTTTAGATTTCTGATGTGTTGCGAAAATTTCCGTAAAGCTATACCAATTCCAACATATATAATGTGGACACCCTCATATTCAGTATTCAGTGACTACAAGACGTAGTCTTCTTTATATTTTGGGTTTGCGCTAAAAGAATGTAAGTAAATCCCGCGTCATATTCCTAACCACAAATGCCAACTTAATGTACAATGTCAACAGGGATTTTGTCTCATGGAAAATTATGTATTTTTTTTTTTTAAGTTTTTTTTTTATTTATTTTTTAGGAAGAAATAGTTTGACTGAGACGCGACCAGTTACTCGAAAAAATAGCACTCATTCCCAGTATAGTAATACTGTTATTCCCAGGTACTCATCCCAGTATAGTAATACTGTTATTCCCAGGTATTCATTCCCAGTATAGTAATACCGTTATTTCCAGGATTCATTCCCAGTATAGGAATGCTGATATTCCAAGTATAGTAATACCGTTCTTCTCAGTACAGTAATACTGTTATTCCCAGATATTCATTACCAGAAAAATATACTGTTATTCTCATGTATTCATTCCCAGTATAGTAATTTTGTTATTCCCAGGTACTCATTCCCAGTATATTAATATCGTTATTCCCAGGTATTCATTCCCAGTATAGTAATACTGATATTACCAGGTATTTATTCCGAGTATATTAATACTGTTATTCCCAGGTTTTCATTCCCAGTATATTAATACTGATATTCCCAGGTATTCATTCCCAGTATATTGATACTGTTATTCCCAGGTTTTCATTCCCAGTTTAGTAATACTGTTATTCCCAGATATTCATTCCCAGTATAGTTATACTGTTATTCTCATGTATTCATTCCCATTATAGTAATACTGTTATTCCCAGGTATTCATTCCCCGTATAGTAATACTGTTATTACCAAATATTTATTCCCATTATAGTAATACTGTTATTCCCAAGTATTCATTTCCAGTACTATAGTAATAGTATTCTTCCCAGGTATTAATTCCCAGTATAGTAATACTGTTATTCCCAGGTATTCATTCCCAGTGTAGTAATACTGTTATCACCAGATATTCATTCCCAGTGTAGTAATACGAACTTAAAAGTAAGAACTTCTGTTAATGAAAATTTTATTTTAGACAGGATAGAGGTAGAGGAAGACGACGTTCCTTGAATATTCCCCGTAAACTGAGCAGGCGGCACAGTACAACTAGTAATCAGAGTGGGGTTAGTCATAGAAGTACTGTCAGTACAGGTACACAGTACAGTTCAATGGGAGAAGGTTTGTCTGGCACAGCACTACAATACAATTAGTAATAAGAGTGGGATTAGTCACAAAAGTACTGTCAGAACAGGTTAGACTAAGCATGAAAGGAACAATAACGTGTAGACGTCAAGGAATAAACCCATGGTCATAATTTGCTGTACATTTAGAACGATAGATGTGAATATCTGTCGCATAGAGGGCACAATTACTTTGCAAGTTGTCACATTTTTTTTAACTCAACGATTTATCATTTTCAAATTTAATGTTATAATTATTCTTATTTATAGGAGGGCCTGTTGAGCAATTGCTTGAACAGACGACCCTGGGAGAGTTCTTAACAGCTGTAGAGAACGTTAGAGCTAAAAGTGAAGCAGAGCTTATGGTGAGCATGAATTAGCTTGATTTGAATTTATTTTTAACAAATTCTCAACTGTTGACTACAGTTGACTACAGATTACTTCAGATGACTTTAATTGACTTCAGATGACTTTACTTGACTTCAGATAACTTTACTTGACTTCAGATAACTTTACTTGACTTCAGATAACTTTACTTGACTTCAGATGACTTTAATTGACTTCAGATGACTTCAGTTCATTTCAGATGATTTCAGTTGATATCCGTTTAAAGTCTTTTAGTTTAATTAAGTTGATTTCATTTGACTTTATTTGAATTCAATTTAAAATTGTGACTTTTTGTTTTTTGCATATTCGTTTTTTCTCTAGACTTGTTAATTGTTTTATTATCAGATACATTTTCAAATAATGATATCTTTATTTTACTAGGTGAGTGTAGATGTAGAAGAAGGAGAAAGATCTAGGAAAAATTCCATCTTCAGAAAACTATCCGCCATCAGCACCAGGAGTATAGGCCGGGAGCGGCAGGACAATAAGGATCAGGGTCCCTTAACTTTAAAGCAAGTGACCAGCCTGCTTGCCTTCCAGGTAAACTTTAATCAGCTGTTTTTTAAAGGATTAATATTGAAGTAGATTAGTGATGTTTTTAAACTACGTAAACTGGTGTAATTTTAAAGAGGTCCGTTAAGTATCGTTAATGGAGCACTTTAATTAAAGGGTCATTAAAACAATCTATTCTTTAAAAAAACCATAAAGCAAGTATGGGATAATGATTATCAAAAACACATAATTTGTCTAATATTTTTGTTTCTGAAGTCTAAATTATTATTTCAGAAATATGCAGAGGAAGCATCCGAATCAACTAGTGAAAAAAGTAGCAACGGACATTTAATGGTTCCATCAAAGAAGAACTCAACAGTTGGACTACATAATTACATCTAAACTGATACTGTGAGCTATTTTTTCCATAGCTCTAGATCATACTTAGAGTTTAGTGTTAAGCCTTATTATAGAGCAGCACTTTCAATTATTCAAACCTTTCTTAATATTTATCTCCATCTTTATATACACCCAAGTTTTAAACCAGATAACAACTGACTTTGTTTCAATTTGTCAGAGAGATTTATCAAGTGAATGCCATCCATACAGTTTCCTAGATTGCTCAAATTCCTTGGTTAATAGATATTTAGATTTCCACCTTGGATTTGTAATGTAGAAAAAATCCTGCAATGTCATTTTTTCCCCAATTCATAAACAAATATCTAAGTTGACGAGTTAATGAATGTTTCTAATTTTCTATTCTAGGTAAATCTATTTTGCAGTTAACATAATACGGTAAAAATCAGAACTGTAACGGTAGCCTTTGTTCGTTTTTTAATCACCAGGTTTTAAACATTTTTAATAATGTATCGATAACAACATTTACAAAATATGAAATTCATGTTTACAAGAAAAAACAAGTCATTTTTTAGTTTTCCGGTTTTGTTACCGTGTTTAATAATATTTGTTATGTTTCTAGTTCCGTATGATAAATTATCTAATTTACAAGAAAGTCAAATATGCATAGAAGTGCTTAAATATCCTGTTCAAAATCCACAGTTTTATGGGTCGTACTGTGTAATCTTCTTGCTTAATATAAAATAGAATGGCTTAATGTATAGATTATCATCAGATGATAAAAATTTCAACATTAATGTCAACTTGAATAATATGTTTTCTGCGAAACATTAAGTTGATTTCTCGTATAAACCTTGGTTGTACATTTTTTATAAATTCAGGAAAAATCATTGTCCATTCATCTTTGTACTATGTACAATATATGTAATAATTAGAGTTTAAGGAAAAGAACTTCATAATTTTCCTGGAGAAACTTAAATTTGAATTGAGACAGTTTCTCATTTGATTCCAATGCATTGTAAAGCGCAGGGCTGTGCTTCAAGTTGATACTGTTCGTAGATTATATTTATTTTTCTATGACAAATACATATATATTTTACAGTTTATATTCTGATGTAATTTTTCTTTATTTTCTTTCTTTCCATCGTTTGATGATAACATGATGTGTATAGTTTAATCCAATGTCCACTCCTAAAAGTTTCAGATTTAAAAAATGTAAATATGTTTTGGTCTGCAGGCAATCATGGGGCGCAATGTTTAAGATGGATTTAATTTCAATGGACCTAAACTATCGAAATCATAAATATGCATAGTTCACATAAAAATAAGCTTTAATACTTGGTCTGAACAAAATGATGGATATAAAATAGTTTTCCGGATTTCTATCACTACGCTTCGCGCCCATCTTTTACTTAAACTTTTAATTATGGCTTTATCTGTGAGCATCTTTTCTTTGTACAGTAAAAACTATAACAGAAGTTTTCGGCTTTCATGATATTATTTCGTGCATTTTCAAATTAAAAAAAAAAATTAAAAAACTTTTAACACAAATTTTTTAAATATTGATCATTCATAATCCTTCCCTGGGGTCACGTGAGGTCCCACACAAAATTTAGGCCTGACCGGTTCAGCCGTTTTGACGTTTATTAGAAATAAACAAACGGACAGACAGACAAGATATAGATTAAAATAAAGAAATAAGCATATCTTTCTCGGTTTAGTTTAGACATTGATTTAGTACCTTTAAAGGGACTGTAAACGCGATTTCAACTGACCATCCACGTAAAGATGACAATTTCCGATTTACGTAGGTAGTTACCATTCAAAGGTTTATTATCACTTAAGAACTGATTAGTTTTAGTTGGGAATTCTCAATAGAAGTGACTGACTTTTAAAACTAATATCTTCCACATTATTGTTCATATGAAGGATACCGTTGCGATTCGGGCATTGCCATTTTTGCTAAGAGGATTATTCAAAGATTACAACATCTGAATCTATACCTAGAATAGATAAAGCTGATGCTCCAGGTTCTATCTTCTCCGTCTTTATCAGGATAGTTCCATCGTACACCTGGAGTATAAACATTTTTATGTCACGGGTTTCTCCTCGACATTAGGTTCTGAATAATAATTGATTATTGTGGTTACAGTAATACTGCAGGTTAGAACGCGGAAAAGTTTGAAACGGGAAAGATTCAAACTCAAAGATCTGCTAAAAGGTCCTGAATTCTTGCACTAAAGTGAATCGAACCTGTCGGACTTCAACTACTTATTGCTCATTCAAAAAAAAACATTTTTAGTGCTTCCCAATAATTTTTTTTGGCATCTAAATATAAAAATATTTAGAATAGTTCAAAATTATCTTTTCTCTTATTTCTAAATTATTAAAATGTTCTAATATAGGTCTAAACAGTTATTAAAGTTGTTTGTTTACAAATCTGAAGTTGTTTGTATTTTTCCCCTACCTAGATTCTATCCTTGAGAAGGATGATTATTTGATCCTGATTATCCCAGGGTAGACCAAGGGTTTCCTCTACCTAGATTCTATCCTTGAGTAGGATGATTATTTGATCCTGATTATCCCAGGGTAGACCTAGGGTTTCCTCTACCTGTATTTTATCCTTGAGTAGGATGATTATTTGATCCTGATTATCCCAGGGTAGACCTAGGGTTTCCTCTACCTGTATTTTATCCTTGAGTAGGATGATTATTTGATCCTGATTGTTCCAGGATACACCAAGGATCCTCTCTGCTCCGGTTAACTGGAAAACGCTTCTCCAGGATATAGTGGAGATCACGTGAACCCTGATATATTAGGATCAGCTTGTTCACAAGGGATGGGAACTTCAGATATTTGAATGGGTTCAATTCTAAACCCATAGCTTTCTTTGTTATTTATTTGCATTTGCAAAATTACAGTTACCCACTAAAAATGACACTTCAGAGAAGATTGTACGGAATGTTTAGTTTGATCATTAAGTAAACCACCTAAATACTGCTGAAACCAAAAATCAAGCTTTAAATCGTCATAGATTTAGAGTTTTTGGGTCGTCTTTACAGTCTCATCCTTTGTGGGTAACCCTTTACATTTTAATGCACAAGACTTGATTTATTTCCCCTTATAAGATACTTGTATTCTAATCACAGAGATGATATATTTATCTTATACTGCATAATTATTTTCCAAGTACAAATTTTCATCGCTTATTGTTAAGCCTGTGTTTTCGTTGAATTTTAATTATCAATTGAAACTATAGCGGCCTTTTTTTAGTGTGGTGCATATTTTATAATAATATTTCACAAGGTGACCCAATACCGTGGGTCACTGAGGGCGCAGTATTATAGAATAAATTATTAGCATTTATTTGAACCAGTAATATGTTTTTATTTTTTATAATTAGTGTCGTTAATCGTAAGTGAATCGTTTTATTAAAATTTTATAGAAGTTCAAAGATTTTAAATCTGTATTTTGTTAAAGTTTGCTTTTATTACCCTTTGAAATATCTTTAACAAAGAAAAATCAAAAGTGCAAAAATGTTCCTCAAAATGTTACAACGTTTAAGAAAACAATTGCTCTCCGTACACTAGGCTAAATTTTTACAACGACAGAAAATATAAATGGAAAATGAAGGACTTTAAGGCACATCACTACGTAAACCACTTGAAGGCACATCACTAAGTAAACCACTTGAAGGCACATCACTACGTAAACCACTTGAAGGCACATCACTACGTAAACCACTTCAAGGCAAATCACTACGTAAACCACTTCAAGGCAAATCACTACGTAAACCACTTCAAGGCACATCCCTACATAAACCACTTGATGGAACATCATACGTAAACCACTTGAAGGCACATCACTACATAAACCACTTGAAGGCACATCACTACGTAAACCACTTGAAGGAACATCACACGTAAACCACTTGAAGGCACATCACTACATAAACCACTTGAAGGCACATCACTACGTAAACCACTTGAAGGAACATCACTACGTAAACCACTTGAAGGCACATCACTACGTATAATTACTGAGTAAGAACGGAAAAATGAATACTCCGTGGGAGTCCGCTCTGCTGCATGTTTTTTACAATTCTCTTCTGATCTCAGTTCAACCGCCTTTATTTTCTGTCAGTCCCTTTAAGGGTTTAAAATTTCTAACCTCATATCTCCAGCATCAAGAACAGCAATCCTTCTCCCTGATCTATTACAGGATACAGTAGTAGGGACCCGGATACCACTCAACCCGTCCTCTCCATGTCCAAGGTTTCTTACATGTTCTCCCGATCTATTCCAAACCTAAAAAAGCTCTACAATGAGTGTATATTAAGTATTATTTCATGTTCAGAGAAATATTTTTATATTTATATTTATTACTTAAAGTCCTCCAATGTAGCTCTAACGTTGGAAATTCACAAAAAAAATGCTGTTTAATCCACGAACTTTTGTTATTTTTGTTTGTTATTGTGCAAAAAGAAAATGTCTATAAAGGCCACTATTAAAAGTCAAAATAAAAGAAGGGCTCAAAGGGCATAATATTGCTAATAATAATAAATTCAGTGATCAAAGATGACCTTGAAGTTTCAAGTTTCACGGGACACCCAATAATGATTGTAACTGTTACTAACCTGTATTTTTGTATCCCCAGTGTTGGTTAGATAAATCCTTTGTTTGAGGTCGACCATAAGACAGCTTGGGCTCGACATTTTACCCTTCCTACAATTATTAAAAAAATTTCATTTTCAAATCTATTTATTATCATTTATAAATAAAGGGTTTGTCAAAAAGAATAAGACTTTAATTACTACTTGAACATTTTATTTGGATTTTATGCATTAGTCTTTTCATGATAACATGAGATTACTGCTGGAATTTGATTAGTCAACTCATGATTCGGTCACACTTTCGTTTTAAAGTATATTTCTCGTATTCATTTTTTAGGGGGTTGCATAATCTTACTTTGTGTTCTCCTTCCCAATACAGTTCAGAACAGCAAAGGTATCACCATTGATAATCCAAATGCACTGCTGCCTTTGGTCTACAAATAGTTTTAATGGTGATTGCAACAATGTTTTCGGCTTGTTTTTATTTAATGCTTTCTGGGTTGATTAAAAAAAAGAATGTTAAATCTTAACTCAGCTAAAATCATGTTGACAAAGGTTTTGCAACAAATTAATCCCTAAATCTTTTCAACCCGATATCGTAGACCTTTTATATATCAAATTTTGACTTTGTTTGATCAAATCGTCCAATTTAGAAATATCAAAAGTTTGCAATGATAAAGAGATTCGGAAGTTTGAGTATGTTGCGAAAATTTGATGATCTAAGGAATAAAAAAATATTGAACATCTAATGGCAAAATTTTTTTTAATCCTTTTAATATTATTTACCCAAACATTTGTTTATTTTCCCTCAAAACCCATTTATTTTTTGCAAATTAGTAAATAAAACCTTTGAAAAATTAATTCAGAAATGATTTTTTAAGAAAATATACATCCCTGAGATTAGCGCTATATCTCACACTAAAATTCCGACCTTATAGGTCCTGATGTAAGTTTCTTTTAAAAATTGAGATCTAATCAAATTAAAAAGGGGAAAATATAATGGGGGAGGCAAGTCTCCAGGGCCCAGGCCCCTTTCCCTGTCTAATTTTTACCTGCAACATAAACTTCTCTGTGTGTAATGTTGAAGCCTATACTGATAGGATAGAGCATTCCCTGGTGAGCAACTGTGTTTACTAATTTACCCTCCTGACTAAATATTCCAATCTCCCCAGAACCTATCAACAAAAAAAAGGAATATCAAAAAATTATGAAAATAGGTATTTCGATAACGATCTCTTAAAATCTATCATTTTGTTTTTATTTATAAAAACGTTTTAAAAAAAAATAAAATTTGCCCATCCCTACCTGTGGCGCAGACCCAGACTTGACCGTTCCAGGGGCACTCAGCAGCAGCAGAGGGTTGGACGCATCCGCTCCAGGTCAACTTCGCCACATCTTGCAGGTGACTCATCCTGGGACCAGATTTAATCAATTGGAGAGATCGCTGAACTAAATACCGCTGGTTCAAGTGTTAACAATTGCTTAAATCCTGAATAAATTCAGGATATGAGCCATTGAGCACTTTAGAATTAGCGAAGTTTGGGGTAGGTAGTTCAGTAGCTAAGTATGGGGTAGGTAGTTCAGTAGCTAAGTATGGGGTAGGTAGTTCAGTAGCTAAGTATTGGGTAGGTAGTTCAGTAGCTAAGTATAGGGTAGGTAGTTCAGCGACGTCTCTCTAATTCATCAAATTCAGTTCCTCGTACATAAAAATGGGACCCATTAAACTGTGCGGTAGAAAGACGACTGTTAGCCTCAAATTATGATTTAAAATAGTCCAATGTACATGAAACACAACAGTTTATTATACACAGCTGACCCATTTCACTTAATAAGTTGACGCTTATACTACTGGCAAAACTATTTACTTTATAACAACATCAAATAAATATAAGATTTCTAGTTATATGTCGTCTTTCTATTCCACGTTTTATGGGTCTCTCCGTGTGGGTACATAAGGAAATATAGAATACTACAAATACATGTCCCTCATATAATAGCTCTCTGTGGACCAGAGCCTGTCTACTTTTGTTGCAGAAAACTGGGTGCACTAGACGGGCTGGTACGAGTAAGCACTAGACCGGTTTAGGATCATGCCACGATTAGTTTAATCTCGTTGGTTTGAACATTGAAGTGGATTCAGTGGATACTGTTCTGAATCGACCATGGCACTTCTAATATTTAAGGATTACCTATTTTATTGTATAACTCTCTTGAACTCCCAAAAACATGATCGAAATTGGTTGTAAAGAAGGTTAGATTGTATAACAGTATGAATTATAATTAGACTTCAAATTTTCCAATTTCCATGATGAATTTGAATAAACAGCAGTCTGGATCAATATTTGTTTTTCAATTTTTAGAATTGACATTTTATATCTAAATAAAATAAAAACTTGATTAAACCTGACATATTTAATGGGACTGTACACGTAATTTTAAGTTAAACTCCATTTAGAGAGGAGCACAGATTCAACACTCAACTTTTTTTTTCTTAGCAAAAATTATGAATATATTTTAGTTTTTCTACCTCAAAATTGATAATTTATAACTATGTACAATATTATCTTTAAAAAATTGGAGTTTTTAGTGCTGGGGTTTCCCCTTTCTTTTCCCTCTGCTATTCACCCTTCCTTTCTTTTTTTTCCCTTTTTTTAAATTACTTTGTGATTAGTGTAATATATTTGTTAATTTTAAGAAATAAAATGTATCTATAAAACTGGCTAATAATTGTTATAGTTATAAATTATAAAATGTAAAGTGTATTTATTATAATGTTAGCCGAAATATATATCTATCTATCTATCTAATTGTGTGTTCTTTATAAAATTAACTTTCGGATATTATTCAACAGAGAAAAAGCATGTATTTACATGTATTTCTAGATAAAAAAGGGTCCGTTTTAAATCGTTCATGCCATACTAGAAATTACACTTACAGTCCCTTTAACCTTGATAAATAATCTTAAAGACTTACGCAACATTTGTTTTTCCTTTTTTAATTTTGTCTCCATGTTCTCTGTCCACTAGAGTGATGTTCTCTGTATCAATATCAATCTTGTCCGCCATAAACCCCTCCAGGTCTTTAATCAGCTTATCATAGTCCCCCCGCATACTCTTCAACTGTAACATCTACATAAAAAATAATCAAAAATTATTTTGGTCATGATGATGTTTTTTCCTCTTAAAATCCTATTAATTTGTGCATCACAATTTATATAGGAATTCAGAGACTACTTGAAAATCGTCTATAATTTCTGATAATATAGTTAAGTGTCAAGTAGTGTATCAAAAAAAAAATTTACGTCTTCAGAGCTTTTTAAACTTTGACCTTTCTTTTTCTTCTTTTTTAATAAATTGGAATCTGAACTAAAGTTATGAATATCTTTAATGTTTTGACTGGGAAACGACTTAAATTATGATTACGAAATAGTTTAATTCCCTTCTCTGTTGGGACACCCTGTAGACATTTTTTGTTTTTCAACTGCAGTGCGCAGAAACATGGCAAAATGTACACGCTTTAAAAGTTTGCTTCCCATTTTTTTACGTTACAAAATTTAGAGCCTGACAGAAGATATATTATTGATTTTGTCTTGCTCTGCAGGCTGTATCCTCTATTAGAGCCAAAAGAAGTTCATATACTTTAAAGGAAACTTGTAGAAACTAGAAAATAATATTTTATGAATTATAAACTTGGTTTATTTGTATACCCTCTGGTAACTTGAAACCCATTAAACTTTTCAAGATTAAAAACGGATTTAAGGAGAGTACCAACACAACCTTCTGCTCCTGAGTTCCTCCGTCTGTTCCTGTTCCCAGCTTTTTAATCATCTTCTCTGTTCCATTTCTCAATCTGGGAACACAAACAAAATAATGTAAAAAGTTAATATTTTTGAAATTTAAATATTTATTTCGTAAAATAAATAATAAAGTTATAAAAATGTTTTGAATTAAACTAAAATTCATACAAAATTGAAATTTCTCAGACCCTCTCACGCCCCTAACCATTACCTCTCCATCTCTACATTTTTAGAGTTCAGAAGATCACAGAGTTCTTCATCTAGCTTTGATCTTCTGTTCTGAATACTGGAGATCTTGATCTCTACAGCCTAACCGCAGCGAACTCAAATATGTAAATAATTCAGAGGCAGAGATTTAAGCGCCAAGTCTCGACTCTCGAGTCTAAATCATTTAGTCTCTATTCTAACGTTCAAAGTTAGGGCCGACGTTTTGAGTTTATTCAAATTGGTTAAAAATTAGATACGACTCAGAGAAAAACTCATCTGAAGGCTGGAAGTCTTGAAACTAATTTTTCACTGATTATTACAATTCGGCCTCATAGGGCAGTCTTAAGAACTAAAATTGCCCCCCCCCCCCTCTATTTTCTTATTGTGATACAAATCTATAACATTTGATACGTTTATGGGCTTTACTTCAATAATCTGCAAAAAAATGGCAAATTTGTAAAAATCCAAATATTAATTGCAAAATCTAGCTATTAAAAATTGCGCAAATTGCAACAAATTATAAATTTTTGAAAAGTCCTTGACCCAACGAATTCAAATAGGCAAAAAAACATTCGCAAAATTTGTAAAACCTAAATGTGTATTCCAGAAAAACGGAAAATGTTCAAATTCCCTTTAAAGACCTCTTTACAAAAATCTGTGCCGAATTTCTTTGCAAAAATTGTGCAATCTGTTTGCATTTGTTATAGGCTTTCCAAAGAGCTACAAAATGTGAAATCCAAAGACTGGCATAGGTCTAAATATAGATTTAGTCTGATATAGGTCAAATAGGCAGTATGCCTGAGGACTCATGCAGTAGGTATAAAAGCGCAGCTTTTAGCCTTAAGTGAGGGGCATGGGTCTGTTAGAAAAGTCAGAAAATTTGAGCTTCCTAGCTAAAATACTTTTAAGTTATTTAAAAAAATGATAGGGGGAGTCAAATTGCCCCCCCCCCCCCGCAGGCCATATAGGGTTAGATAGTTTCTGTAATTATGTTATGTTGTGTTCCGAATCCATTCTTTAGAAAATTTATTTTATGGTTTAAATAAATCAGGATTGATTAATTGACTGAGTAAAAATTACTTTCTCATTGTTTTCGCAACATTTTCAAATATTTAGTTTTCCTCGTCTGCTACAACAGCTATATCTGACATCTGGTCCTAAAACAACGAGAATAGAACTTGGGAAAGGAGGATATATACAGTGAACGAGAATAGAACTAAGGATACAGGGATGATACAGTTACGTATAATAGCAGCTTATAAACTTTAATCATTGTAAACAAGGCCTGATATATTACAAGAGTTCGTAGCTCAGGTATGAATTTGAACAATAGAGTTGATTTAGATTCGAGACTAAGCTTTTAAATCACGGCCCTCGGATTGTATCCTGTATACCTGGATTCTTAAACACCATACGAAGGAATCAAGAGGGACTCCAAGGTGTCCTGGAGTGTATACGTTGAATTCCAAAAGAATGAATATGATGAGGGACTACAAGGTATGGAGTGTTTACCTTGAACTCTCCGAGGGATATGGAAAGGGACTCCAAGGTATCCTGGAGTGTATACCTTGAATTCTCCGAGGGATATGGAGAGGGACTCCATGGTATCCTGGAGTGTATACCTTGAACGAGAGATATGGAGAGGGACTCCATGGTATCCTGGAGTGTATACCTTGAACAAGGGATATGGCGAGGGACTCTTATGTCTCCTGGTGTATTTACCTTGAACTCCTCGAGGGATATGGCGAGGGACTCTAATGTCTCCTGGTGTATTTACCTTGAACTCCTCGAGAGATATGGCGAGGGACTCTAATGTCTCCTGAAGATGAATACTCATCGTCTCTTTCTGTTCCTCCAGTAGGTTCAAGTGCGGGTCCAGACATAGAGAACAATATTTCTAAATTATATACATATTTCAGTTTTCAAACTTCACATTTTTTTAAAAAAGGATTTTTGCTAAAAAATATGTTTACGTCTCTATCCTCAAAAGTCAAAACTCTTTGAACAACTCTAAATATATATAAATCCATCTGTTAACGAATACGTTCTAAGATCCTAACTTTCACGGAATTATTTGATATTTTTCGCAGGAATTTAAAACAGTATCACCAAATAAGAAAAACATTTTTACGCATTTAGCCTTATTGGGCATTAGATCTGTCACTAAAATTTATTAAGATTTGCCCAAGTACTCCATCTTTGAAACCTGAAGCTATAGATATACGCCCTAGGAACCTTGACATCTAAATACTTGTGACAAATACGAATAATTGAATGAATAACATGAATTATGATTGAAATTGTTAAAATGTATGGGAATTGGGGGAGAAACTTTTGATTTGTATATAGCACTAAGCTGCAGTTAAAGAACTCTATGTAGAGTGTAGACTCAAAAAGACTTTTAAGTCGTTTCTCTACTAAACTGGGTTGCGCATTTCTGCTACAGGAAAACTTGTAGGAATTATCATAAATAAACCCCCCAAAAAAGGCAATATCTTCCACATTACCGGTGAGATAAAGATTCCAATGGTATGCTGTTGTCAATCGGACATTGTCATCTTTTCATGGAGGATCATTTGATATTACGAGAACAGTCCCTTTAAGTCCTTTTAATGTGTCTCATAAACTGTCAAGGGGGGAACTGCAACGAGGTTATAGTGTATAGAGTGAAGATTTACGCTAATCCTTTACTAATTGTATAGGCCATGAACTATACCGAGAGCGTACTGCATATTTGTTTATTACAAGTTGATTCTGGCCTAACCATATAGTATATCAATATTAGTAAACAGTTGTAAGTGTAAAGTACAGCTACCTGAGCACACAGGTAGAGAACTATCACCCCCCCCCCCCCTGGGAAACTGCTTTTATACCTTGTTACAATGAAGACAGGATCGGGCGTCAATATCTTCAGAGTTACAACTGCCACAGTTCTGCAGGTTTTAGAACAATAAAAATAAATAATTTTGAAATCAAGATTAGACATGCCTGGAAAGTCCAGATTTTACAGGAAGTTTTTGAAACAAGAGTAAACTTCTAAATTTCTTTTGGGTGACATAAGTATGAATAAGATAAAAATGATTAAATTGCAATGCTATCTTTTTTGTTAAAAAAACTTACTTAAAGTGATGGACCATGGTTATGTAAGGTAGTTAAAATAAGTATGTAGTGTTGTGGACAAATTCTTTAGAATTCATTTAAGACATTTTAAACTTTTCAAAGATTTGTAAATCCTGAGTTTGAGCGCAAAGTCTACTTTCAAAATCGTACTTTTTGGTGGATACGTTTTCAGAATTTTTTTATTATTGAATAACGACGACAAAAAATGTAAACAAAATTCTAAAGTAAACTTATTAGTTGTTTAGGAACAGGTTGAGAAAATAAAAATTAACTGTTATCATCGAAAATAAGTAATCTTGTTCAATTATTAGTTTCTATAATCCTCTTTAATTACCAAGAATTTCTGCAGATTTTCTAGATTTTTTATTAAAAGAAACGACATTTGAAGAATTTGAAGAAATCTGCGAACAAATTCAAAGAAAATAAGAAATTCAATATAATGATGAAAAAGGAAATAATTAATTCTAACTTCCAGAGGCTTTTACTATAGAATTTTAACTATATTTTACGTCGTCGTTATTTTATAATTAAAAAAAAACAGATTCTGAAAACATACCCAACAAACTTCATGATTTAGAACGTCGACTTTCCGCTCAAACTCAGTAATTATTCATCGTGGAAACGTTGCATACGTCTCAAATGAATCGTAAAGAATTTGTCCACAACACTGCATAATCAGCTTAAACTACCTTACATAGCTCCGGACCAAATATAATCTAAAATAGAACTGATTACTCGCCTCATTCCTTAATTTTCTAATTCTATATATCTTTGCAACCTGATGTGTAAAAACATTTATACTTCAGCTTGCCAAGATAAAATGGATTAGAAAACTAGAATTTGTGCCGAGTAACCAGTTGCTAAGTTTAAAATATGGCCCCCATGGTCATTGTCAGACAGATTTAAATTATTCAGAATTTAGAAAATTAACGTTGAAATTAAGAAAATCTGCCAAATATTTCTAGTGTTATTTTTTCAACGCAAGGAAAAACAAAGCTTTCAGACAAAATCAATATTGAAGCTAATATAATTCTAGAATTCGAGCCCAAGCAAAATAGTAAACTTGAAGTTCAACACCGACATTGGATTAAGCTTATTTCAAGCAATTTTAAATATAACGTGAATTATAATTCAAAAAAAGTTAAAAAAAAAAAAAGAAATAAGAAGAAATTTATCTCCTAAAAATTTTTTCTTTTTAAATTCTTAAAATTTTAGTGATGAAGTTCGTGTTAATTTCTAAGTATCCCAAGATTAAAGGTTAGTTGTTAAATCAATATAATAAACTGCAATTGTTTGTAATACATTAGTAAAACAAATAGTATCAAATAGAGAATATTTGAATAAAATGTTGGACAAATAATAAGTTTTCTTTTATAATTATTATTTAAATTTTTATAAAATGAATAGATTGTTTCTTAATTATGAAATTCGGACTTTTATAACAACAGCTTTTAACCATGCATCCCTAATTAGTTTTTTTTAATTGGCAGAATTAGAACTTTCAGATATGATAATGAAATATGCGATTCTATTAATCTATTAAATTAGCATCCCAACATTTATTAAATTCCACTCCATGCAAAAGAAACGCTATGCTTGCAGCACTGAGGATGCACAACAGTTGAACGTACAGATGAACTCAATTTTCATTTATAAAAATATGGATATCTACGTCCTCCTTGATCAAACATAGATTTAAAGGGATAGAACCTTGTGTATAAATCAAAATTACGTCTACTGTCTCTTTAAGGTGAAATATAAATTATTTTAAAGTTCTATTTTTGTTATTTCCTGGTTCTGTTTAATCTCAACAGGATTGTCTCCTGGTTCAACCTTAGCTCCAGGAGTAAAGTCAGGAAGGTTGGTTAGACCCGGAGTAACGGTTACAACCTTAAATAGGAAGATTGTGATAATTCTATTCAAGTTTTAATGGTATATACAGGGTTATCCACAAAGGAATATACTTAAGAGACGACTCTACGGAAATTATTCAATAATTTTTAACATAATTATGAGTCCCTGCAGCTGTAATATAAGTGTTTCTTTTCTTGGATTAGTGATTATAACATTGACTAGAGCCAACAACAAATTTAAATCTTCATTTTGTCATATTTAATGAGTATATGGTCGTCATTATAGTCTCATTCTTTGTAGGTAACCCTGTATGTTATTAGCTAAGGATTCGGAAACCAGTTTTCACCGCTAACTAAGTTTTCCTAAAATAAAGCCAATAAGCTATTAAGATATTTCAAACTTAGATAATTTAATCTATAAGTACTATTAGTTTGAAATATCTAAGGTCTACGACATTGGGTTACAAAGATATAGAGATTAGAAAATCAGAGTTTGTGGCAAAAACTCAACTCCTTTTAATTAGATTTAAATTTGAAGTGCTTCAGTGAATTTTCAAAACGCTTATTGACGAAAAGTATATTTTTGGATAATAATCATAATATATAATATTTTACAAATGTTGCAGTTTTTTTTAAGAAAAACTTATTTTTGGGGATTAAGTTTTCTGTATTTTTTAAGATGTTGATTGATTAATGTATCGACAGAATTCATATTCGTTTATAAATACCTTTTTGCTTAGTTGATTGAAATAGCGTTTTTTCATAATTGTAAAATATGAAGTATTTGTATTACAATAAAGATGTTTTGATTAATTAAAGATTCAAAATAGAATATTTATGTATAACCTGTATATGTCCAATTTTTTAAAATTCATAAAATAATATTAAGAAAATATAGAACAGATTTACAATATATGTTTTACATACATTTCTGCATTTAGGGCAGTCTAGGAGCATCTTAGGGTTGACATATTGGATAAGACAGGAGCAGCAGAATGTATGCTGACAAGGCAGCAGCTTAGCCCCTGACAGCTCCTTGTAACAGACACCACACACTTTCTTCTCAATATGCTGAAAAAAAACCTGGTGGGAGAGAGAGAGACCGACTATGTAACATATTTGAGCTGAAATTGCCGATTGTAGAGAAAAACTTTAGGATTCATTTGATACCAAAGAGATATTTCTACGGTGAACAATATTTAAATAAAAGCGTGAAATCGGTTTTATAATATTCACCAGTCGTTTCAGCCAGCAGAAGAAATATTTTTAACAATTATTTTATTAACCCGGGCTAAACATGTAAAAAAATTTAATTTATTGACTAATTTGCTATTTAGGAACATATTGCTTAAAAGAAATTATCGATGAAAGCCATAGTAGAACCATGGAATCGATAATATCATTATTTTTCACAGATTTCTTCGTGTCGTCTTCACATTTAAAATTAAGAAAACCTCCAACAAACAACTGTAGCTGAAGGTATTTTCATAAACCTGCGAGATTTTAAAATGGATTTTTATAACTTATTTCCAATGATAGAAGTTTATTATTTTTCTCAGACTATTCCTGCATCTAGTTTTCTCAGTCTATTCCTGCATCTGTTTTCTCAGTCTATTCCTGCATCTAGTTTTCTCAGTCTATTCCTGCATCTATGTTTTCTCAGTCTATTCCTGCATCTAGTTTGTGTGAATAGTATTTGTTACATGTTTTGTCCATGCTTTTTGGGAACTTTAAAATAACTTTCTCACTGGTATTAAAAGAATCCTAAAGTTTTTCAAGTTCAAATATGTTTCGTAGCCGGTCTCTACCCTTAAAGACACTGTAAGCGTAATTGCATCTTACATAAGTGAACTTGTATTTAAAGAGTTAAAATAAACGCCTCTGCAAAACTATTCCCTTTAAATATTTGTCGGAGCAAACATAATAGAGTTATTTTTATTTTTCTTTCTGGAAATTGATAGCTTTAAATTTCTATGCATCACAGGAACAATATATTTAATTGAAATACGACGATATCTTCCTTAATGTTAATTCGGGTAAAATTTCAAAAGAACCAGTATGGGAATATAACTTGTTAAATAGAGGGTCCCTTAATATAACGTTGAATTTCCCGGTTAAAAATAAAGATTAAACGTTATTTTGTTCCTTATATGGCTCAAAGATTTTGAAATTAACTTATAATATTAATCAAGAAGATTACCGAAGATGATGCCGATCTGCTGATTTTCTTTTCACGTCGATCTTCTCTCATAGTTGCCGATCTTTGAACTCCAGACACTGATTTCTTTGGAACTATAGGGGTATCTACCAATATATTAATAGTAAGGGTATCTACCAATATATAAACAGTAAGGGTATCTACCAATATGTAAACAGTAAGGGTATCTCCCAATATATAAACAGTAAGGTTATCTACCAATATATAAACAGTAAGGGTATACACCAATATATAAACAGTAAGGGTATACACCAATATATAAACAGTAAGGGTATTTACCAATATATAAACAGTAAGGGTATCTACCAATATGTGAACAGTAAGGGTATCTATCAATATGTAAACAGTATGGGTATCTATCAATATTTATACAGTAAGGGTATCTACCAATATATAAACAGTAAGGGTATCTACCAATATGTAAACAGTAAGGGTATCTACCAAAATATAAACAGTAAGGGTATCTACAATTGCTGTGTCTCATGATCATTGGACTATGTAAAGTCATTGCTTAAGTCTTAAAGTCGTCTTACGTTTTCCACAGTTTTATGGTTCTCACTGTATACCTGGATCTTGGAGACGTGAACTAGAACTTTTCTTTACAAAAACCTTCTCCGGTTGAACACTTTTAGTAGGAGTAAGGTCTTGAACCCCCCTAGCTGATGTCAGCTCCTGATCTTCATCTCCTACTCCTCGAACCTTCCTGCTTAGTTTACGGATCATCCTGCACTGTATTACCTGAAGTTAGATCTTTTGAATGAGATAATTCATAACGGCTTATCTTTATACCCACAACGGAAGTTTTTTATTAAAATAACCGAGGGATTAACTATACAACCATTAACCATACTCCGATACAATGAGTCCTAAAAAAAAGCTTTTCACCGAGTTTATTCAGAGGAGATAAGAGATATTCGTATTTTGTATACTTTTTTAGTCTTTTCGACTGGATCTTAAATATTTAAATTAAACCTCCAAACAGGGAGGGAACCGATTTAAAATACAAAAGTTTTCATCTCCCGAACTTTAGAAAATGATAATTTTAAATCTCTCTTGTCCTACATGGAATGTTTTTAAGTTTAATGCTATAAATAAGTTTTTTTATATGACAAATCTCAAAAGTAGGAAAACAGCTTGATCTTAATTTTAAAAAATTGCATGTTAATGATTATCCTACAAAATGTTTCCTATATTGTAATTGCTTTATTTCGTAATAATAACTGTAATGATAAATATGTTTTGTAATGAGTAATGACCAATGTCGCCTATTTGTGCATAATTTTGCATATTTGGTTTTCTTTTGTAAATTATATATTCAAAATATCTGAACAAATTTTAACAACACCATTTATATATGTAAGTATATCTTTGCGTGTGAATAAATCTTTATAATAATAATATAAATTTTTTTCCAAACAGAGTTTTTGCCTCTCAGCATATTTAAAAATAAAAACGTTCAAACAATTTCTTTTATAAAGCTTTCTGTTTATTTGAACTAACTGTATGTCATGTTACCGGTTTGAACACCAAGAACTTACTGAAATCCCTTATCAGAGAATTTACAATACTTACTTTATAATTTATTACAAAGCAAATATTTTAATCTTTTGTTTTTACCTTTCATTTAAATCATTTGATAAAACCTTCGCATATACATAATTTAATAAAAGTTGGTTTTAACGGAAAATCCAAAATTTTGAAGAAACAAATCTGAATATAATGTCGAAATTAAGCAATAATTAATCTATAATGTAAGTACCATAGATTAATTAAAATTAAAATTTAAATTAATTCATTAATAAATTAAAATTAATTAATCTATGGTAAATACTATCAGTTTTTCATTCAATCTAAAATATTAGGTTATGAAATCTTTTTTATCTTGGTTCGCAAAGTCGTACCAGTAATTCATCATAAATTAACATCTTCTTTTTTCTAAGATTGAATCGCAATATTAAACTTTATTATTAGTAGGCTTTTAGGGCGCTTCGCGCCCATCTTCTATTTAAATTGTGAACATGTTCTTTTTGTTTACATTTTAAAACAAAGAAGAAAAAATTTTGCGGATTTAAAAAAAAATTTGCGGACTTACAAGAATTGAATTTTTTTTACAAAATTAAAAACCTTTAAAACACATTTTTTTTAAATTTTTATCATTCATAAACCTTCCCTGTGGTTAGTGATGTTCCACAAAAAAATTGGGCCCGATCGTTTCAGCCGTTTTGACGTTTATTGGATACAAACAAACAAACAGACAGACAGAGAAGCTAAATTTATATATAGATAAAGATACATATGGCTGTTGTCTTAAAAAAATCTGATTAGGGGTTTTGAAAACTTTTTCGCCATTTTAAAGTTTTATATTTTGGGTTCAAATTGTATATCCTCCTTATAACAGATGAACAAGGCTTCAGATAAAAAAGGTTAAAAAAACATCCAGTATTATTGATATTTTAACTGGGATCAAAAGCTGATACTTTGAGATACATAAAAAGTCTTTAAAATCCCCTTGGCACTCTTTTTTGGGGAAACCTTGTAGATCACGGTAAGTCAGAGGTTAGAAGTTTGGAACCCGTTTTTATCCATGATATGTAGTATTTTTTACTTCTTATTACTTCTTGCATGTTATAAAGTATATCTTCAGAATTTTTACGGTTAAAGTAAACTTATTTTAGCTATCCAAAAATTAGGTTTTTTTAGATTTTTTAGACTGTACACAAATCTAATCATTGCTTGACCAATTATCAGTTATTTAACATTAAAAAAAAAAAAAATCTTACAGCTGTACTCTATGGCAGCCAGAAAGTACTAATATCTGTTTCTTTATTTTATCTTGAGTTGCTGCTATAGGGATCACTTTCCAGCTGCACCTACTTTAACTTGACAAAGAGACAAGATCAAACACTATTTTTTTATAGAATATTGGTCATAGTAAACAGAACTACTTATATTTTTGAGACGTGAACGCTTCTTTTTGCGAGAGGAGATATCCTGCAGAAGTTCTGTGCAGCAACCACGGGGGATGATAGTTTCCTACAATGAGTTTGTTTTTAACCTTTGTGACAGAAACAATCTCAAGAACTGACGAGGGTCAACCCAGACCGAAATATATTTTCAATAAATTTGGAACTAACATCTACTTTTTTACTCTACAGAGGTTTGGTCCATTACCATTACCGAATTTTAAAGTTTGCTACCTGTGTGCTCAGTTAGCTGTACTGCACACTTACAACTGTTTACTAATAATGATATACTATATAGGTTAGGTCAGAATCTCCTTATAATAAACAAATATGCAGTACGCTTTCGTTATAGTTTATGGCCTATACAATATTAAGTAAAGAATTACCATACAATATCCCTCTAAGAGGGGATGATAGTTTCCTACCTGTGTGCTCAGCTGTACTGTACACTTACAACTGTTTACTAATAATGATATACTATATAGGTTAGGCCAGAATCTCCTTAAAATAAACAAATATATAGTTTATGGCCTATACAATTAGTAAAGTATTAGCGTACATCATCACTCTATATACTATAACCTCGTTGACAGCAACAGAGTTCTTATAACCCGTAAATTAGGGTTTAAAACACCGTCCCTTGGTTTTCAGCGGGACGCAATAATTCAGCGGACAGTTTACTTCACAAGACACGCCTTGCAACATACGAAAGCATGAATAAAATTAAAGGACGGATGGTAAACTAATCCCCTAATATATATCCCATTTTTGCTGTAATCATGTTAATTAACTTTTCTTTATAAATCAACCTTTGTATCTTAGAGACTGAAAAGAGAATTTGAATTGGAATTAATTAGGAACTGTTTTTTGCCAGAAACCAAATTTTCTATTCCCAATATCGTTGCAACCCATTGTCATTATACCTTAAATAGATATTTGGATAGATCAAATATTCTAAATTTGAAATATCAAAGGCCACCAGGTTGCAAAGATATAAGGGTTTAAGTTTGTGGCCCGGACTCAATTCCTGAGGATTATAAAAAAAACAAATTAGAGGAATTAAAAAGAAAGGAGGATTAAAGAATAGAGTGAGACTAGGGAAGAGGATGAAAACTAATGAATACTTCCTTCTAAATATCCATGGCTTACATCCTATATTACCAAGGTCTTGTTCAGATGTATAGGTGTGTAGGTGCCTGGATGTATGTCTGTGTCTTCTCAATATATAATTATATAATTAGGTCCTTATATTTATATGCAGTGGTAAGCGATTATATTAATATAATTAAGACGACTTTTGATTTCTATATTGATTTTAAAAAAGATTTAAACAGCATAGATACACATAAACATGGAAACAAAGTGAAGTTGTTGATTTGAAAAGCTTCTCTTTGATTACCTGAAAAAAAATAAAAAAAATCGTCTTTATTGTATTGATATAATCGCCAACCACTGTTCTAAACTTTAAAGCTTTTTTAAAGCAACAGTAAAATAAATTTTAATTCAACTCAATCACACTCAAAATCCAAGAAGAAAAGTGTTCCTACAGTGCTTCAACTACAACTATTGCTTACAAAATCATCTGCATAATTTTGAAAATTTTAAAAATAGAACAAATAATTTCTATCTTTGCTTCCATTTAAAAACCTATAAAGATATATTCTGTTGCTGATCGAAATGATGAATTGATATCATGACTTCAAGATAATTTACGGGAGTTAGGGAGCAGGGCAGAGCTAGCAAGCAGGGCAGAGCTAGGGAGCAGGGCAGAGCTAGGAAGCAGGGTGGAGCTAGAGAAAAGGGAGGAGCTATTGACCAGGGCAGAGCTAGAGAGCAGTGTTGAGCTAGAGAGTAGGGCGGAGCTAGAGAGAAAGGTGGGGCTAGGAATCAGGATGGGGCTGGAGAGAAGGGCGGGGTTAGGGCGGATGACAGAGTTAGTCCGAATGACAGAGCTAGGGAGTAGCATGGAGGTAGGGACAGGGTGCAGGCTGGTGCTGGATCGAAGGGATGAGCTAGAAGTAAGGATGGAGCTAAGGCGGGGAGCTGAGTTTGAAGTAAGGACAAAATTAGAAAGGGAGCAGGGGAAAAGATTTTCACTTTTAGATGTGTTCATCATTGACAGCTTTGATCGACTGAGATATTTATGCTGCGTAGAGACATATGTGTCAAGTTTGTTCACAAACAACAACTAGTTTTAAGAAGTATGATTTGCGTAGAGACTATAAAACTGTAGTTGATTAAGCAAAATACATACGTCACAATCTAGCGTACATTTTCCTCCATTTGTCCTGACGGGCTTTGAAAGAGTAATAAAGCTGGCCATGGGAGAAGCGGAAGTGTGCTTTTTGTACATATTTCTCTATGTGCATGAAACTATACCTATACAAATTAAGCCAATTTTTACTTTTGCATATATTTTTCTTGAATGTAATTTAGTTTTCAACGTGAATTAACCAATATTTAGTCAAGTAAAAACATGCAATGTACAATTTGATATATCATAAAAACCTAATATTTGAGTATAGTCTAAATTCTCCAAAATATCTATTATCCCCCCTCCACCTAAACTGTTCCGATTTTTTTTGCATTTTTTTTAAAAACGTCCCATAAACCTGAAAGAGTTGTCTTTTCTTTCTTTTAACAAACTAATATGATTTATAAATATTGCCATATTGCAGATAAATATATAAAATCAATTTTAACCAATTTTTCGCATGCATTCGGAAAGAAAAAATGTGTACAAGGTTGAGTTTGTTTTAAATCTTATTTTCGATTTTATTTAGCTCTCAGAAAAATTAATATTTATTTGCTATAGAATAATTTGTTTTCTGAAAATATGCTGTGTTTAATTTTTTGCAGAAAAGATATGAAACAGCAAAGAAAGAAAAGTTTACATATTTTAAACAAAATATCTACTACAATTAAGTTTAAAAAGATAAAAAATTTAAAATCAAAATTTAATGCAAAAGATAGGATTGAATAAACAAATCTATAAAATTGGTAAAATTGAATGAATCTAGAAATTAGTTTTAACTGTAATAGAATAATTACATTCTTTAGGGCCATGGAAAAAATTTGTACAATCGGTTTTTTTATCAAGAAATAATAGCTGACATGATTATTATAGTCGTTGTAATTTCCAACTAATTTATTTCAAATAATTTATTTTAATCTATTTGCAATTCCAATTACATTAGCTGTACAATTCTTGTAAAGTTCTAACATTTGAAGAATTGCATTTGGCATCTCATTTACATGTGAAAAGTTATGGGGGGTCGTCTTCTCCCTTGACGTATCTAGTTATAGGTGCCGTATATTCCGACCTAGATGATTCTAACCTAAAGGTTTTCTGACCTAAATATCGAGTAGTTTGCACGTGTTTTAGGTCGGTTTGGTTGAAAAAAGCTTTAGGTCCGTTTGACATCCTATGAGAAATATATAGGTTTTCCGACCTAAGATTTAGAGATATATTTAGGTTGGTTGAGCATATATATTAGGTCTGTTTACCAGGAAGTTTAAGTTGGATTAGTGACAATTTTAGGTCTGTTAAGCAATATGTTTAGGTCGGATGAGCAATTTTTTTAGGTCGGATGAGCAATTTTTTAGGTCGGATGAGCAATAATTTTAGGTCGGATACGCAATATTTTAGGTCGGATACGCAATTTTTTTAGGTCGGATGAACAATTTAATTAGGTCGGATGAGCAATATTTTTAGGTCGGATGAGCAATGTTTTTAGGTCGGATGAGCAATATTTTTAGGTCGGATGAGCATTATTTTTAGGTCAGATGAGCAATATTTTTAGGTCTGATGAGCAATTTTTTTAGGTCGGATGAGCAATTTTTTTAGGTCGGATGAGCAATATTCTTAGGTCGGACAGCAATATTTTTAGGTCGGATGACCAATTTTTTTAGGTCGGATGAGCAATATTTTTAGGTCGGATGAGCATTATTTTTAGAACAGATGAGCAATATTTTTAGGTCGGATGAGCAATTTTTTTTAGGACGGATGAGCAATATTTTTAGGTTGTTTTACCAATAATTGCCATAATTGTGAACTGTACCACTACTGTTTCAGTAATGCATAAAACGGGGTTTTTGAGGGGGGCTCAACACCCGTTGGGGCCTGTACATGCATCTCATATTTAAAACATGGATAAAATTGGTCTTTCCTGGCCGCAGCGCTTGGCCCCCCAAGCCCGTCCTATCCGCAGTGCTCTTCCCAGAATTGAGCTTAACCTAACCTAACCCTAAAATAATACTAAATAACTTAAATCATTTGGTAATTTCCTAGAGAACGATTTTTGCAGCTTTTTTACATGACTTTTTCAACAATTTTCAATTAAATGTAAGACATGTGGCCGCAGTGCTCGGCCCCCTAGCCTGTCCTAGCCGCAGCGCTCGGCCCGGAAAGTGTCATATATCTTATAACCTAACCCATGGCCGCAGCGCTCAGCCCCCTAGCCTGTCCTAGCCGCAGCGCTCGGCCCAGAAATGAGCTTAAAATTGGTGTTTCCTGGCCGCAGCGCTCGGCCCAGTAATGAGCTTAAAATTGGTGTTTCCTGGCCGCAGCGCTAGGCCCCCCTAGCCCGTCCTATCCGCAGTGCTCGGCCCAGAATTGAGCTTAACCTAGCCTAACCCTAAAATAATACTAATTTAATTGAAAATTGTTAAGTTTTTATGTTTATTTTATATTTAAACATTTAAAAAAAATATTACTCATCTATTATAACCTCTAGCTGAAATAAAAATATTACTCAACCAATCAAAAAAATATTGCTCATCCAACCTAAAAATATTAATGCTCATCCGACCTAAAAATATTGCTCCACTGACCTAATAAAATTGCTCAACCGACCTAAAAAAATTTCTCAACTGACCTAAAAATATTGCTCATCCGACCTAAAAATATTGCTCATCCGACCTAAAAATATTGCTCATCCGACCTAAAAATATTGCTCATCCGACCTAAAAATATTGCTCAACCGACCTAAAGATATTGCTCAACTGACCTAATAAAATTGCTCAACCGACCTAAACAATTTCTCAACTGACCTTAAAATATTGCTCATCCGACTTAAAAATATTGCTCATCCGACCTAAAAATATTGCTTAACCGACCAAAAAATATTGCTCAACCGACCTAAAAATATTGCTCATCCGACCTAAAAATATTGCTCATCCGACCTAAAATATTGCTCAACCGACCTAAAAAATATTGCTCAACCGACCTAAAATGAATGCTTATCTATCCTAAAATTGTTGCTTTAACCAACCTAAAACATATTCCCAACTGACCTAAAATATATCAATAACCGACCTAAATATATTTCCAATCTTTAGGTCAGTTTGGGACATTTCGCTAATCGAACCTACAGATTTTTAGGTCGGAAAAACGTTAGGTCAGAAAAACGTTAGGTTCGTTTCCTCTATAGGTTCGATGAGCGGGTACCTTACGCGTGCGTGCGAAAAAAAATATGGTTAAATGTGGAATTTTTTATAAGTATTCTTCGCTGCATGGCAGTTTGAAGTAAAATATGTCCCATATGCTCATGTCGAAATTTTCCAAACAAAATAGCATGAACACATTGAATAATGCGTACCACTCTCACTAAAACCCACAATGCGTTCGGTCATGGAGTACGTATACAGATCGATCGCTGGAATACGCACCGATAGCTTAGGTGATTATCGTGACAAACACACGTATAATAATCCGCGGTCAGTTAACCGCCGGGGAAAGCGGGATATATGGTCCCCATTTTAATTCTCCCTGAATAAAAATATCAAAATTCAAAGAAAAAATAGTTTTTTTAAATTTTAAGTATTCTAATTTATGCGTGGATTCATTTTTGCAAAAATATATAATCTTAATTCTCTTTGACTGTAAATTATAAAAATTTGAATTTGAAGAATAATTGTTATAGATTTAGAATGATTAATCAAAGAATGTAGTTTCATTTTTGTGTTCGGAAATCAAGTTATAAAACATATCTTCATAACTTAGAGCTCATCAAATTCAGTCGTATAATTTGCGGCACACATTTCATCGGAAAATCTGCAGAAAAAACCGGTTTCTTTCTTGCCTTGTCTCGCCCGAGAAAAATTGCCGGCAATCTTCTAGTCCAACAATGAAAGGTTTTAGACTAGTCTACACCCGCTTAGCTAGGTTGAGGCGGACTAGGGCAAACCAGTTTCGTATTACTAGTGATGTAACAGAGCTTCCTATTGGCTGCCGTTAGAATTCTGACCAATGAGAGATCAGCTTTCATTAGAAAGCGTCACAGCAAGCCAAGCAGGCGGCAGCCTTGAGGTAGTTAGTGCAAGATGGTGGATATGTTTTGAATGTGCAGAGAGCGAAATTTGAAAACAAACTTATGTTTACAAGTGTGAAAGGTTAACAAGAGATAATATTGAGCATAAATTATAGAAGAATCTATTAAAAGGTGAGATGGGTATAAAATGTTGATTTCAAGTCCTGGATCTTGGTTTTACAGAATGGGGAAAACTTTAATTATTTTTAGTTCTAAGATTGTGTAGTTTCAGAAATTTTACGTAAAATGTTTTCATAATCTAGAAGCACGAAAGGTTTTTGTTATTATGATTTTTTTTTGTGATCAACTTATATTAAGTTTTTAATGTTTTAAGGGGGGGGGGGGGTGCGCCAAACGTCAATACATTTTGCAGTATACAACTGTTCAACTCAAATAATATTCTAATCGATTTACAGGGGTCATATGGTATATTCCTAGAGAACGATTGTTGGACCCCCCTCCCCCCCCACTCCTATCAATTTTGTACTTGGATCTTATAGGTTTGAAATGGATATAATTGACCATGTGGCCGCAGCGCTCGGCCCCCTAGCCTGTCCTAGCCTCAGCGCTCGGCCCAGAAAGTGTCTTAACTAACCTACCCGTGGCCGCAGCGCTCGGCCCGGAAAGTGTCTTAACCTAACCTTACCCTAAATAATAATACATATATACTAATTTTAATTTCGTCATGTACAAAATTCATAGGAGGGGGGGCTGGGGAGCGGGGGGGGGGTCCAAAAATCGTTCACTAGGACAGACCCGGTTATATTTCTATTTTTGTTGTATTTGTTGTTTTAAATGCTAATAAATTGTATTTTGTTTTAGTTTGGATGACCATGACAGACTCCGGGGGTGTTCAAAAGAACACGGCGTACGGTGTATTTGTTCAGGCCTGCTGGGCTCAACACAAACGTCAGTATCCTGACGAATTGATCCACAAGGAGATCGAGGAGTTCAACAAACAATGCTCTGTGTGGTGGTACAACCTGTCGGAGCAGGAGCGGGATCGGTTCCAGGAAATGGCAGATCGGAGTAACGCCCAACAGGCCGCCATCAGCCAGTACCAGGTCAACAGTGTTGTCACCACCGTCCAGAATTCGGCTTCAAACAGTTCAGAAATACCGAGTTTCGGATCCAGCTTCGCCTACAGTGATTACGGGATCCAGGGGCAGGGCCAGGTCGTGAACGCCGTGGTGGACAACAACGGTCAAGTGATAAACTACAGTACAAACACAGGCCAGGTGGTGAGACAGGTTCAAGGACAGATCGGGATCAAGCCGATTATGGGACAAAAGGTGAATCAGAAACCCATGAAGGACCCGAACGCCCCGAAGAAGCCGCTGAGTGCGTACTTCCTCTTCTCCCAAGAGGAGCGGTTAAAGGTGAAGAACGAGAATCCTGATTTATCCATCACAGAGGTTGCCAAAGAGCTGGGAAAAAGATGGGCAACCCTGGACCCTGCCGTGAAACAGTCCTACGAGCACCGCTACCAGGACGCCAGGAAACATTACGACCAGGAAATGTCTCATTATAAACCGCAGAAGAAGAAAAAAGATCCAAATGCGCCGAAACAGCCTCTGAGCGCCTACTTCATATTTTCCACCGAAGAAAGGTTGAAGGTGAAAGAGGGGAACCCCTCCTACTCTATCTGCGACGTTGCCAAGGAATTGGGACGACGTTGGGCCGATATGGACCCCGCTATAAAACAGAAGTATCAAGCACGGGCCGAAGAGGAGAGACAGAAATACGACGTTGACATGGCTTCGTATAGACAGGGGACCTACAGCGCAGAGAATAGAACTAGTGGTTCACCGAACCATCCCTCCCCCGCCCCCTCCCCCAGCTATACCCAGTCCACCAACCTACATCAGCCACAGCAGGGGTTACAGCAGACACAGCAAACTCTTACAACAACAGCAGACTATTCAAACCTTCTTCAATAGTTAAATAAGTGCCCCGCCCCCTAATCCAGGGTAGTTAATCCTGTCACGCCCTCGAGGGAACCCATCCTGGTTATGTTCCATATTCATTAGCAGAGCCATTCAATTATTTTTCTATGAAAAACTAGTTTTGTATGAATAAAGAGTTAAAAGAGGTGGCTAGGGGGGATCCCCTCCTCTTCTCTCCCATGATATATTATAACTTCATACTTTTTAGTTTTCAAGTACAAACTCGATACAAGTGTAATACATTACTTTATTAACCATATGGTTAATAACCAGGATCTGAGAAAGTTGAAAATCTGCTGAAGTTTGAGTCGAGTAGATGTAATACTTCAAGTTCAACAACTAGTTTTCTCATAACTCCTTCCATGGATTACTGATGCATGTTGCGACCAAGTGACCCTAGAAACTTCACTTTTATTTAAAGAAATTGATAATGAAAAAATTCAAAGTTTTTCCAAATTATTATTTAAGTTTAGAATAAAATGATATGTTATTTAATGCTAATGAGGACGGGAGGGCTAATCTGAATTTAAGGATTTATGACTTGGAAACGTTGCTTTTGAAAATCCAGATTTTATTGTATTAGTTGTATTAAAAGTTAAATGTACATAAATAAAAATTATGTTTCACTATTTTTAGTTTTTATTTAAAGTATCCGACAAATATAATGCGTCTACACAAATGATTTCATAGACGTACTTAAACTCAAGCGGTCGTTTATTTAACACTTCAGTGTCGAAATTATTGATCTTGATCGATTGATCCTCAGACTTAAAAGTGATCATATTTGGTATCGAGATCAAACATTCATGAATAACAACATCCACGCTAACCATCCTATCCTAGATAACTAAAGAAGTTTTAATTAGTTAGTCGAAGCTTTTTTAAAAACTTTTTTCGTCGCACTCGCAGAGATCGTCTATTTTATGAAAACTTTTCTTAATTACTAATGAGAGGAGAACTAAAGATTGAGTTATTTTTAATTTTCTCTGTACTTAATTAAAACAACTAAAAATTATTTATGTAAAAATATCTAGGGTTGTTAAGAGGGCCAGGGACCAAATTTAATGAATCTGAGCTAGGTCGCTAAACTTCATATAAGGTTGATTTAAATTCTATTCGTAGTTATGTAGTGTAGGTATCATCAATAGCACAATGAGAAATTCTGAATCTATGATTCAAGATACAAAGATACATGGTTGAATTGTCTCCTAACTCAAATTTATTATAATCGGTCCGCGGGGTCTTTGTTAGAAGTCTTAAAATGTTTCTACAGAAAACTAACTTTACTGGGCCGCCATCAAAGAATGAGACCTTAAAGACGACATTAAACCCCGGTTTCAATATTAGTCAGGTCTTTTGTCACAATTTTGGCCTTTAAATACAGAGTGTCCCACGAAACATGACAGTTGGTGAATAGTTTAAAATGTCCTTTTCCATGATATTTCAAGTTGTTTGTTGCCAAAGCGAATAATAATAAATATTTTATAGCATTTAAGTAAAATATATTTGTGTGAAATAAAATGCAAAAAATCTTTAATATGTAATACAGCCTATGGAAGAAGACATTCAAAACTATTTACAAACAATCATGTTTCGTGGGACACCCTGTAGTAAAATAATATTTGACTTTGCTTGAGGTAAAAAGAAAATAATCAATGCTGCATACAAATCCAAGATATATAATATACTATATATTTTCTCGAATTTTTTTTTTTTTTTTGGGGGGGGGGTTTATAAAACATATTAGCTGAATCGGGGAAAATGAATGAATTTGTGGGTAAAAAGCATCAAATAGAATTTAAAACCTGCCTCATGTTGTCCAATTTTTCATTTATCCCCCATGGACCATCATAAATCACTTAAAGTAAGTTTCGTACAATCGTCTCTGAAATCTCATCCTTTTCGAGTAACCCTGTATGCTGAACATCATGAATATATATTGAATCAACTTTGGGTACTCAAGTGAAGCATACATTGTGCGAAGTACGAAAATTTATTGAAGTTTTAAGATAGTTTTCTGACTAGCAAAAATATCTTTTAATGAGGTCATCATAAAGACGAATTTTTATTTTATTTTCTTTGTAATAATTACGAAAATGAAAATAGATTAACAAGTACAATAGGTGGGAACAGAGAAATCAACCAATTATACACTACGTCACAAGTGTAAAATAAACAAGGAAAGCGAAATTTTCTCACAATGGTTAACATATCTTCCAAGATTAAATAAAAAAGTGTAAAAACAGACAATAAAGAACAAATAAATAAATAAATTGGCACTTATTTTACTGTAAGATAAGCACTTAATCTAAGATTTTCACTATTATTAATAGTTTTGTCTGACACAAAAACTGAATTGACACTTGTGACGTCAGAATACAGATGTACTGAGTGTGCAAATTCTACGTTGCCATCTATTGTACTAAAATCTATTTGGGAAAATGAGTCTAGAACTTTTTAGGTACAGGGTGTCCCAATAAACATCGAAATTCAGAGACAACTTAGATATCTTCGTTGATTTCCAATAATTGATAAATGACAATGCATAAAAAAGATTGAAAGTCTAATAGGCTTCCTAAAATGTGGTCAACCATCTTTGTATCTTGAAAATTAACAGAGATATTCAAAATTTAAACAGTTTAATTTAAAAAAACAGGAAAAATTTCTGAATATCTTCGTCAATTTTGAAAGCGAAAAAATGGTAGACCACATTTTGAAAATCCCGAGACTAGTAGTTTTCGGCGTTCAATGTTTCAACTCTGATACTACAAATTTATATTTACGAAATAATCCCGCTTGGAACAAAGTCGTCATGTTTATTGGGACACCCTGTATCATAAAAATGCAGTGTTATCCACAATGCTGAAAACTTTGACGATCTAAAAGTTAAAACTCTTTAAGCGTATCTTTTTTAAGGTAAAGGATATGAAACATATATTTAAAACCAAGAAATTTTCATGTTTTTTCTAAGCCGTCTAAACTAACTGAACAAATTTTTTAAAGATTGAAATTGGTCATCCGCATTTGGACTTGATCTTAGTTGCTTATTGGTGCATCTGATGATTTTAAGCAAAGGAGAACATTAAATCTTGCCGATTTCTCTAATTCTTCATTCCTTTCCTAGGCTATCAGGGTGCTTCGCACCCATCTTCTATTTAAACTTTTAATTGTTGCTCAATCTTTCAGCATATAAATAGTTATGAAAAAATTTGCGATTTACAATTTCGTTTTCTTGGATTTTTAAAATTTTACGAAACCAATTTTTTTGGCAGATATCTTTTTGTTATTCTGAACATGGGGTCATGCAAGGTCCCGCACAAAATTTGGGCCCGTCAGTTCAGCCGTTTCTTGAATACAAACGGACAAGCAAAGTATTTATATACCTAGGGTGTCCCACGAGACATGACAGTTGGTGAATAGTTTTGAATGTCTTCTGCCGTATACTATATTGAATATTAAAGACTTTTTGCAGTTTATTTCGTTAAAAAATCTTTTGATCAAATATATTTTACTTTGAAATCAATTTTACTATAATATGACCTCCAAATTTCCATGTCATATTTTTATTCTTTCTGTTTGGTATCTAAGAATTTCGCAGATTATAGAAGAAGCCATTTAAAATATTCACTGTAATGTTTCGTGGGACACCCTGTATATCAGGGGAGTATTTAGGAATTTGTCCAGGGGGGGCTAAGATTTTATTTCTTTCCAGGGGGGGGGGGGCTCAGCACCTGTTGGGGCCTGAAATCTCCCTAAAATCAGTAGATTTCACTGGTCCAGAGGGGGCTTAACCTCCATAGCCCCCCTGAATACGCCTCTGTTGTATATTTACATACTTAAATAGATTTGAATGTTCTAAGCTTCCACAAAAGTTAATTTCAAAATACTCATTAAATCTTTTATTAAGAACCAATTATAGCTTCTTATTCTCTCCGTCTCCCTTTTTCATTCTAGATCTCTCCTTCTCCCTAATTCCTATTTCTCTACATCCTCATATTCGTCCAACATCTTTATCCCCCTTATTCAGTGGGGTAGTGGAAGTTTAGCCTAGGGGGTGAACTGTTTGCACATCTACTAGCGGTTGATGTGTACCCCTTTGAACCTGTATTAAGAAAAAAATTAAAGCTTAAAATCTATATTAATCTACCCGACTATTAGTCATCTGACCATATTTACCAATCATGCCATTATAAAATCTAGTAGTAAAAGAGCAAAAAACTTAAAAAATATATTTTTTTTATCATATTCATATATCAAATATCATTTCACTGGAAACAGTATTGTTTAAGGCTTAATGAAACGCTGCGTCAAAAAATCTTGCTCCGAGAGACTGAATGGATTTTAAATGAAACCCCATGAAAACAAAATTTGTAAATAAGATTAAGGTTCAAGAAAGAACTTAAGAAACTATAATATAATATAATATATAAAAAAAATGTTAATACATATGCAAGCTAAATATAACTCTTCCTGTTCTCTCCATCCGCCTTTTTCTTCCTATTTCTCTCCCATTTCTCCACATCCCATATTTTTCCTAATTTTCTCCATCTTATTCCTTTTCCCACAATCCTCTTTGTATTTGCTACAGTCGGTTCCTATGTAACCTAATTTTTCTTCCTGTAACAAATTGCTTTACTCCATCAGGTTACTCAAACCTTTCAACCTTTCGGACGGATCCTCAAAGACTAAGAAGTGTAATTTGAAAAAAATTATCTTAAATTGCCATTAAGTCCGCAAGGATTTAGTTCTCCTAAATGTTGTTCTCATAATTGAAAACACAAATAAACAAATTAAGTCTAATGCTGAAAACGTCGACCAATGTCAATTGTCAATAAGGAAATCTTTAACATTTTGTATTTTTTATTTATATCTATCACAACTAAACTCTTAACGTTCCTTGAACCCTGATGAGTGGTGCTAGGTATAAATCATCATTTATTCATAACATTTACACCAGTTTGAATCATCATAGTAAACACAACACTTTAAACTGTCTCCTTTTTACGATATTATCTTGCAGCGACAAGATTACAGCTGACAGCTGACAAGATTACAGCTGACAAATGCAAAATTACGCGTTGGCAGCGGCGGCCTCAGCTGCTAATCTCTCAGCCTTGGTGGAAACCTGAAAATAGAAATTTAACAACAATTGCAAGCTTTAAAAAGAATGTAATGTTATGGGGAAGAAATAACCAAATGGCAAGGTTCTTTCATGGAATTAAGAATACAAAAAATGAAATACCTCATCAATGTTGCCGACCATGTAGAAAGCAACCTCAGGCAGATGATCGTACTTGCCCTCAAGGATCTCCTTGAACCCGGAGATGGTCTGTTCGATGGGAACCAGCTTGCCGGGGTTGTTGGTGAAAACCTCAGCGACCTAGGAGATATCAAATTGAAAATAAACTTAAAATTCAGTGACGGTGATGGACCAAACCTATATAGAGCAAAAAAGTAAAACATTGGCAAATTCTCAAATTTTCCAAGAAATTTATTCAGACATTTAGCAATCTAAGAAAAAATCGCATTATAAAGTTTTCCAATAGATCAGTCCACCATTTTTAATTACAAGAAAATAACATTCGCCATTTTAAATTTGTCGCGACATAAATCTGCAATATCTTATTTGTAAAAATGTCAACTAACCTGGAAAGGTTGGGAGAGGAATCTCTCAATCTTTCTGGCCCTGGCGACCTTTAACTTGTCCTCCTCAGACAACTCATCCATACCCAGGATAGCGATGATATCCTGGAGGGACTTGTAGTCCTGAAGGATCTTTTGAACCCCACGTGCAACTCCGTAGTGTTCGTGTCCGATGACGTTGGGGTCCATGATACGGGAAGTGGAGTCAAGGGGATCTACAGCAGGGTAGATTCCTCTCTCGGCAACAGATCTGAACAATAATCATTTTAAAAGCAAAGAATGTTATAACACGAAAAGTTTGAACTAATTTAAATAAATTTTTATTTCATCCTCATTAGTTATATGGATACCAGTAGGACATTAAGTACATAGACCAGAACATGTTCTAATTTGATAGGGAGACGAGACATGGCATCTTTATGCTATTCGTAAAATTCCAAGTTTCTCAATAACAATGCGAAATTTTGAGTGAATGAGAAGANGGGGAATCTGTTAAAAATAATAATTAAATACAAACATGAATTACGAACCTGGAGAGTACAGTGGTGGCGTCCAAGTGAGCGAAGGTGGTAGCAGGAGCAGGATCAGTCAAGTCGTCAGCAGGTACATAGATAGCCTGGACAGAAGTGATAGATCCCTTCTTGGTGGTGGTAATTCTTTCCTGCATGCTACCCATGTCAGTGGCCAGGGTTGGCTGGTATCCTACGGCGGAGGGAATACGACCCAACAGGGCGGATACTTCGGAACCGGCCTAAAGGACAAAAAGTCAAAAATAGTAAAATTATAAACTATCTTGGATGCCATTGTTTAAGATCGTACCTGGGTGAATCTGAAAATGTTGTCAATGAAGAGAAGCACATCCTGACCTTCCTGGTCACGGAAATATTCAGCAACGGTCAACCCGGTCAGAGCAACACGGGCACGTGCGCCTGGGGGTTCGTTCATCTGACCGTAGACAAGGGCGACCTTGGAGGTTTTGTCCTTGAGAGAAATAACTCCTCCCTCAATCATCTCGTGATACAGATCGTTACCCTCACGGGTCCTCTCTCCTACTCCGGCAAAGACAGAGTATCCTCCGTGGGCCTTGGCGACGTTGTTAATCAGTTCCATGATAAGTACAGTTTTGCCGACTCCGGCTCCGCCGAAAAGTCCTAAATCATTTTATAAATTAATAATGGCCCAACCATGAAACTATTTAAAAAAATATTTCATTTAAAATTTACATTTTATATAAATAAGAAATTAAACTTACCAATCTTTCCTCCCTTGGCGTAGGGGGCAAGAAGGTCGACAACCTTGATACCGGTGACAAGGATCTCCTGCTCAACGCTCATCTCGTCGAACTCGGGAGCCTCGGCGTGGATAGCCTGACGCTTGTCGGTGGGGATGGGGCCACGCTCGTCAATTGGGTCTCCGACGACGTTGATGATACGGCCGAGGGTCTCAGGTCCGACGGGGATCATAATGGGAGCTCCGGTGTCGTTGACAACCTGACCTCTGACAAGACCCTCAGTACCATCCATGGCAATGGTACGGACAGTGTTCTCTCCCAGATGCTGGGCAACCTCAAGGATTAGCTTGGGTTCACGGTTCTCGACTCTAAAACAAACCAGATGAGGAATCATACACACATGGCATGAAGATTAACAGTGTTGTACAGGGAGATGGGGTGTGGGGGGTGAACACTAAACACTGTTTTGAAATTATTTATTCGTTTCTACTATGGTTTTATTCGCTAAGTTGGAGGATAATAAAATAATTTTTATGGGAATTTCTTTTTAAATCAAAATTTTTCTTTTTTATATTCCGAATTTTCCATAACCCCTCCCCTCCCCCACGTTTCAAGGGAAGGGGTATGATTCTTGAAATTATTTACCCCTATTTTGATAACAATTAATTTTGTTATTTTTTGCGTATGCCCGACTTTTAAAATACTGATTTACAAAAATATAATTTAAAAACTAAAAAATCGTATTACTTGGTGTGAAAAAATTTCAGTTTAAGTTAAAATTGAACACGAGACCCTGTTTTATGAACAGTACTAACCCAGGGGGCAGTGCTTAGGATCAATTTAATTTTGATGCGGATCTGGATCCTGAATCCGCACGGGAAAAAGATGGATCTGGATTCAGTTTACTTCTTTAAAATTTACTGATTTTTTTTCATCAATGCAGAATTTCCTTTGTCTTATTTTTTTCGCTTGTTTTTATGCGGAAACTTGATAATCCATTAAAATCAGGAAATTATTATAATCTCTCTTTTTTCAAAACTTCAGATATGCGTTTTTAGAGAAATTTTATATTTAAGCACTTCATGCCCCTTAGATCCTGATCCAGGACGATAAAAATCTTGCGGATCCAACGGATCCGGATCCTAAGCACTGCCGGGGGAATTATTACTAGAGTTTACTAACCTAAGAGCGTTGAGGATCTCTGGAAGACCATCTTCGAACTGAACGTCGACGACAGCTCCGATAACAGAGACAACTTGACCCTTGGGCAGCTTGGCAGCAGCGGGTGCAGCAGCATACTGACGGTTCTCTGAACAGATATACATTTCAAGAATTAGGTTGAATAGGGAAATGAGAAAATTTCAAAACTAAATCATTTATAAATAATTCACCATTTTTATTCCGTAACTATGAAGCTAATATTTAAACGCAAATCTTAAATACAAATAGTTCATTGATTGATTGACGTTTATTTCTATGTGCATCCAAAGGCGGGGTCCGTCATAGTAATTTTTGTTGGAAACACCCCCTCATATCAATTTTGTACATGACCACTTATTTTTCAGCAAATTTATCTTTTTTTCTTATTATTTAGAGTTAGGTCAAGACACTTTCTGGGCCGAGCGCGACTAAGACAGGCTAGAAGGCCGAGCGCTGCGGCCAGGACGGGCCTTCTTTTTCAACAATTTTCAAAAATATTAGTGTATACATAATTAGGTTAAAACACATTCTGCGCCGAGCGCTGCAGGTAGGACAGGCTAGGGGGCCGAGCGCCGCGGCTAGGACAGACTAGGGGGCCACAAGGTCAATTACATCCATCTCTTACATATAAGATCAACTTACAAAATTGATATGAAGGAGGGAGGGGGGGGGGGCGGGGTCCTAAAATCGTATATTAGGAAATTTACCCAAAGGCGAGCACCTTAAATGGTTACAAATAGTTTTATGTCATGCAGAAACATCGAATATGAATTCGCTTTATTTCATCGCCATTTTCCCCCCACCAGGGCCTCCCAAAGCCCCTAAGCAATGCTTGCAGTTGGCAGAAATGAAGTAACAGATAATACTTTCAGTCATTCATACAAGGTTTAACCAAATAAACTCTTTATAAAACATAGATAAAATCAAGAGGTAAAAGAGTGAAAATTAAGTCGGAGGTGTCATGGCGCCCTCCATGTAAGAAATGTCAGCTGTTGTAAAACTAACAAGAAATTCCAAAATTATCAATATATTGGCACAAAATAGGTAAAAGGAGTCTATCTGATATGAGTGAAATTATATTTTAGTAAACTCAAGACTAAACTCAATTCTTGAATCTGTGTAAAGAAGTAGGTAAGAAGTAGCCATTTTCTATGAGAATTACATCGGATAAAATTAAGGTCTTTACGGCATTGGCAGCGCTGTAAATCGTATGTAAACATAGATACTTACGTGCTGCAACAGCTGGGATGTTACTCTTGACAGCAGTCTGAACAGCGGTGGCAGATTTGACCAGCCCAGAGGCGACACGACCTGCGGCGCCCAACATTTTGATGTAGAGTGGAGGAATAGGATAACGTCACGTGATAGGTTGCTGGATTCTGGCCAGTCTAGGCTTTCTACGAAACAGAAAATTTATCACTTCGACGATAAATCGATTAAACTTTTCTAAGACTTTTCACTAAAAATTTAGTATGATTCATTTTCGACATAAAAATTATAGAAAAGTACATTTTAATAGTTTTTATCTTGTAATTAAAAGAATTAAAGACAAATATATTTTTACCTAAGATTTATTTTTTAACGATTAAAAGTATCTTAAATTCCAATTTTTACAAAAATAAATTTACGTAATTTTTTCCGCATTTTTTTATGTTTTAAAGCCTACGGCGAATCCAACTCAATCCACCAAACCAAATATATAATGGAATCCCCATATGATTTGCTGGCAGACGGCCATGTTTGATCTCTTATTGGTCGACAGAACCGCCATGATAGATTCTCATTGGTCCGGTAAAATATAGGGTAAATGGGTTTTGTTCAAAATTTTTCGACAAAAAAAGCTTAAATTTAATGAAGAAGCTTTCAGTTTTCACAACAAAAAAGTGCAAAGTAATTGGTTTAAGGATGATGTTTTCGCGTTCGAATTTTTAAAAAGAATTTTCCCCCGACTGTGTTTTGAAGGTAAAGGGGGGAGGGGGTCAGATCTTATTATGGTGTATAACCTAGGTATTTAAAATATACAAGGGATCATGAATTAATGATTAGACACCCAAACAAACAGAGATATATATGTAGAATATAAGATATGTCTTCATCTGCAGCACTGCCCTCTCTTTCATGGATCCTGCTTCATTTTTTCAATCCTAGGTTCTTGATATTTTCATTTATATTCCCAGAGGCGCAACTAAGGGGGGGGGTCGGCCGGGCGCGCGCCCTCCCCTAGCATCTGAGAGGGGGGGGCGCTGCAGAATGAAAAGAAAGAATGGCAATAATCAGTATCACAGGAATAAGAAAACCAATATCGAGTTATTGTAGAAATTTTATTATACTATTGTCAGTTTTAAAAAGAATATTTTTATCTTTCTCAATTCTCAAGGCTAAAGGCTATTGTAAACATTTAATGTAAAAAAAAGTTCTGAACTGTATTTTATTTGTGTTGAGTTTATAGAGTACTCGTAGATATCAAACTTAGAATTCTTTATGGTAAAATATTCCAAGTTTGAAATATCAAATGTTTAGACCACTCGGTGCAAAGATTTAGGGATTAGAATATTTGAGTTTGTGGCAAAAACTCAGTTCCAAATCTAGAGAAAATTCTGAACCTGGCAAATTTCTAACTGATTATCATATTTGATAACTAACAAGATTTATCTTCTTTGACAGAAGTTCTGTAAAATCGAAAATGAATTTAGATTATGAATGTTGGTTAGATCAATCATTAATTCAATAACTTCAAGAGAAAAGGTAACATTATCTGTCCTTTTTCAATGTAGATGATTGAAATTATTATTTACCTATATGTATTTTTATGTTTTTTTTCCAGAAACTATAAATGATTTTTTTGCAATTTAATCTGTAATTAAACCAGGTACTTAAAAAATACTCTTTTGCGATTCGCGCACATATTCAATGAATTAACTCATATAATTCATTTTACAGCTGTTGGAAGTATAAATTTTGTAAAAACACAAGAACAAAAAATCGATTTGAATTGAACACAACCAAATCTGCATGCAACAACTTAAAATTTCCTTTTTTCGACTTCAAACCCTTAAAAAAAAATTTTGATTTTGAAAAATTCTCAAAAAAAAACAGACAAAAACAAAATAATATATCTGCCCCCCCCCCTAGCAAAAGTCCTAGTTGCGCCTCTGTATATTCCTGCTAACTTTCCATCCTGTTCTTTATACTTTCATATATTTCAGCTAACTTACCATCCTGTTTCATATATTCCTGTTTCATTATTCGTTCCTGTTTTTTTCTTCTTTCATTTCAATTTCATCTTATCCATCATCTTTTACTCTCTTTTAATGTACTTCATCTTTTCCATCCTGTTCATTGCTTGAATTCTTGTTCATTACTTTCAATCCTGTTTCATCTTTTCCATCCTGTTTTATAGCTTAAATTTATGTTTCATCTTTTCCATCCTTTTTATTTCTTTCATTCCTGTTTCATATTTGATCCATCCTGTTTATTTCTTTCTTTTCTGTTTCCTCTTTTCCATCCTGTTCGTACTTTCATTCCTGTTTCAACTTTCCCCTCCTATTTATTACTTTCATTCCTGTTTTATTTTTACAATTCTGCATCATTACTTTCATTCCTGTTTAATCTTTTCCATCCTGTTCTACTTTCATTCCTGTTTCATCTTTCATCTTTTCATCCTGCTCATTTCTTTCATTCCTGTTTCATCTTTTTCATCTTGTTCTCTACTTTTATTCTTATTAAATCTTTTCCATCCTGTTCATTACTTCCATTCCTGTTACATCTTTTACATTCTGTTCATTAGTTTCATTTCTGTTTTATCTTTTCCGTTCTGTTTATCACTTTTATTACTGCATTTCTTTTTCATTCATTTCATTACTTTGATTCCTGCAGTTTCATCTTTTTCATCCTGTTCATTACTTTAATTCTTCTTCCATCTTTTACATTCTGTTCGTTACTTTTATTCCAGTTTCATCTTTTCCATCCTGTTTATCACTTTTATTCCTGTTCTTTACTTTCATTCCTGTGTTATCTTTAACATCCTGTTCAGTGTTCTTTACTTTCATACCTGATTCATCTTTTCCATTCTGTTCATTACTTCCATTGCTGTTTAACTTTTTACATCCTGTTCATTACTCTCATTCCTGTTTCATCTTTTACATCCTGTTCAGTGTTCATTACTTTCATTTCTGTTTCATCTTTTACAACCTGTTCAGTGTTCATTACTTTCATTCCTTTTAATCTTTTACAACCTGTTCAGTGTTCATTACTTTCATTCCTGTTTAATCTTTTACAACCTGTTCAGTGTTCATTACTTTCATTCCTGTTTAATCTTTTACAACCTGTTCAGTGTTCATTACTTTCATTCCTGTTTAATCTTTTACATCCTGTTCAGTGTTCATTACTTTCATTCCTGTTTCATCTTTTCCATTCTGTTCATTACTTTCATTGCTGTGCTGTTTCATCTTTCATATCCTGTTCATTACTTTCATTTCTGTTTAATCTTAGTTGCACCCTGTACACTACTTTCATTTCTGTTTAATCTTTTACATTCTGTTCATTACTTTCATTACTTTGCTGTTTCATCTTTCATATCCTTTTCATTAATTTCATTTCTGTTTAATCTTAATTGCACCGTGTTCACTACTTTCATTCCTGTTTATCTTTTACATTCTGTTTATTTTAACTTGCATTCCTGTTTCATTTCTTTCATTACTGTTTTATCTTTTCCATCCTGTTCATGATAACTTTTATTCCTGTTTTATCCGCTACTTTTCCATTTTTGACATTCAGGGTTTATCCTTTCACCCATTTTCATACTTTTCTCCATTTACCTCTACTTTCTCAATAAAGGTCTTATTGCTCATGGGGTTTGAGTGACAACATGAAAATCGTCTTTTATCATATCATAATTACAATTTAAATGTTTTTTTCATATATAAAAGATTATAAGTCCTGATTTCCAAGATTTGTTTAAAAAGAACATAATTTCAGTTATTTTTTAAAACTTAAATATATATTATATAATAAATACAGTACTAAACTTTTAGGCCGCTTCGTGCCCATCCCCCATCATCTATTTCAATAGTGAACATGCTCTCTTCGCGTGCATTGTAAAACAAAATAAAACAAAAAGTTGCGCAGATTAATTTTTTTTTGAAAATTCGATAATCCCTGGTCCATAAAAAACTTGGACCCGATCGGTTCGGATGTTTAGACGTTTATTGGATACAAACAGTCAGACAAGCGAGTATAGATACATGGTGAGAACGAGAAAACTGAGATGGAATTGGAAGACTATACATTTTAAAGCAACAATTTTGTGTATTTGATGTATTTATAAAGCAAATAGTTGTACCTTTTTATTTATTAATTATGGGGTCTGTTAACACTGCACAATTGATGTGTATTAAGTTCACTGGACTATTTAAAACCATAATTTGAGACTAACAGTCGTCTACCTATTCCACATTTATTTAGTCTCTTCCTGTCCTGTATACACCGTTCTCAAACTCTTAATTTTCTAATTCCCAAATGTTTGCCAACCTTATTGTTAACAGTACTGTACTGTGTTTATCTATGCTGTATTTATATTTAGGGTGAGTAAAAAAAGAAGACAACGCCCATAGGACATATTCTCAGAATGGAAAATAAAAAATTCCCAAAGTTGGATTAAAATCAATGCCAGTTAATGGTAAAAGAACCAGAAACCACCCGGCAGAAAATGGATCTTGAGAAAATTGGCTTCTCTATAATAGAGTGGCGGTAACTGTTGCTGAAGACGAAATAAAAATTTTAAAAAGGAAAACAATAATTGCCATGGTTCATTAAAAGATGACACACATTTGATAAGCAATAGAAATGATTATGGAAGAAGTGGCAAGGAAAAAAGTTTAGGAGAAAGACCAATTTAGAAAAGAATAAAAGAAAGTAAGAACAGGACTAATAAATTTCAGCTCCAATTAGATTTGTGTCTTTATTGAGGAAAAATCCATTTTTACTATTTTTACAACATTCATTTTTTAACGTTGAAGGAAGACAAAATTAAATATATAATTTACAGTTAAACCACTCACTACCCTAAAATAATCAGCTTTAACTACTTAGAATTTAGAATTTAGAATACACAGTTTAAACCTAGATTTAGGCTAATCACTTCCCAACCTGGAATATTAGTTTTTTAATACTTTCCAACCTAGAATATTAGTTTAAAATACCTCCCAACCTAGAATATTAGTTTAAAATACCTCCCAACCTAGAATATTAGTTTAAAATACCTCACAACCTAGAATATTAGTTTAAAATACCTCACAACCTAGAATATTCAGTTGAATCATTTCCAAGAATAATCACTAGTTTTTAATTGTGTCGCATTTTCTTAATAAATTGATAAGTAACACTTTTGTCAAACATATGTTTGGTTCAGTGCAACTGTGATTTAACCCTAAATATCAGTATTGTGGTAATCTTGAGTACAATGTTATATATTTGAAGTAATAAATAAGGATTTTACCAAATTTTGTATTTAGTAATTTTTAATGACATTTTTCACGAATCTTAAAATTAAAATATATTTTCCAAGAAGGAAAAGCTAGGAATTCAATATTAACGGTTCTGAGACCTAGAAGATTTAAAGAAAAATGTCCAACCCTTACTTTCAACCTTTTTCACGGTAAAGGAGGGGTTGTGCGTTCAAAATGCGGGAAAATTAGGTAACAAATTTTAATATTATTTAACATTTAGGTCTTCGCTAAATGTGTAAACTAAATGTGAATCAACTTTAGTTTACAGGGTCTGCAAGCTTCCTTTCAAACTAAAAAATTTTCTATTTACAAGTATTTACAAATTGTACGATGTAATAAATTGCAATCTTGAAAGATGAAACATAATTACCTGAATGGGATCCAAGATTAAAAAAGTTAATTTAATTAGTTCACAAGATGGTTTCGTTTGTTTTTCTTTATACCATCTGTAAAAGAAAACATAAAATAACAATAAAATTTAACAATAAATATACTTTTCTTGCTAGATATTACTTCGTTGAAGGAAAATAAAAGATCGGTTAAAAATATCCTTACATATTCAAATTCGAAGGAAAAAACATGAGTTTTCAAATTTATTCACAAAATAGTTTAGAATATATATTTTTAACACAACGTACAGGAACGTGGAACATGACCTGCCCTCAGTCCACACAAGGAATAACAAGATGTCGGACATCTGCAAGTGGCAGCTAGTACATTAAACGGAAGTTCACTAATAGATCTTAGATATGTTTCTGTTTGAGCAACGACGACGTTAATGCCCTGATTTTAATTTCTAATCCAGACTATGTAAAAATATTGAGCAAAACAAAAACGTTTAACCAAGTTTTAAGAATGAAATATTGCAGTAATGTACATTTTCAAAAAAAAAGTTTGTTATAGTAACATTGTTATAATTCACCGGGTTCGTTTAAAAATAACTCGTCAGGATATTATTGTTTCAAAATTAAAGCGTGCATGCAAAATATATTCGATCTACAGATATATGATATATATATATGTATGTTTTTATATATTATATATGCTTCTTGTATTTTGTTGTTCTACAATACAATAGGGTTTTAAACAAATTATCATGAATTCTTGGTCAATCTGTGATAATCAATGTTTTTCCTCCACGTTGTACGTGAAATATTGTTGATTTTTTTGTGGATCTTCGCCTCACTTTTATATCTTTGGCCGCTGTGAAAGATCGCTGATGTCAATCAAAGAGTGCAATTCAAAATCTGATCTTTCATCAATACGGTTATTGGCATGATATTCTGATTTTTCAAACTCTAAGCGCGATCATAACTGTTTCTGAATGGATCGCGCGTGCGCGCCATGATGACGCGCATTGGTAGTCTCTGTGTGTATCTCATGTATCTCCGACCCCTGGCTGCTCTAGTGCTGTTCCACAAACAGCTCTAGGGTGCGCGGAAGACCGGCGGTGGACAGCTCATGTCGGCGCACAGAACGCGCACTGAGACAGCGCAATGAGGTGTGGCGCACACAGTTTGCAATCTAAAAATACATGAATATTATTTACCACAAATTATTTGGAATTGTTTGAATATATTAGATTTTTTAATCAAAACTAATGTTCTCTTAACAAATATAAAAACACGCAAAAGGAACTGAACATTTTTATCAAACTCAATTTTATCATTTAACCTTATCGTGTAAACCTTTACAATTTTAAACTTTGAATAATAGATCCAGCAAAAATAATAGTTTTAGAATATCAAAGGTATACGGCATAATCTTAATAAAATTAAAAGGATTAGAAAATTAAATCTAGACTGAATCCTGAATACGCCTCTTCTCTGATTGATTGATTGATTGATTGTATATACTTATATTATACTTTATACTGATAAAGACTGTAGTAGAAGATAATCTGACTTTCAAGTCAGACTAAAGTAAATTGCACGTACGAGGAAAATCTGAAATGCTTTTAATTATAACTCCTCGTGTTAAAGAGCAATTGAGAAAAAGAAAACTATTTTGATTTTCTAATATACAACTGGTTGAATTTGCGTTTCTTATACTTACACATAAATGCATTTTTAATCAACAATAAACAGCGTTTAAAAGAAACAATACACTTAGTTTGAAGTTTTATTTTATTCAAAAATTGTCTATAGTCAACTGCATCCATCAATAGACTTTTAAAGATGGTAAAAATATATAAAAATGATAAAAATAATCTTTACCTCATGAAGGGGTTGTCCCTTCATAATATTAAAGAACGGTTTTCCCTCTGAATTGACAAGGTCAAAATGCGCACCTTCAAATATAAATATTATTAAGGTTTAAATGAAATGTGACAAAATATAACAATAGAATTATAATATTTATATGTTGTACATTTAATGAATACAGATTTCAGGTTTAATATTACAATTATAGCGATCATGTACTTTTAACTGTACAGTGTTCAGAGTACATAGTAATGGATTATGTACTATATCTATAAGTGTACCTGCATCTAGTAAGGTTTGCACAACAACTTGTTTCACTGGTTTACTAGCTGCAGCAGTATGTAGGGGGGTGTTTCCATCCTAAAAACACATATTTTATATTTTTATTCAATCTTAAGTAGTAAAAAATATATTATTCATATACGTATTTATTTCAGTTTTAAGTTAAAAAGAAAAAATCTAAATGTAAAAAAACTAAAATTAAAACCTTACAAAGTTAAACTATTAATCTTCTAAGTTCTAAAATAAATTGCCTGCAGTATTCTAAATTTAAACTTTAAACCTAAACGGATAGTTCGTAGATTTTAATCATTATTAAAAGAGACAAGATTTGCCACATCTTCCTGAGAGTGAAACCAATAAAAGCGTAGTATTCGGCAGAAAAAAATCCCTGGTTTCAACTATAAAACTATTTGATAATTCTGCAAACAATATCTCAATATATTTAATTAATGTCAACCCTTAAAAAGTGAACGTTCACATTTTAATTAAATTATAAGTCATGGACCTTCAGGCCTGTTGACAGGGTCGATAAACTCTTGTAATAATAAAACTAATATATATAGTTCACCAACTTTAGTTCAAATATTATTAATTAAAGAACTAAATAATAAATTCTTCACAATTAAATAAAGGGTTTGAGTCTTTGCCACAAACTCATATTTTCTATTCCTATAAGTTTGAAACCTGATGGTGCTAACCCTTGATATTTCAAACTTAGGTTAATTGATCTAACATGATTTATAGTGTTAAATATCTTAGGTCTACATGATCTGGTTTCAAAGATAAAGGAATTAGAACATCAGAGTTTGTGGCAAGGAATAAATTTCTTTGTACTTAATTTTTTATCCTAAAATTTTAAAAAAAATCTCAAAAGGTGTGAAAAAATTACATTATCGATTGCGTTTGGGTCAGCTCCACACTCCAGTAGTAGCTGGATAGCGGGGACACTAGGGAACACACAGATGGGATACCGGCCCACACTAGAGCTTTCTTTTGTACACGCTAGATGGAGCGCAGTGGCGCCACCGCGACCACGTGCTCCGACATTGACAAAGTTGTAAACAGCCTGCTTCACTTCAAACACCTGAAAATACAAAGATAAAGATTGTCACGTGATTATAAATTGAAACATCAATATCGTAAAGAACAACTTTGATTTTACTAGTAAAGGGAAGAAATTTCCAAACCGTGCTTATGTTCCAATCCTAACACTCGAGTGTTGGATTTGGGCCAAATCACGTTTTAGAACTTTCTTCCCCTGTAGTTGGGGTATCCTGTTAAAAATATCTAACAAATACAAATTATAAATAATGAACTAACCTGTTTGTCTGGTAAATGAGGAACCAGTTTAGTAAATAAGCAAACCAAGTGAAGTAAGATGACAATGGTTCTGAAAAAATGAATTTTTATTACATTTTATCAAAATGAATGTAATGGACCCCCATTTCTTTAGAAATACAGAATCCGGATTTAACTTAAAATTTAATCAGTGAGAACTACAGCCAGATTTAAGAGTTAAAGAAGATAAAAAGTTTCGAAGGATAAATTTAAAAAAAAGATGTCAGATAAAACTTATGTTCTGTGTACCTGTTAAAATATGTAGAATCTCCTCCCTTCCCCTCTCCTCCCTCCAGAGCAACCTGACCGGCCTTTACTTCTCTCACAGCTCGCTGGAACACCGTCATAATATCACAGAAACTAACCGGCGGAGGTGATGATCTTCCGCCTCCCTCCTCGCGTTCAATAGCTGCCCCTTCTCGACCTCCGCCAGCTAAGTTGGCGAAGGGTACCTGACCCCGTGAACGACCTAAAAATTTCAAGCTCTAGAGATTTTTATGTATTCCTTCCTGAAGAAAGAGATATGATCAACTTAAATCTTATTTGTTAATTTTAATCTAAAATATCTGCATCTCTCCTAACATAAGTAGAAATTGACGATTCATCACTTTCCATATGTGCTTAGACTCAATCATATTAACAGTTCCTTCAGGAAACTCTATTCTTATTCCTTCTTGTACCCTTTTCTTGATTGATCGCTTTGTTCTACGCTGTCCCAGCAAGCTAGTTTGTTCTATGCTGTCCCAGCAAGCTAGTTTGTTCTGTTCCACTAAGCTAGTTTGTTCTTTCATGTCCCACCAAGCTTTAGTATGTTCTGTCCTGTTTCACAATACTAGTTTGTTCTATGCTGTCCCAGCAAGCTAGTTTGTTCTGTTCCACTAAGCTAGTTTGTTCTTTTATGTCCCACCAAGCTATAGTATGTTCTATCCTGTTCCACAATACTAGTTTGTTCTATGCTGTCCCAGCAAGCTTGTTTTTTTTCTGTTCCACTAAGCTAGTTTGTTCTTTCATGTCCCACCAAGCTATAGTATGTTTTATCCTGTTCCACAATACTAGTTTGTTCTATGCTGTCCCAGCAAGCTTGTTTGTTCTGTTCCACTAAGCTAGTTTGTTCTTTCATGTCCCACCAAGCTTTAGTATGTTCTGTCCTGTTTCACAATACTAGTTTGTTCTATGCTGTCCCAGCAAGCTTGTTTGTTCTGTTCCACTAAGCTAGTTTGTTGTATCCTGTTCCACCAACCTAGTTTGTACTTTCATGTCCCATCAAGCTAGTGTGTTCTATCCTGTCCCATCAAGCTAGTATGTTCTATCCTGTTCCTTCAAGCTAGTTTGTTCTATCCTGTCCCATCAAGCTAGTATGTTCTATCCTGTTCCATCAAGCTAGTATGTTCTATCCTGTTCCATCAAGCTAGTATGTTCTATCCTGTCCCATCAAGCTAGTTTGTTATATCCTGTCCCATCAAGCTAGTATGTTCTATCCTGTCCCATCAAGCTTGTTTGTTCTATCCTGTCCCATCAAGCTAGTATATTCTATCCTGTTCCATTAAGCTAGTATGTTCTATCCTGTCCCATCAAGCTAGTATGTTCTATCCTGTTCCATCAAGCTAGTTTGTTCTATCCTGTCCCATCAAGCTAGTATGTTCTATCATGTCCAACCAGAATAGTTTGTTCTATTCTTATCTCCCGTCAGTGTTAAAAATGCAATCCATTAAATAATGCATCTCCAATGGTTAAATGTCTTTATAATCTCTCCCAAAATCTATGTTTAGAGGGTCGTAACTATTTTCATACTATCTTATTGGTTTGAGACAGATACAGATCTTAGTGACATTTCATTGCCATTCTCTTTCTTCTCCAAATTGACGGTGCTACGACATTTTAGTTAACGATATGTTGTATGACAAAATGCCAGTTTTCTAGGTTTACACTATGTGACAATACATATTAAAAATGTCGCTTGCAAAAATATTGGAAAGCCAATTTGACGTTTTTCCTCCCCGTCCCCCTCCCCCCTTTTTAGTTCGAAATTTTTAATATTCTACTAAAAAAATTTGCTTTTTTAAAACGTTAAGGCTTAAAATCATAACTTGCAAAATACAAAATCGTACAGTAATTTTGCAAAAATTTTGCCTTTTCCTTATATTTAGTTTGTAGTGCTTATGACACGAATTTAATCTATAAAGCTTTAATGGTTGAAGAATTGAACCCTGGAGTACTCCCGAACCCGTTTATTATCCCAATCGTATCTTCACCTTGAGAACATTATTCACTTGACAATAGACCTGAACTCAGACCTCGCACTTAAACAGGATTATACCATCTTTATTCAGTCCTCTCATCCTCTCAAATTTAATCTTAACTGTTTGTTAAACCCCTCCTTAATCCATCTTTCTCCATTGGTTGATTCAACCAATGAGATGCTAGGAAAGTTTCAACCTTAACCAATCAAAAATCGGGATTATAACAAACTTAATTTTTGATTCACAAATTGAGTTAAGGTTTTGAATTTAAAAGTTTCCATCAAGGATATGTAGTTATATTTAGCTCCATAATTTACCGGTTCAGTTCTGTTAAGGATAATAATCATTGAAATCTATGGAGACAGAAAAAATTGACAGAAAAGTGTACTTTACCCCCCCCCCTCTAACCTACCTCCTTCTGACATCATGAAGCTAAAAAGTTCGGCAAAGCTGAGAAGTGATGACTGCGTCATTGGAGATAAAGGTTCAAGTATCTTCTGTTGCATATCTAGTGCGTACATCCAGAGGGTGATACACCGTTCAAAGTGTCCCATATCTGCGTAAACAGCGCCCCTAAAATAAATTGGCGTAATAAAATTGTAAAAAATTGTATATAAAAAGATAAAATAATTTTAAAAATGTTTGAGCTGGGAAATATTTTTTTTATTACAATTGATTTAAGCAAATTTTAGAAAGAATAATTTTACATGATGGAAATTGTATTTCCGCCAAGGGCGTATACAGAAATAAATCTAGGGGGGGGGGGGGCCAACGAGGTTTCCCCCAATAAAGTGTACAAATATTACGACGAAACCTAAGGATAAAGGTCACTGTTTTGTTCATGTAAGTTTTGAAACATAAACAACAAGTATACACTGCTAGATATTTCTTGATAAGAATTCTAAACTAATATGGATTTTCTTTAAAAGTTAAAATATTTAACATCAACAAAAATATCATTTTTAAAAATATAAATATAGCCAGGAAACTCAAGTAAATATCATGACGAATTAAAAATATTACGTAAATATAAAGATATTTATAATATATAATCAAAAAAGAAGGTAAGCCTCCAAAATTAAAATTTCATCGAGGTATTACAGAGAAAACGTGCCATTTACAGAGAACGCATGGTTTTTCAATAATTTACTTATTTCCAACCGTATCGGTGTTAAACACATTCAAACTTTTAGGGAGGGGAGGTGAATTATAATAAATAGGATTTTAATTTAGATTTGTGATATGTTTTCTAATCAGAATGTTTTTTATGCTTGGTTAAAAAAATATATTTGCATTAAGATTCCCGTTTACACTGGCTCTAGCTGTAAACCTTGTTGAAAAATAGATAAAAATAGATTTTGGTCCACGAAACCTAGAGAATCATCAGATCTATATTCAGTAGAAGCCAATACCATACTTGAAAATAGATTAAACCTCAAAAACCAATATATTCATGATAAGATAGGATTCATCTCTAGTTCCAACATGAAAAGGAAAACAGGGGAATATATTTCCATCAAAATACTCACTAGCACCCCCAAAAAAACCACAAATTTAAAGATTATTAAATGAGCCAGACAGAATTCTAGTATCTGATACAGTAGCTAGGATCCGATGAACCGGGCCAAGTACCTGTATCTAATATAGTAGCTAGTATCCAGTAAGCCGGGCCAAGTACCTGTATCTGATATAGTAGCTAGTATCCGTTAAGCCGGGCCAAGTACCTGTATCTGATATAGTAGCTGGTATCCGGATGAGGTGGGCAAAGTACCTGTATCTAATAAAGTAGCTAGTATCCGGATGAGCCGGGCCAAGTACCTGTATCTGATATAGTAACTGGTATCCGGATGAGCCGGGCCAAGTATCCGTTCTCTGACAAGCAAAGCCTGCATCCGCATACTATCCGGATCTGAAATTATCTCTTCCAAAGCGGAAACACTCTCCACCTGGGAAAGGTAAAACAAATGAAAATTTTTAAAATTTTTAAAAATTGAAAAATGTTCTTGGTTTTATAACATTAAGGTGTGTCAAGTCTATGTTTACATATCTCAAACAGTTTATCTAAAATCAATATTTGATTAAGATTTTAGACAAACACGTGGGTTGTAGAAAAAAGTCATAATAACCAAGGTTTACTTTTTTCCCTTTCAAAATTTATGTTAGAAATCTGCAAGAATAATTTTAAAGTTTTTTAAATTCAGATTCATGGTCTTTTTGAGTTGAATTTAAACATTTTGACAGAACAACTATAATTCACCCCCCCCCCCCCTCCCCTTAGTGTACAGTATGCAGTACCTCTAATGTGTTTTCGTAAGCAGAGATAGGTGAGGAAACAAGAGCTTTAGGGATAACTAGGACTCCATCCAGGTACCTGACATTAATCAATCAATCAATCGATAGGTTATTCATCAAAGATAAGAAAAAAAAATAAGAAAAAAATAATTGATCCAAACGCAAACATAATTGATCGATTAACTAAGGAATCAATCAATCGATCAGTAAAAAAATTAATAGATTAGTGATGAAGTGATCAAGAATAAAAAAATTAGCCAATAAATCCAAAATACTTGTTAAGAAGGTATATTCAGTAACAGAATCTCCACGGGGGAAAAACCTACTAATTGAAACCAGACACATTTTCCTTCTTTAGGAAAACAAATAAAAAATAAAAAAATGTAAATGTAAAGAGTACCACTCCCCCCCCCCATTGAGATTTTAGAAACACAGTAGCCCTCCACCCCACCAAAAGAGGGGGGGGGGGGAATAAGGAAAAGTTTCATCAGAAAAAAAATTTAACAGGCAGCATGAAAGATCTTATGTTTTATTTATTTGTGAGAAAGCAATAAATGTTCTATGAAGTATAAACAATAAGAGAAATAATTTCATTAAGTCATTTTTAATTTGGAAAGTCTTCTTAAAAAACGGAGTTCTGAAAAATAAAACAAATTTTAATTTTTCTGCGTTACCTAGAAAAAAAGTCATGAATTCCTTTTCTACTTGTAAAAACTATCCAACCCCCCTGAACCCTCTCCAGTTTGATCCTTATTAACCTAGATCCTCAAAACTAATGATGCCATTCCGTGACAGAATCTGACTGCCAGATTTAACCAACTTTTGGTACAAAACTTGAAGATCAATACAGGTCAGTTACAAAACTATGGTTATCATTGCCAAGTTGTTGAAAATGTGATCAAGGGAAGCCGTATAAAACGTAGCGAACCATACACGTTTTAGTAAATAACCAAAATATATGGTCCTGGTACCTTTATTCTTATAATCATCATAAATAAACATTAAACATATCCTTTCTTACGAAAAAACCGCATTTGATAAAATTTTTCTATCACTTACACATGACTAAATAATTTTTTTGAAAATGAAAATTAAGGAGAGTGTGTACTTTTCCTCAGATTTTCTAATCTCTATATCTTTGCAACACAGTGTCGTAGACCTATGAAATTTCCAACTAGATATTTTAAGAGGTTTACACCATTAGGTAGCAAAGATGTTTCTTTGTTTGGGAAAACTATTAATTTTAAAAGAGGTGCGGGAAATAATATTTTCTATAATTTTCAGAAAGATTAGAACTAAAGAGAAGGAGGAGAGGGAACATATTTTGGTTAACAAAGATCGAAGTATTCCAGGGCAGGGTATGAAGACCTAACTATAGTTTGTTCTGTTTCTTAAGGATACAAAAATATTTCTTAGAAACCTTATACGTCACAATCAAGTACAGAAATCTAGACAATTCTGAAATTTATATTTATACTTTTTTGAAGCCTATTTGTAAATTTTAAGTTCAAACCGAATAATTGGCAAAATACTACTCGATTTCTGCGTGAGAGCGTGCACGACATGGTTTGCAGTGATAGAGGACTGGTTTAATCTTGCTTTAATTATTTGTTTTCTTCACCTCTCTTCCATTGCTCTTTTCCAGAGTGTAAGAGCTCCCAGCATATCTCTCTTTTTATCAACAAAAGTAGCTCCAAGCAGCTCAAGAGCATCAATCCTCTCCTGTTTACCTACCATATCTCTTTGTCCTGAAATGTGAATTTATTATAGTTTTAGATATTTTTATGTGGTTTTATGGTTTTTAAATCTTAAAAGGAGTCATCTTAAATGCAAGTTCTCTCACACCTTTTCTTATTAATCCATGCAACTTTATTAATCTATCTATCCATCATGTATCTTTCTATCCATTTATCAAACTATCTATCCATCTATCTATCCATCTATCTATCTATATAACCTGTTAAATGTTCCACTATATGCAGATGTCCAGTAACACTGGCTGCAAGAAGAGGTGTCATTCCTGAAATAATAAAATTATCATTATCATTATCATCATATTTGTTTTTATCATTATAATTTTCATCATCATCATCTTTGTTTTATCATTATAATTATCAAAACAATTATCATCTTAATTATCTTTGCTTTTATCATAATAACTATCGTTATAATTATCATCATCATCTTTGTTTTTATCATTTTAATTATAATCATCATTATCTTTGTTTTTATTATATTAATTATCATTATCCTGATTTTTATTATAATCTTGATCATTTCCTTTTAATTTTCAGTTTTATTTTCAGATCATTATTATCATTATTATATAAATAAAAAAAAAAACATTCATATATATATATTGCCTATAGCCGGCCAAACGGCTGGACCGATTGAACTGAAATTTTTTGCAGACACTCATTGATTTTTTTCATTCAATATTTCTTATAATTTATTTCCCCCACGGGCAACGCCGTTCCCTCCAGCTAGTTATCTATATAATAAAACACGACATTCATATATATGTTGCCTATAGCCTATACTACTGTTACTGTTACCGTTACTGTTACTATTACTATTACTATTACTATTAATATTTCTATTAATATTTCTATTACTATTACTATTACTATTAATATTACTATTACTATTACTATTACTTTGACTATCATTATTATTATTATTATTTAATTTTATGGGAAACCCCATCAATTAATTAAACAGGTAGATAGAAACGTATCAATTACAATCTTCATAATTTGTATTTTTCATTTTTATTGTCATTATCATTTATCATTTATCATCAGTTAGAAAATGACACAAGTCTAGTAGAATAAAGAGACAGAATGTCGAACTAATATTGTTAAACTAAAAAAATAGAACATTACAAAATACATTTACTATTTTATAAGGAAAACACAATTTGGAGATAAAGGATTGATAATGGAGATTTTGCATCAGACTAAGTAGAATAAAATAAACAGGATGAACAAAAGAACTATTTATCAAAGCAATGATTCAGATTTATTTTTTAGGGAAAAAAATTTGTCGTTTGTGAAAATTTTCTAAAATTTTACCAAGTTCGACTTTAATAGTTAAACCGGATAAACTTGCTTTTCTCATACGCACTGCGTAAAATGAAAACTAAAGGCGCTGCAAGTTCAAAAAGTTGAACTAGTAGTGTCGCATAACTTTGACCTTCTCCGACTGTCTAGTTTACAGTGCGGGGCAATAAAAAATGTTGGAACATGTTTGTTAGAATCTCACCGTAAGCATCCACATCTATTCTGGCTCCCGACTGTATTAACAATTTCATTATCTCTAGGCTTCCACTCTCAGCACAGTCGTGCAGGGCGGTGTTCCCCTTCACAGACTTCCTACAGGACAACAACAGGTTAGTAATCGGGTAAATATTTAATTTAATAAACATCGAAACTAATAAACCAAATAAGATCAAATTCGAAGTGTGACCTCACATAGCCACAATTTGTGACCTCACATAGCCACAATTTTTATGTCCATATAGTATTCAAAAATGTTTCCTTAAGCTTTTGGAACAAAATGAAAAATGCAAATTTAAAAATGTAGGTAGCACTTCAATGGATTTTGATTATTGAATTGCCTACACACCGGCAATTACAGGAATTATTTATCTTTAATCGACACAAAAAACGTGTTTCCCAGCGCAATATTAGCTTGTGAGAAAAACGTCTGTTCCTAAAATTGTTTTGATATCTGAAGATAATGGACTGGTCCATTAAAACAACAAAATTTATTTTATATCGCAAAGGTTAGCCCTTACCTAAATAAAGTTTGATATTATTCTCATTGGTAATGATTATATCATGTTGGAATATTCGAACCAATGAGAATAATGTCAAACTTTATTTAGGTAATGGCTAACCTTTGCGATATAAAATAAATAGCAAGATATTCGGCATACCTCTGCCTATAATTTTCCCCATTGAACCACCCGGAAAATTTTCGCACAAATAGAGTTCTACGCGCATTGCGAGATGTGGGCCCAAAAATAAAAAATTTCTGAGATAGAAATTATAAATGTTGCAACTTGCTTCGATGTTCATTGGTTACTTGAACCTATTGTATTCTTTTCCTTTGATATTTTTGTTAAAATATGTAGATTTCTGATGAAATAAACAAGAACAATTTAACGATGTGAGATATAACACTAACAAGATATTTACCAAGGAATATTTTCACAAATATGGCAAGGAAACTGTATGTACTGCTCGCCTCATCAGGGACGCATACAGGAATTTGTCCGGGGCGACTTTTTTTAAATTCCGGGGGGGGGGCTAGATTCCCCCTGGAAATCATAGTTTTCAGTCAACAACAACATACCGTAGCCCCCCCCCCCATCTTCTTGATGTCTCTGCAAGATAGCCCCCCCAATACACCAAAACAAAGTCCTGTGTACGCCTCTGGATCTAAATATTTATATTACCTGTTCACATCTGCTCCTATTTCTATTAGATATCGAGCAATTTTAAAATGTCCTAAAAATACATTTCATGATAAATTTTTCCAACTTTTGTTTCAAGTTTCTGACATTCATTGCAGTTCTATTCTTGATAAAAAATAATGAAAGAAAACCGGTTCTATTGATACTTTTATATACAGGACCGTACTGGGGGGGGGGGTACATGTCCCGTAAAAGATAAAAAATTTTACGGTGTAAAAGAATTTTGCCCTTCCCCCTCCCGTCAAAAATTTCCAGTTACGGTTAATAAATTAAATTATTCAACTTTGATTCTAAGTTAAAATTAAACTTTGAAGTAAAAATAGAATGAAATCCTCAAATTAAAAATCTATGAAAGAAAAAATCTAGAAAAAAGGACTTGAAAACTGAATAAATTAAGAAGATTCAATGAATCTTCTTAAAAGGATTGTTCAATGTTCATCTTTTTCAAAGTACACAATACACGGCTAATTTTTTGCTGTGTTTCTAATCCGTACTTTTAAGATATAGTTATTTTTTATATATTGTGTCTTAGAAACGCCCGCCCTACCCCCATATTTTGAAAAAAGAAATCCCCGTGACTATTAATGCATCAATTTTAACCTGGCGTAACCTAGATAAGTATAATCACGGGAGGTTGCTTTTTAACTTATCGAGAACGGAGCCAATAATAGATTTTTAAATTCAAGTGAGTACCAGCTTTCTATGAATAATAATAATAATAATCGATGGAATTAAGAATTGATAAATATTCACCCTTATAGCAGGCTATCATCAGGCAAGTGTGTCCGTGTCTGTTCGCCACTTCAATATCTAGACAAATATTTATATTTATAATTAAAGGGTCTGTGCGCCACCTATATATCTGGAGAATGGAGATATTTACATAATAAAGGGACAGTTTGCCACTATAATATCTAAACAACTTTTCATGATAAATAATTAAAGGACTGTTCGTCACCTTTATATCTAGACAAGTATTCATATTAGACTATTTACCACTTCGACATCCAGGCAAGTATTTATCTTTAAATGACCTTTTTGCAGCTAATTAAAGTACGACCATTCCAAGGAACTGCTTAAATGCATCATAATATCTTCCTTGTTGATATTGTTAATCTCGATATCCAATGTGGGCACTAAATCAATCCAATTAAAGTTGCAGGATATGGACAACAAGGGATATATAAGAGGAATTAAATGTTTGATCCTGATATTCACAAAATTTCTGGTTTTCTAGTTTAATGAAATAAGTCCGAACACGTGTGCAACATAATATAAATGTTTTCTTTTATAATTAAAATTGCTGGAACACCCAACTTTGTTGAAAAAACAAATGAAAACTTTTTAACTAAGATTATTTTTCTTATGTAATCAAATCCATTGGAAGAACACATAAAACCCTAATTCATATATGGCAGAGAATGAACAAATTAAGTAAATCCTCGAGTTATTACATATTTTATTGTCTAAATGTGCAATTTCTGGGATTAATGGGGGCAGTACAGGTTTTACTACCACACCCTGCAAGAACAAGAATTTCCGACGCTCCGTACCCCGAGGGAACATTCCTCACAAAAATGTAAACCTAATTTATTTAGAAAGAAAAAACGCAATATATCGTTTTCATTCTTAAGAAATACACACAAGAGAACAGAATTTCATCCTTATTTTTTATGAAAAACTTTTCCGGCGAGGAATATTTCCTTTCCAACTATGACAATTTCTCTCTGCCAAGTTTTAGTAAATATACAGGGTGTCTCAGAAAAAGGGTGCTTTGGGTGAAACATTAAAAACGACCATAGTTCTGATCTTTTAGATCGCTTTGTATCTTTTAATATCAGAACTATAGTTTCGTTTAAAATCTTTGAAAACAGATCACCTGCAGAATTAAAAGTTACTAGGGCACAAATTTGAGACTTCAGAATGAATAAAAAGGATACAAAAAAATTTTTCTAAGCCACACAGTTGATTTTCCTCAAAACAATTGTTTGAAGTATTTTTTTTTCCTTCCAGGTTAGGTAAGTTGAGCTTACATAATTCTTCATTAAGACGTAATTTTCAAGATATTTAAATTCTTTCTTTTTACTTTCCGACCTGGACTTGGCAATTTTTACATTTCATGACTCAGGCATTCATAAAAAAATATATAAATATTTCCCCAGCTGGAAACTATTTGCTGGACTCTTTCCATAACATTGACGTCAATACCCAAGGAATCAATCTTTGACTTTTAGTAGGATACAGCTAACATGCAGTATGATATAACAGTTAACATACAGTAGGATACAGCTGACATAAAGTAGCATACAGCAGACCAACAGTAGGATACAGCAAACATACAGTTAAGGATACAGCAGAAATACAGTAGAATACTGAAAAACATCCAATAGGATACAGTTAAAATGCAATATGATATAACAGTTAACATACAGTAGGATACTGTTAACATACAGTAGGATACAGTTAACATGCAGTAGGATATAAAAGTTAACATACAGTAGGTTACAGCAAACATCAAGTTAAGGATACAGCAAAAATACAGTAGCAAACTGCAAACATACAGTAGGTTACAGAAAAAATGCAGTAAAATACAGCTAACATACATCATGATACAGCGAGATACAGCTAAGATGCAGTAGAAAACAGCTAACATACATCATGGTACAGCGGATACAGCAAAATGCCGCTTGATATACAGTGGGAAACAGCTAATATGCAGTCACCAGCTTAAAGCAAATAGCAAACATACACAAGATACACCAAGATACAGCTAAAATCAAGTAGAAAACAGCGAATATACAGTAGGATACCGCTAACATACAGTAAAAAAACATTCAAACATACAGTAGCAAAACAGCTAACAGTAGAAAACAGCTAACACACAGTAGAAAACCGCAAACATACAGTAGAAAACAACTAACATATAGTAGGATACAGCAGAGATAATAGTATAGAATACATCAGACATAAATAAACCTTTAAAATATTTCTTTTTTATCTTAAAAATGAAGTCTACTGCAGTTTCTGGGATGTTGACAAATACAGTGCTCTTATGTTCATTCTTGTTTTTAACAGAAGACGATCCGCCATTCCATAAAAATATTGAGATATTAAGTCTAAACAAAAAACACACAAACAAATAACAAACAGTCAACCATCTTTCCGTAAATACGATTATTCTTTAATGTACTAGTTGGTTACGACACTAGCCTAGTGTGGCCAACATGCAGTGCTTAGGGTCCAAGGGGAAAAATATCTACTAATTAATGCAAAAAAAATATCCTTTTTTACTCTCAAACCCCAAATCTTAACTGCAGAAGAAAAAAGAGAGATTGTAAAGATGATTTCTGAATGGTTCATAAAGTTTTTGCATAAAATAAGCGGAAAAAAAGGAGAAAAATAATTTGACAATTGTGCTTTGTTAAAAAATTCAGTAAATCTTACAGAAATGATCATGACCTGGATACGGATCCGTTTTTTCCAGTGCGGATCCAGGATCCGGATCCATTATTTCCAGTGCGGATCTGGGATCCGGATTCGCATCCAAATTAAATGGATTCTTAGCGCTGCCAACATGTCTGATTTTAGACCTTTCTTGAACCCCTTAACAACCTTTTGGAGTAGTCCATCTCGGTACTAACCCAGCATGAAACCCATTCATTTATTTATTTGATTTGATTTCACTAATAGCCAACATAAAAACATATTACAAGGAAATATTTTCTGGCATCATATCAGTTGTTACCAACATATTTTGATTAAATAAAAATCTCGATCATAATTTTTACAATATTTTAAACTGATATTGAATCCTGGAAGTGTTTTTAAAAACAATTGATAAGAAAAATATATCTGATAAAAATAAACAAAAATTTCCTAAAATAATTGGATAAAAATCCTACCTGCGTTGTGCTCCACGAGGTATTTAACTATTTCGTAATGTCCATCAAAACATGCCGCTCTGTTCAAATCAATATTTTTTACATTATTCAAAACGAAACAGAAATTATTTACAATTTTTTTTATTTTTTTTTTTATTTCGACCCCTCTCCTCTCTCATTTAAGTCAATTTAGTTGAGATCCTGCAATTGGAAATAATCAATTTTCAGGGAAAAAATCTAGGATATTCCCCAAGTTTATAGTTGTAAAAAGGAAATTCTAATGGAGAGTCACTTGGAATGCAGTCCTATTAAGTATATTGTTGTTGTAATATATCATTATTAGTTCCTAAGCGGTGTTGAGTTAGTTTTGGTAGTTGAGTTTACATTGGCACCACTCTTCACTAGCAGCTTCACTATCTCAAGGTGACCTGAACAACAAACTTTTATATTTAAATTTGTTTATACAGAGCTCAGTCGGTTCCCCTCCACACTCTTGATGAATTAACTTAAGTTCTTAGACACAGCCACCCTTTTTTTCCAATATTTCTTAAACTAGATTTCCTTTTATCCCCGAAGTTAAACTTAAATCACTTAATTTCAAACTTAATTTCAAAGATTGCACATTGGAGATTAAGTTCAGTGGATGTGGCTGAGCGATATCTCAACAAAAACTTTTCACCTTTGGATAGTGGACAAAAACAAGTTACTAGACATAGATTTAAACTTTGCACCCAAACTGTTTTATTTTCTTATTTTTTTTCTTGGTGTACATTACAAATACAGTTTAAGTAAATTAACTTCTTTACAAAAATACTTTTACTTTTGGAAATTAGGAATAAAATGAATATCTTCAAATAGGTGACCAATCCCTTTTTTTAGTTTCCGACTGACCTGCAGCGGCTGCGCACCATAAGGGTGGAGCTCCTTCTATAGTTTCTCCGTCGAATGTGACTGATCCTGCTTGCTCTACATTTGCTTCACATCTACAATTTACTATTTTAAAATTTAGAATTTAAAAATTAATTATCTAAGATCCAATATCTGCGTATCTCCTTTTTTCTTTTCCTTCTCTTCCTCCCTTTCCATTTCTCTTCTCTTCGCTTTTTGTTACTACTTTCATTTTAATATCTTTCCATTTCTATTCGATTTCATGACTTAATCACCCCCCCCCCCCACTTCAGATTTATACAATATTTCCCTTACGAAATAATGTACAATCTTTAGTCCTCAAAACTTTCGAGTTCTTATTTCATAACAGATTTTTTTGAAGAGGGGGGGGGGGCGAGGGGGATCCAGATGTTACATTTTTACGCAGCAAAGCGTCACGCCTTAATTTCCTATGGATGCTTGGGTTTTAATTGATAATTAAATTAATTAAATCTAAATAAATCTTTAACGCCACAGATGTCAGTTTTTAATTCTAATTGTCAAATAATCAACTGAAACCTGTCAGGACAGTGTTCAAAATTCAAGTTTTAATTGAATTGTAATTTTGGACCTTTTCAAACATACCAGGTTTTTTACTTTCAAACTACTCCACAAAACTCTAGGGCCTTTGTTATATGGCACAGTTTTAGGCAAAATATTTTTGGGGTTGTTAGTGAATATATACTATAAAATATAGTATTAGTAAGTAGAAAAATCTCGAATTTTCAAAACCGAACTAATAAACTATGACTCTTATAACAAAGCTGAACGAATTGAACACATGTTTAATGTCAAACCTTTTCATAACTTACCTTACATAAAATATAATATAAAAACAAAGAAATAAATATTATATTCTGAATCGCAACTTCAAAGAATTGGACGAATTTATTACAGAATATAAAATATTGGACGAATTTATTACAGAATATAAAATATTGGACGAATTTATTACAGAATATAAAATATTGGACGAATATATTACCTATCTACAAGGTACTGGACGACTTCATGATGACCGTTTCTACATGAAAGGACGAGTGGTGTGGCCCCGTTTGTCCGGGCTGTTACAAGCTTATTCACCTCTTCCTTAGGTCTATGGTCCAGAAATACCTGAAAAATAGAAAGAATTAATTCAATTGTCAAATATTCTTAAAAAAAAAGTTGGCTAAAGTTTACAAGACAACACATTTTAAAGAAAAAAATTAGGGACAAAAATATCTTCTTTAACCCCCCCCCCCCCCTCTACTTAAATATTTTTTTTATGAACGACGTTAAGCATCTATGAGGGATGTTTTGGAATTTTTTAAAAAATAAATAAGAATTTTACGAATATTGCCAATCAATGCCTAATTTTTTTAACCCCAATTTTAAAAAATATTTTTTTTCTATTCTTTAAAATACATTACATACCAAGGAAGAACTGCAGAATATGCTGTATTTTGAAAACATGCGTTAGTAGTAAAAAGAACCACCTAAATTTTACCACATTTTCTGATATTAAAAGATTCATTTTTTTAATTTTTATAATATTATTTTGAAAGTTTTGAACAACATTTTTCACTGGAAAATATAAGTGGGATGAGGAGAAAATGCTAAGTTTTAACAAACTTTTTAAAATAGATGAATTATAAAGAAAACTGTTAATAATAAAAATAATTAACACCCTAAAAAGATAATGCAAAAGGTAAAAACTATAAATTAAGCATGTAAAAGCTAAAAATACTTCTTATAAAAAATGTCTGATTTGTTCCATTCATTTATATTATACAAAAATAGCCTGGTTCAGGGCTGTCCAGAATTCTTAAGAATCAATAACCATGAATTTGTTTCTTTCAAAATTTAAATAAATGATGATGGATTCCGAGTAAAAAAGTGGTTGGAAAAGGAAACCAAATAAAAATAGGAAGATCAGAAGAAAAGGATGGGCAAGGATAGGATGGGAAACAAATAAGATTAGAAGGAGAGAATGGGAAGGAGAAGTATGGGAAGTATGGGAGAAGAGGATTGGAAAGATAAGAATTGAAAAGGAAACGATGGGGAAGGAAAGGATGGGAAGAGAAAGGATGGAAAGGATGGGCAGGAAAAAGATGGGGGGAAAAGAATGGGAAAAGAAAGTATTTGAAGGAAAGGATTAAAAGGAAAGGATGGGAAGGAAGTGATGTGAATGAAGGGATGGAAAGGAGGGGATGGGAAGGAAAGGATGGTAATAGAAGGGAAAGGAAAGGGAAAAGAAACCATGTGTAGGAAAATGATTTAAAGTTAAGGATCGGAAGGGAAAAGATGGGAAGAAAGAATGGGGAAGGAGAAGAATGGGAAGAAGAATGGGAAGGAGAAGGATGAGAAGGGAAAGGATGGGAAGGGAATGAGAAGGAGAAAAATGTGAACCTAGGAACTAAAAAGAATAAGAAAATAACCAAAAAAAAATATTGGTTGAAATTAAAAACACTATGAAGAGAAAACCTGATCATTGAACATTGAACATTGCACATTGAACACCCCTGTACTGAGTCTATTGTCAATTTATTAACACAACAATATAATGTTTGCCTAGTATTGGCTAAACAACAGTAGCTATTGTTATATTTATACAATTTGTACACCGTACATTGTACACTGTACACTCTGCAGAAAAGTAAACAATGGTTTTTTCCCATTGTTTACCATTTATATTTTTCAATTAAAGATTTAATATTATTTATAAATGTTAGCATTAAAAGGGAAAATGATAATAGTAATAAGTGTTTAATTTTTTTCTTCTTTTTTCAGATTTTCAGATTTGTGTTTCAATGACAAAACAGCTTTCTTGTATACTTGGGGTTGCTATTTGAAGCACAATAATGTTTTTAAACTATTTTTTACCAGATTTTATCTGGGCACTGCTGATTACATAATTGTGCAACGTGCATTCGAGAAAAAAATTGTTAGTAAGGATTTTTCTCAATAACAACCATTTGATATAGAAATGCATTTAATTATTTATTCTGATGTTTTTTTAAATAAATGCAAAGATACATTTTTTCAGCAATTTTCAGATCTTTATAATCATTCCCAAGTTCCATTTTTAATCTACATTAGAGAAAAAATAGAACACTTTTAAAATTTCAAATGGGCTGTACACGTAATTTTACATGACCCTCCGTGCAAAGATGGCAATGCTTAAACCTTACTCACTGTTCACCTCAGCTTTGAAGTAGGTTTATAACAGAGACACCTGAGGTTCTTTTCAGATTCTGAAAGAAGTCCAGACCTAGCATAAAGATTTTTCGAGAAAATTCCATTTAAACTTTGTTGTGTAGTTTAAACTGAAAAAGGCTCTTGACTCAGAAGTTTTCATGAGATTATTCAGCAATCCAAGCGATTTGAGCTTTTCTGTTTCAAAATTATCATTACATGATAAATTTATCAATGTTCGTAGAATTAACAAATAGAAAGAAATCAATTATATAAACAATGATTTACAGGGTTTAAACCTCAAAGGATAAAAAATGAAGCACATTTTGATGAATAAATCTAGTTTTCTCCACTATTCGTCCATAGACTATACACAACAAAGTTTAAATAGAATTTTCTCCAAAAAGGGTTCGACAGGGATTTCTAAAAATCTACATGCTACAGAATCTGAAAAAAAAACCTCAGGTGTAACTGTTTTTCAAACCTACTTCAAAATGTGGACGATAAAATAATTTTTCCGATTCTAAAAAGTGTTTATTTTTCAGAGTTTCATCATCACTTCTTGCAAATGAAAATGAACAGTTTAAAAAACAAAAACATTGATATTTAATTCATACTTGATTAGACAAAGCTTTTAAAGGTACTGTTGTACATCGGACATTGCCATCTTTACATAGAGAGTCACTTGAAATTACAATACAGTCCCTTTATGATAATTTATCATTTTTATAACAAGGTGGTTTCTTGACAAAATTCTATTAAAACTTAAGAAAATGAGCTGTAACCCCCCCTCCCCTTCAAACTAAATTAAGTGCTCATCAGTATTTTCAACGTAGCTTCTATGTATTTTAAAAAACGTGTTTTTTTAGAAAAATTTGTGTTGTGTACTTTAGATAAATGCGTAAAAAAAATGTAGGCCACGCCCTCTCCCCCCCCCCCTCCCGGTATCCCTAGACACGTTATCATCCATGTTATGCTATATTTCTATTTCTTAGTTCCCCCTCCACCCTCATCGGACACTGCACCCCCCCCCCTCTCGTTGGTACGTACACCCCACCCCCTCTTGAGCCTGACATCACATGAAAAAAAAACATTCTTGAAAACGATTCTAAGCGCAGTTTAAAATCTAAATCACGCAGCAAAACCGTGCTTACTGCTGAACTGATAAAAACGCGCCAACACACCCCTTTGCCAAGCCCACTGCACCATAGCTACCAGAAACATTGACATTATCATTAGCATTTAATAGAAAAGTAATACCGCACAATATTAATTTATCACAACAAATTACCCCCTCCCCCCTCTCTTAAACTCTCATATAATACAATGACTTGATAATCTCTACTACTGCCAAGTTCATGATGTAAATAACAGTTTATACTACCATCAGCTGTATTGGAGGGAAAGATGAGTCTATGCTATAAACAGGGGAGATTACATAAATAAATGGTTATATTGAAACACTATGTAAGATTATACAAGGAACTGTTTTAAATAATAAATCTATATTGTGAGAAATATCTGAGTGAAACCCTGTAGTTAATATCTAAACCAACTATTATGCCTTGAGCTAAAATCTGAGCCTTCAGCCCTAGCGTTCGTTCGTCAAATAAAATTGTGTATATATTATCAGGATAGAACCGTATCAGGATAGAAAAGTATCGGGATAGATCCGCATCAGGATAGAAACGTACAGGTATAGAAAAGTATCAGGATAGAACCGTATCAGGATAGAGAAGTATCAGGACGGAACCGTATCAGGATAGAACCGTATCAGGATAGAGAAGTATCAGGATGTAACCGTATCAGGATAGAACCGTATCAGGATAGAGAAGTATCAGGACGGAACCGTATCAGGATAGAGAAGTAACAGGATGGAACCGTATTAGGAAAGAAAATTATCAAGATAGAAAATTATCAGGATAGAAAAGTATCAGGATAGAAAAGCATCAGTATTGGAAAGATTAAAGCTAGAATTGCAAAATCAAGATCCCAATTTGAGCAACTGAATCAGAATCATGATATAAGAATGAGAATATCGCCTGTATTAATAAGAAAATGAAAATCCCCTGAATTAGGAGAAATCCCCTGAATTAGGAAGAATTAAGAATCAGGTTTGATATAGAAGCTTCTGAATCCAGGAAAAGATATGATAAATCAGGATCAGGATAAGAGCTGCTGAATCAAAATCAGGATAAGATCTGCTGAATCAGGATCAGGATAAGGTCTGCTGAATCAGGATCAGGATAAGATCTGCTGAATCAGAATCAGGATAAGATCGGCCGGATCAGGATAAGATCTGCTGAATCAGAATCAGGATAAAAGCTGCTGAATCATGATTACGATAAAAGCTGATGACTCCGGATCAGGATAAGATATGATGAATCAGGATCAGGATAAGAGCTGCTGAATCAGAATCAGGATAAGGTCTGCTGAATCAGGATCAGGATAAGAGCTGCTGAATCAGGATCAGGATAAGGTCTGCTGAATCAGGATCAGGATAAGAGCTGCTGAATCAGGATCTGGATAAGAGCTGCAGAATCAGGCTCAGGATAAGAGCTGCTAAATCAGTATCAGGATAAGAGCCGCTCAATAGCTACTTTCACATCAATGTCTCTTCTTTTTAATACGTTTTTATCAATAATTTATCAAATCTGGTTGAAAAAATAAAACAAAACAAAAACAGAATTGATATTTCATAATTTAATATTTGAACAAAATAATAATACAATAGTATGAGACAATGAATGACATTTTCTCAGATTCTCTGCGAAGAAATAATGCGAACTGAAACATGTGTTTTCTATAATACAGGGGAAATTAGTTCCAAAACTAAGACTTGGCCCATTTCTAACACTGAGTGTTAGAAATGGGCCAAATCATCAAATTTATCTTTTTCAAGCGTATATTTATTTAAATCCAAGCCGAGTTGATTAAAA